CGCGTGGTCGAGGGCGGCGCGTGGTCGGGGGCGATTCGTCAAGGACGGCGACGCTAGGCTCGTGATGGCATGCCGCTGGAAAGTTGGAAAATGGCTGCGGTAGAGGAACATCGCCTCCGATCATAACTCCGCTACACGCCACCAATTCATCCGGTTGTTGCTTCATTTGGGAAATGTAAGGGACCGAGGAATCTCCACCCATTCGGAGTCTCAGGCTGGTTTGTGCATGTTCAACGATTCATGTCTGCACCATACGGGTAGCAACTGTTTGGCTGACTTTGCCCACCTGTACCGCACAGCTGTACCTCCAAGTGCTCTTCCATCTCAGCTTCCATCTCGTCACGCCGTGACGCAGAGACACGCAGCAGGGTCACGTGCATCCCCACTCCGTTCGAACCTTTCCATCGACATCGATTTATCACATACGAGAGACCGATATAGACCTAGAAATTGCATGGTTCAAGTGACCGGAATAATCATTTTGCCAAGGTGAAGCATGGAGTGCGGACGAGGAGCAACGGCATGCCACTGCTGCGCGAGCTGGTACCTCAGGCGGCAGCGACCACGAGTACTTCAGGCTTTGCTCATAGTGCCCCGGATATACGCTACTTAACGGTCCCTTACTCGTCCCGCCGGGCTATCGGCATGGGTCGTCAGGTAGATTATCCCCACTCCAGCTCATTGCCAGCGTCAAATGCGTTGCTGTAGCACCGAGCGCATGCGCTGCGAATGCTTGTTTTCCAGCAAATAGTGATTAATGTCGAATAGTGTTTCATCGCCCCCCATTGCTCCTGAATAGTGTACCCCAACGGTCTAAAAACGCTGCGGTTTTTTATGTATTTTCCGTAAAAGTCCTCGATGCCATCGACCTTTTACATTAAAATTATTACGATACATACCGTATATTCCGACCACCCCTGCTTGATTGAGGGGGTCCCATCGTACTTTTTTTCGGTGGAATTCATCCGACGCGCACATGCGACATGTCACGGGCGTGCCCCATTCCTACATTTCACGCTTGCAAAATCAGTCTATTGTGCACAACTGATAAGCACGAAGCAAGGAAGACAGTTACAACATGTTGATAAAATTACAAGAGTCCCTTCTTCTTGAGCATGGGTTCGATCACCGGGTCGCGGCCACGGAACGCTCGGTACGCGTCCATCGGGTGCACCGAGTTGCCCGTCGAGTAGATGTTCTCACGCACGCGCTTGGCCGTCGCGCTGTCAAAGACGTCGCCCGACTCCAAGAACGCGTCGAACGCGTCCGCGTCGAGGACTTCGGCCCAGAGGTACACGTAGTAGAGCGCCGCGTAGCCCGAGCTCGCAAAGAGGTGCGTAAAGTGCGGGATGCGGTGGCGCATGACGATCCCCGTCGGCATCTCGAGGTTGGCGAGCTCCGCCTTCTCGAACGCAAGCATGTCGAGGCCGTCCACCGAGTCGAGCTGGTGGAGCTTCTGGTCCATGAGCGCACACGCCGTGTACTCGACGGTGCCAAAGCCCTGGGCAAAGTTGGCGGCCGCCTTGATCTTGTCGAGGAGGCTCTGCGGGATCGGCTCGTCCGTGATGTAGTGGCGAGCGTGCTTGGTCAAGACGGCGCGTTCCTTGACCCAGTGCTCCATGAGCTGGGACGGGAGCTCGACAAAGTCGCGGAGGACGGCGGTGCCAGCGAGACGGTTGTACTTGACGTCCGAGAGCATGCCGTGGCAGCCATGACCAAACTCGTGGAAGAGTGTGATGGCGTCGTCAAACGAGAGCAGCGTCGGTTCGCCCTCCGCGCCCTTGACAAAGTTGTTGTTGTTGATGATGACCGGGATGACGTGGCTGCCCTTCTCGTCGACGTTGCGGCTCTGCGTGCGGAACGCGCTCATCCACGCGCCACCCCGCTTGAACTTGCGTGCAAAATTGTCGTGGAAGAAGATCGCCACAAGCTTGTCTTCGTTGTCAGCCGTCGTTTGGCGGACCTCGTACACGACGACATCCGAATGGTACGTCTCAATGTCCGGGCGCGGAATAAAACGCAGGCCAAAGAGGTGGAACGCCACGTCAAACACCGCGTCCGTCATGCGGTCGAGGCTAAAGTACGGCTTGACCGTCGCCTCGTCAATGTCATACCGCAGCTGGCGAACCTTCTCCGAGTAGTAGCGCCAGTCCCACGCCTGGACGACACTGCTGTCGCCGATCGACGCCGCGTACTCTTCAAGGGCTTCGCGCTCGCGGTTGGCCGCGACCTTGGCCGGCGCCCAGACGCGGTTGAGGAGTTCGCTGACGGCTTCCGGCGTCTTGGCCATCGTGTCGCTTGTCTGGTAGTCGGCAAACGTCTTGTAGCCGTGGGCCGTAGCTTGCTCGATGCGGAGCTTGAGGATTTGCTTTGCGACTTGGTTGTTGTCACGCTCAGGCGAGAGCTCGCCGCGGGACGTAAACGCGCGGAAGACCTTCTCGCGGGCTGCGCTGTTGGTGGCGTACGTGAGGAAGGGCTCGACCATCGAGCGGCTGAGCGTGACGATGTAGACGCCGTCGGCAGCGTTGCGGTCGGCTGCGTTTTGCTTGGCGGACGCAATGATGTCGGCGGAGCAGCCGCTCATCTCGGCTTCCGAGAGCTCGATCGTGTAGTCGGTTTCGTCGGCGAGGACGTTCTGGGTGAACTTGGTCGTGAGCTGCGCCAACTCCTGGAGAATCTCCTTGTAGCGGTCCTGGGTTGCCTTGTCGAAGCGAGCACCTTGGCGCACAAAGTCCAAGTGAATGCGCTCGATCAAGCGGCGATCCTCCGTGTTGAAGCCTTCGCGCGTCGCGTAGACTGCCTCAATACGCTCGAAAAGACCCGGGTACGTCGTGACCTTGGCGCCAAAGGCCGCCAGCGGACCCGCGAGCTCGCGCTGGACGGCTTGGAGCTCCGGCGGCGCGTACGAGCCACACAGGTTGTAGTAGACGCCGAGAATCTTGGAGAGAAGGCCGCCCGACCGGTCGTAGGCGACGATCGTGTTCTCAAACGTGGCCTCGTCCGGGTTCTCGACAATCTGGCGGAGCTCCTCGAGCTGCGCAGCCTGGGCGACGTCGATCGCGGGCTGGAAGTGAGCGGCCTCGATCGCGCCAAATGGCGGGAGCGAGAACGGCTGCGACGACCAGTCGGCGAGGAGCGGGTTGTTCTGGGCTGTGGCCATCGTCGCTTGAGCAGAAGCGCGTAAAAGGGAAAATGATGGATGTCGGGGAACGGACGCTGAAAGGAAGTGCGTCTGATTGGCCAAATCCAAAAGTGCAATTTGGACGTGAGCCAATCCACTGCCGACACTCGACCAACGTAGAAAGGCCACCATTTCCGAGGCTCCGTTGAAGTTGAAGGTTGGAGCTTCAGACAAGAAGCTCGGACAACGTGCACGCGTTCATCTGAGGTACCCAGCCTGCGCACTGTCGTAGCGTACTACGACGAGAGCTACAGTAAGCTCAGTGTGTCAGAGTGCGCGTGCAAGTGTCGTCGTAACGTTACCTTCCGAGTTCACAGCGCGCATTTGGATCATGGGTGTGAAAATGTGTTTTTTCGCGGCGTCACCAAGAAGCAAATGGATGCGCGATGCATTTGCGCAAGAGAGGACAACTTGATGCGCCGCAAGAAGAATCGCGAGAGCACCGGGGTCAGTCATGGGTTTTGGCAAACTCCTACCACGCGCACACAGCTCCTTTGGACGAGCTCTATGGACGTATTATGGGCGTCGATGGATCCACGCGCATTTAAATCGCAGCCGGTATCGTGGGGTCCGTCACCGCAAGCATGCCTGCTTTTGGCACACATCCGTCCGTGAAAGCAACGACATGCAAAGTAGCGGTCATGCAGGTTCTCGACGATGGCAAAATACGATCCCAAGGAGGACGCTGCCACCCAAGCGCTGCTCCAAGAGGTCGAAAGGACTCCGGCGAGAGACTTCCTACCGCCAACGGAAGCATTTATTGTCGAAACGTCAGCGCAGTCGTGTTGGGTTCACGGAAGATGAGCCAGCGTCAAGAGAGATATTAACGTTATGAAACAACACGACTACTTGGGTACGTCTGGTGTTTACCGTCGACGACAGTTCTTGGGTAGATGTTGATCAAGTGGGAGACGGCAATACATGTAATCTGATGAAAGAATATATAAATGGAAAGGTGCGGGGACTGCGTATCCAGCAATGGATGGTCCCTGGAGCGACTTCTAAGAAGCCTTACTTTGAAAGAAGTGCACTTGTACCGCTCGCAGTTTGCCAAGCCATCCTTGAGCTCCTCTGGCCTAGATTCTCTTAGACATCAACCCACGCAATCTGCCAACGACTGACGGAGTCCCTACATCACGCACACTCTGTTTGGAAAAAGATGGCCTCATTGTCAAAGTCGTGTCGCAGTGGCGTTGACAAGGTTCAAACGCGCCGAGTACGCCGTGCAGGCGCGCATTCAAGACGTTGAAAAGCACTTGGTTGTGCACCCTTGTGGTGGCCATAACCATCGTTCTATTAGTCAATCGACTCCAAGCTCGAGCACGCCGTGCATCCTCGAAGCCAATGTCGTCTGTATGTACGTCAGTCGCGGTTCAAGTGGCCAGAAGCGTTGAATAATAGATAGTTGTTGATGTTCAACAAAGCACTTGGTCCTGGCGACTATCTTGTGCGGCGGCGGTAGGCGAGTTCGTTGCAGCCGCTAAAAAGGCTTGTCGACTCGATCCAGTGCACAATGAGACCGTCTAAGGCACCGTGGTTGGACACTGGTACGGTCGAGACGTCTACAAGTCGACAACACCACACTGAGACGATGCGTGCGATGATCTTGCATGTACCTACCTGTCGTATTGAGGAGCGTCGTTGCGTTGGTCTTGGAGTAGGCCACATCGCTTTGAAAGAGGCCCGTGAGCGTCGCGAGTGCGGTCACGGCGATGGCGGGGATCACGAGCATGTTGGCAACTGACGCCTGGCTACAGGCGTTTCAAGGCGTTGCAAAAGGCAATTTCGTTTTTGTTCGTTCATCAAGACGCCTGCACGCAGCGCCGAGCGACTCGTACCTAAGTGGTAATCACACCATGGGTCTTGTTTACTGGAATGGTCCCCCATGACAATCTTGGGGTGCGGCAATTGGGTCCCGTCATTTCGGTTAGCGCACCATGGCCCGCATCGCTAACCGCCTTCCACAGCTTCAATTCGCTTATCCAGTACAGCTCAGGATGGGAAAGTGGGGAAGTTCCCTGCGAAGCTTCTGCGACGTGTCGTCGCTCGCATCACGCAAACTTGCGCAATCCGCGACGCAGCGAGAAGATCGCGCAGTTCTTTCTTCAGCGGTAGCCACTGCAGCTGCCCATACCCAAGCCACCTGCGCTGACATGACTGTTCTAGAGTCTCCACTAGAAGGACGGACTAGACATACGAACCACAATGCACGACTCTAGTTCATAGCTTACGTTCTCAGTATCGCAGCACTTTTTACAACAAGCACTTCTTCTTGAGCATGGGTTCGATCACCGGGTCGCGGCCACGGAACGCCCGGTACGCGTCCATGGGGTGCACCGAGTTGCCCGTCGAGTAGATATTTTCACGCACACGCTTGGCCGTCGCGCTGTCAAAGATGTCGCCCGACTCCAAGAACGCGTCGAACGCATCCGCGTCGAGGACTTCGGCCCAGAGGTACACGTAGTAGAGCGCCGCGTAGCCCGAGCTCGCAAAGAGGTGCGAAAAGTGCGGGATGCGGTGGCGCATGACGATCCCCGTCGGCATCTCGAGGTTGGCGAGCTCCGCCTTCTCGAACGCAAGCATGTCGAGGCCATCCACCGAGTCGAGCTGGTGGAGCTTCTGGTCCATGAGCGCACACGCCGTGTACTCGACGGTGCCAAAGCCCTGGCCAAAGTTGGCGGCCGCCTTGATCTTGTCGAGGAGGCTCTGCGGGATCGGCTCGTCCGTGATGTAGTGGCGGGCGTGCTTCTTGAGCACATCTGGCTGCGACATCCAGTGCTCCATGAGCTGGGATGGGAGCTCGACAAAGTCGCGGAGGACGGCGGTGCCAGCGAGACGGTTGTACTTGACGTCCGAGAGCATGCCGTGGCAGCCATGACCAAACTCGTGGAAGAGCGTCTTGACGTTGCGAAAGCTGAGGAGTGCAGGTTGACCGTTGGCGCCCTTGACAAAGTTGCAGTTGTTGATGATGACCGGGATCACACGCGTGTCGTTTTCGTTGCGGCTCTGCGTGCGGAACGAACTCATCCACGCACCACTGCGTTTCCCCTTCCGTGCATAGCAGTCATGGAAGAAGATCGCCACAAGCTTGTCTTCGTCGTCATCGGCCGTCGTCTCGCGCACCTCGTAGACCTTGACGTCCGGGTGGTACGACTCAATGTCTTCACGCAGGATAAAATGCAGGCCAAAGAGGTGGAACGCCACGTCAAAGACGGCTTCGACCATGCGATCGAGGCTAAAGTACGGCTTGACCGTCGCCTCGTCAATGTCATACCGCAGCTGGCGAACCTTCTCCGAGTAGTAGCGCCAGTCCCACGCCTGGACGACACTGCTGTCGCCGATCGACGCCGCGTACTCTTCAAGGGCTTCGCGCTCGCGGTTGGCCGCGACCTTGGCCGGCGCCCAGACGCGGTTGAGGAGTTCGCTGACGGCTTCCGGCGTCTTGGCCATCGTGTCGCTTGTCTGGTAGTCGGCAAACGTCTTGTAGCCATGGGCCGTAGCCTGCTCGATGCGGAGCGCGATAATCTTGACCGCAATATCGTTGTTGTTGTTTTCGGGCGAGAGCTCGCCGCGGGACGTAAACGCGCGGAAGACCTTCTCGCGGGCAGCGCTATTGGTGGCACTCGACAAGAACGGCTCGACCATCGACCGGGCGACCGTGACCACGTAGACGTCATCGCCGTAACCACGGTCGGCGGCGTTTTGCTTGGCGGACGCAATGATATCGGGGGTGCAGCCGTCCATCTCGGCCTCCGAGAGCTCGATCGTAAAGTCCGTCTCGTCGGTCAGAACGTTTTGCTTGAACTGGTTGGTGAGTTTGGCGAGGTCCTGGAGCACTTCGGTGTAGCGCGCCTGCGTTTCCTTGTCAAAGCGAGCGCCGGACCGGACAAAGTCCAAGTGAATGCGCTCGATGAGGCGAAGGTCTTCGCCGGCAAAGGCGTCGCGGGCGTGGTACACCGCGTCGATGCGCTCAAAAAGACCCGGATACGTCGTGATCTTGGCGCCAAAGGCAGCGAGGGGCCCCGCCAGCTGCCGCTGCACGGCCTGCAGCTCAGGCGTCGAGCACGAGCCACAGAGGTTGTGGAAGACGTTTAGAATGGCATTGAGCGAGCGGCCCGACCGGTCAAAGGCCACAATCGTATTGGCAAACGTGGCCTCGTCTGGGTTCTCGACAATCTGGCGGAGCTCCTCGAGCTTCTGGTCCTGGGCAACTGCAATCGCGGGCTCAAAGTGGTCGGCTTGGATGGCGCCAAAGGGCGGGAGCGAGAACGGCTGCGACGACCAGTCGGCGAGGAGCGGGTTGTTCTGGGGCGTCATTCTCGTTGCAAAAAGGCAAAAGGCAAAATGGCTATCACCGACCAGCCAATCACAACCCGCCAAGTAGAAAGTGCCTCGTTCCGAGCTTGACACTTCCGCCCCAAAAAGGTACAAAACACTTGTATTAACAATACGACAACTACGCACATTTTGGTCGACTACAGAGCAAAGGTTTGGACGCCCTCAAAGTCGAACGAGCCGTCGGCCAAGTTGAGCTGGCGGTTGGTGAGTGTATACAACCGAATGCAGCGGTCCGAGAGCAGCTGCGGGTCCTCGTCGTCGTCGTCGTCGCTCGTGTCGCTTGGGCCGACCGAGAGGCGACTCGCACTGGCTTTGTCCTGACTCTCGTCGCTTGTCGTCTCTGCTTCCTGCAGGTCCATGATACCGTTGTCGAGTTCGTCCTCTTGGAAGACGTGTGGGGACGTGTCGTCGTCATCGTCGTCATCGTCATCGTAGAGCTCCACACACGGCTGGTGCACTCCTTGTGGCGATGCCGGCGCTGCGTTGTCGATGGAATCGGACACGATGATCGGCTCGCCGTTGTTTCGATGTCACACGCGTGTGACGCGTCATCGTTGTTGTCATTGTCTTGAGCATCTTTGACTTTGTCTTGGGCGTCTTCGTCCTCGCCTTGGATGTATTCAGCCTCATCCTGGGCTTTGTCATCTTCGAGCATCATCGCATCATCGAGGACGACGATGTCGGGACGCCGGGGTACTTCAGGGGGCGGCGTGGGCTCTTGGTCGTGGCTCGACTTGGATTTGTCGTCGACAAGGACGATCGTCGACCGCCGGCCAGCGATCGAACTACGGTTGCCCACAGACGGCGCGCCGAGCTGCACAAGCTGGTCTTGGATCGTCGCCATGCTTTCCTTGATCTCGAGTCGCTGGGACGTCAGCATCGTCACGGCCTCGGCATCGCCCCGCTTTTGGGCTGCCGAGATTAGCATGACGCAATGATGCTACACCCGGCCGTAAGATTCATCCAATATGAAGAAGAAGAGGAAGCGTACCAGTTCGCCGCGCAGCACATCCAATTGACCGTCGAGGACGAAAATCTCGGGGTTGAAGAGCAGCGACCCGTTCTGTTCGCGGCGGTTGGCAACCGTCTTTTTCTGCAAGGCGTCTTGAGCAGCTTTGAGTTCCGCCTTGAGGCTGGCGCGACGCAAGAGTCGTTCGCGCTTGGCGCGGAGGTCGGACGACGCGCCATCGAGCACCACTTCGCTCTAGCATCCCGTATCTCCAACCGCAGAGCAATGGAAAGCCGCGTACCAGTGCGGCTTGGAGACGGCTGATTTGCGCTTCAAGCGAGTCGCCCGACGTCTCGTGCATCGCGTCCAGCGCTGCTTGCACTTGGATGGCTTCGTCGCGGAGGGTCTTCTTCTCCTGCATGACTTGCATCGCGCGTCGCAGCTTCCCGTCCCGCGTCAACTGCGTCACCGTCGAGTCCATCGCATGGCAGCTCGCAGTGATCCACTCGAGACGCGCCTCGAGGTCGGCTTGGGACGCCGTGGAAATCGAGAATCGGCCGTAGAGCGACACGCGGTAGTCGAGCGAGTCGAGGTGCACCGTCTCCATCGCAGCGATGCTCGTTGGTTTGTGCACCGGGTCGGGTACCGAGCAGCTGCGCTCGTACCGAACCGCAGGCCTATTGTTGTTGCAAGGCTATGGACACATATACGTGCAGTCGATCACGTCGTACCAGTCGTCCTTGTTGTCCTTGTTGTCTTGGCCGACGCTACGCCGACGGGGCACGGGCGGCGGATTCTCCATTTCGGACCTACACAGGGAGCCCAAGTCCTCGACGGAATTGGAGAATTCGATCGACGTACCGAAGCACGGGCTCGGCACCAAGACCGAGCAGGTTGTGCGGTGCTTTGTTCGTGTCGGCCGCGGGCTCGGGCGTGATCGAAGCGAGCACGGGACTGGACGTCTGGCCCGGAAGGTTCGTCGGCTGAATCAACTTGATACTTGTCGTCGAGTCCGGATTCCACTTGTCGAGGCACGGAATGCAAAACACCTGGACGACGTCGTTCTCTTTGGCTCGAAAGTCAATTTTGCACGCGCCGCAGATGATGGCACCGCACATGAGGCACTGGTCGCGCACCGGTGCACGGAACTGGAGCTGGAACTTGAACGGCTGGGCGCACGACTCGCAGCGGCGCGCTTTCGACTTGGCGCTGCTCGCGGGTGGCTGGCGAATCCGCGGCGCGCCTTTCGCGTGCAGCTTGGCGCTCAGGTAGTACTGGTTGAGGTCCCCGAGAAAGCGAAACCACTGGACGAGCGTCGCCCGCACGTGCTTGAGCTGCTTGTCGCCTTTAAAGTCGACCTTGAAGAGGGCAAAGACATCGAGGACGCCCTTGCGGCGCGCATCTTCGAGGATGACAAAGCCCGACCGGTACATGCCGCCACGCACAAAGCGGTACGCTTTCGGGGGCGTCATGACGCCGACGTGGTCAAACTGCGGCGGCGCACCGGGAAAGTCCATCGAGTGCATCGAGACGATGTGGCCGCGGACGCCGTCGCCGTCTGTAAACGTATCCGAGCGCTACGCATGCTAGAGCTTAACACGACGAATGATGTATAGTCCATTTCGTCTACCTGGAGCACGACAAAGTCGCGGTGGAGCATGCCCTCCGTGCTCTTCATGGCGAGCCACTGGATCGACGACTTGTCGTCGACGGACACGAGCGACTCGCAGGCCAAGAGGTCGTCGTCTGCGAGCGACGGCGGCCCGCTGCAAGTCGATGCGCCATACGCCTTGGATAGAGGCAGCTGCATGGCGGCAGCAAAGTCGGTCATTGGCGCATGGACACGGGCAATGCCACACACGTGCATGGTGCCATCGTGGTCGTCCGTGTCCTTGAGGTAGAACATCTCCATGTTGTTGTCTGTCTCGAGACGCTCCCACGACTCGCGCACCGTGGCCATCGAGAAGGCGAGGCGCTTCAGCGACGTGCACGACTGCTTGCCCATGGTCTGCAGCTGCGCGCGTTGGTCGGGCGACGGAAACGTGGCGGCCGCGACAGGTGGGATGGCGGGCATGACGAGGCGCAGCGGCGACGCGGGCGACGTCGAGCGTGGGCCAGGCACGGCCGGCGAGCTGTCCCCAAAGAGCTTCTTCGGCAAGCCCAGGACGCGCATCGCGGATGGTGGGACGGAATAGGTAGTGTCAAGAGGCGTCGCTCGCGTTGGCGCTGGAGACAACCATCAGCCGCGTGCTTCGGAGCCAGCTGGAGCGTACATCTCCCGTACAGCTGTACGATGTACCAGATTATTGCTGCATTTTGACACGCCAACATCTCCAGGCCGATACATACCATGGCGAGCTAGAGCTAGATCCTACTGCGCATCCAGACGTGCGCACTTGTCGAAGATGAACGGACATGGCTGGTGACGTGAGCGGTTTGGCAGACCCGAGTCGTCGGAGGCAGACGATGATCGCGATGCTCTGCAAGCTATCCGTAGATTCTACGGCGGGTGTAAGCAGCGCGCTGCGAGCAATGAGGCAGGACGGAGTCGATCGAGATTAGGTTTACTGTTAGAGGTGGTTCAATCCAAGCTCTGCAACCATCGAGGATGATGGGTCATCACCACGCCGACATGCTGCATACCGTACTAGTTGGCGTGGAGATGGCGGACCGACCATCCCGTCATCTCGATGGCGCGAAATACCATCATGGCTACTAGTACGAGTGTGCAGAGCTCATTTGCTCAGCGACATCGCCGAGCATCGATCGCCGAGCATGTTCGAGCTATCGTTTGAACGTACGGTACGGCGTACATTCGGACCGTACATTGCGATCCGCGTCGCCGTATCCGGACATATCACATGTGTCCCAGACACGAAGCTTGCAGTTTGTATGCGCACGCGCATCCGAACTCTCGCTGCGGTTCTCGGAAGGCTGCTGGCTTTAACGCGACGTCATTCGAAGCCAGCGATCAGACGCGAGCGCGATTCTATCCTCATGTGCTCGACTGCATGTGTAGTACTAGTACACTTTAACCCCTCAACGCCCAACTTTAGGTACTTCGAGCCACGTGGGTGAAGCCAGAGCCTACCGGAGTCGTTTGCAGTGTGAACGTTACTCTACATTGCAGGACTGATATGCCAAAGGATTTCCGCCGCCTCTGCCGCGACGTCACTGGCTGGGATATCTGCATGGTAATTGACTCGGCATGCACTGCCGATTTATGAGGCCTTCCAGAAGACACCTTTGGCGTTTCCATGGATCTGCTGTAGCGCTTCCGGCCGTGCACTGTATTGCAACCTCGCAAAGGAGCTTGGCATCACTTTGTTTCGCGTCGACGCAGAAATTTAAGCGCAAATATGGACCGTTGCCGGGTGGAGGTTGGATTGGCGCTTGCAAGAGTTGGCAACCTCTTGGTAGAAGATCGCGCTACCCTGGAATATATGGCTGGTCGGCACGACAAAGCCGCGCAACAACCCGCGGCAATCTCTCTCGCAGCAGCGCTCTCTGCGCCGACTGATGTGCAAGCTGGTAGGTCATCCGCTCATTTCGTAGTCGACCAAAGATCTGGAGACAACGACTGAGAGAGGTATGCGCGCAGACGAACGAATCGCTGGCAGCTCCTTGTAGCAATCCAAAGCAAGTGGCTTGGCCGCCAAATTTCTTGGCCGCGTACCGCTGTAAAGAAGCTTGATGTTTGTATGCTGTGGCAGGTGGAATGGCGCGTGTCCCACTCTCGACTCCCCCCAGGGCCTACCGAAAAACCATCCAATTCAAATGCAAAGTGCTTTGCCAAGCGATAAAGCGAGGCCCCCACCCTCGTCGCACGATCCAGGGTTGCTCACCCAAGCTGTAATATTTCGCATTTCGCAACAAAACACTTGATATGTGTATGCAGAATTGATCGCGGGTATTAAATACGCACGCTGGAACTGGCCAGTTCCGCCGGCAAGCGTGCGCTGGGTCAACTCATTTGGATTTTCGCACCCGAGGAGCTACAGCATGAAGGTGCACGCGATCACGATCGGCGCCGTCCTCGCCTCGATGGCCTCGATGGCCGACGCGCAGTTTGGCCTCAGCGCCTTCTTCGCGGCCAGCGCCAGCAACAACAACCTACCGCGCGTGCTCACGGGCACGCCAGCCAACCCGCTCACCATCTCGCCCGAGCCGACGAGCAGCAACAAGACGGCCGCGCCGACCAAGAGCACCAACCTCTTCGACCTGCTCAAGAACAAGAACAAGGCCACACCGGCGCCGGACCACACGGTCGCCAACCTCGACTTGACGGATGGCGTCGTCATCAACGAAGACTCGTCGGGCCAGATGACGCGCCGCCGCCTCGACAACAGCCAGGACCGCGACTACACGATGCAGATGCTCTTCTGCCATGGCTCGTCCAACTCGATCCAGTCGTACCACTCGTACCGGCCCGAAAGCACGACGACCCCCGTGTACAACCCGCTCCTTGCGTCCTCGGCGCAGGGCCAGTGCGGCAAGTACATTGTCAAGTCGGAGACGCTTGCGACGCAGGTCGGGTGCAACCGCAGAACAGCCCGAACGGCTGCGCAAAGTCATATACGCCGGGCTGTGGCGGTCTTGCGATCAACCCCAAGACGAAGGACACGATCGTGGCCCGCACGGGCGGCCGCACGATCGGTCGCCTCGTCAAGACCACGGACAGCAGCGGCACCTGCCAGAGCCGCGTCGTCGACTGGCTCGTCCGCTACCGTGGCAAGCGCTTCAACGGTCCGAGCGACACGACGTACACGTCGACGGGCAACCTCTACTTTACCGACTCGCCGTTCGGTCTTGCCTCGACCCAAAGCGAGCTCCTCTCGGCCAACATCTCGATGCTCGATGCGAAGCGCGAGCTGCCCTTCAACGGCGTCTACCTCCGCCCTGCGAACGGCGCCGTCAAGCTCATCGACTGCGGTCTCTCGCGTCCCAAGAGCATCGCGTTTTCGCCGCGCGAAGACACGCTCTACGTCTCGAACGCCGACGTCAACGACCCATTTGTCAAGTCGTACACGCTCGGCGCCGATGGCACGCCTCTGTGCTCGCGCCGTTTCTTTGACCTGACGCCGTACGTCGCCGACGCCAAGGCCGCCGAGTGCGCGCGCACATACCCGACGGGCCTCAAGGTCGACGATCAGGGCTTTGTGTACATTGCTATGTGCCGCAACATTTACATTGCGTCGTCGAATGGCACGTATCTCGGCCGCCTCCAGGGCACGTCGGAGCTGCGCAACCTCGCCTTTAGCAAGGGCTACATGTACCTCACGTCCAGCTCGAACGTCTACGCGCTGCCGCTCGACCTCTCGCTCCAAAACTCGCAGGCAGTCGTGTCGTCGGAGGCGACGTGCCCGTCGGATGTCGCCGCAACGTCGGCGCAGACACTGCTCTCGGCCACAGTCACGCCGACCGAGACCACGTCGTCGCCGAGCTACGGCGTTGGCATTGGTGCCGGTGTCGGTGTCGGCGCCGTCGCTGCCATTGCCCTTCTCGTCTACACGCGCAAGCAGGCAGCGCCGGTGGCCGTGCAGACGACGCCCGAGTTTTCGCCCGTCACGACGCCCCGCAACATCTTTTAAACTGTCATTTCGTTGAATGGAAGCATGCATTCGTTTATATTTACCCGGTTTGCTAGTACTTGATAATGGACAATCTGTCCATGTTTGCCGATTGCAATAGTTGAACACCCGCAGCGCTGGGACGGCCGCGTGCGTATAAATAGCCAGCGCGTGTAGAAAAGGCGATGCAGCGAGCCACCGCGTCGCTCCCGCGTCTCATGAGCCCAGATGCGTCCCACCCACCACCGGCATGCGGCTATGTAAGGACACGCCGTCTATGGGCCCAGCTTCACCGCGCGATCATAGGGCCGCGAGGTGGACGAGGCCGACGTGAGCACCGTGACGCTGACCAACCAAGAGCGGCACCGCGCGTCGCATTGGACCCAGTCCTACAACAGCATGATTCGCACGACGTTTGTCGAGACGGCAAGACGCTCCTCCGTGCATCCCGCTGGCTCATCCGATACTAGAGTCTGGCACCGCTTTTAGAAAAGTTCGAGTCCATCGGTGCGCGGTCGTCTTCCATGCAATGCAATTCACTCGACGTAGACGCGTTTCGACGACCGCGGAAGCGGTTTACGCTCGTGGACCCGCTGCCCAAGCTGCGCGCCGACGCCAACAGCCTCCGGCGCGACGCTGTCCTCGCGCTCACGCGGCACAAGCGACACGGCGGCGGCTTCTCGGGTACAGTGGCTATGGGTTGAAACGATGTATCGATCGCGCTTGTAGCGCTCAAGGGCGATCTGGAGGCGACCACGGACGCACTTGCCCAAGTGCACATTTCTCGCGTCGTGTTTGCCTCGTCCTTGCACAACTCGCGGTGAGTCGCCGCATCTCATTCTTTTCAATTCGTCAATGCGAAGGTGCAAAGGTGCGAGTACTGCTCGCACATGGGCGGCGAGCTCGCATGTGCCATGTACTACGCGAGAGCCCTCTCGCTCTTCATCATACGACGGCCAATAGGTGCAACGTCATTGCGCACACGGCGTGCTATCTCGGTGCGACGTCTTGATCATTGCGATTCAGCAGCGTACTTACCGATGCCAAAGAGGCGTGGAAGGGACTTGCTCGACGCGGCGCCGTGAGCTTTGAAGTCCAAGGCGATGACAAGACAAAATGGATTTGCACCTACTGCGAAGAAGACCTGCAAGAGGTTCGAGACCAGCTACCGTCGGCTGCCCACCACGCGTTGCTAGGAGCACCAAGCCCAAACGACGCGCTATCGGTACAACAAAAGGCTCCAGAAGGAAATGGCCTGCGGGCGACTCATCGCAGGTCCGCTGGATGCCAACGCGACGACATCGTGCTAGTGACGTGGAACTAGGCTACGCGCGCATGTCGAAAGAAACGCGGCTCTTTGTGCGCAAGAAAGAGTGCGCAGTGCGCATCCAAGCCCACATCCGAGGTCCAACCCCGTGTTTCCAATTCAAACATATCATTGGCGCGTGGATAGGCAAGCTCGCGCGCCGCGCGTTTAACGCGATGCAGCGTTTGCGCATTCGCCCGTACGTGGTCCATCTCATGAGTCTCCGTGGGCTCGGGTACCGGCCCCATTTTTCGAATTGATTTATATATTGTTGGCAGCTCGGACGGCGATGCCGCGTCCAAGTCGCCGCGCTCGACGACCGGTGACGACGATGTGTGTGGCGAGACGCGCCTGCCCAACGGCTTTCTGTGCAACCCGTTTGTGGTGTTTCATATTGTCGCCGAGCACGACGACGAGGCGCAGCAGTTTTGGTACAACCCTACATCCTACCCTAACCCTATCCAAGGGTGTAGCTTTGAGAGCGCGATCCAGCGCGGCTCGAACGAAGTCGCGTGGAACGAAGCCATTTTTGTGCCGGGCGTCGATGGCAACGTCACCATGTGTTTTACGGTTCTGAGCAAGAACGGCCCCAACAACTTTTTCCTCGGCCAAGGTAGTAGTAACATCATGATTCGACTACTGCCAACGTGATATCCGCAGGCATGGTGCGCATGAGTGGGACGGAAATCTGGCGGTATGGCGCCAACCTCGAGCTCCCGATCCGCCCGGAATTGGAAGTAACCAATGGATGGATCCAGAATCAACTTGATCGCTGGACTAGGTCATTCCCAAGGCCGGGCACAACAAGCTCATGCGCATCCAGGACATTGGCTCGATCACGCGTGAGCTCACACTCTCGGTGCACATCAAGCAGTTTGCCGACCCAGTTGCCAACTGCGGCTACATGCAGTCGATCAACACGATCGACTCGGCCAAAGGCAACAGCCGCTGGTGTGTTCTCGCCGACGGCATCTTTCGCATCTACCGGTAGATGCGAACTCGGACGACCATATAAGCCAGCGATATGTGTGTAGGCACTATGGGCTCACGCTCGCGTTCGAGACGCTCAAGATGATGCACGCGAGCGAGGTCCAGCTGCTCACCGTGGCGCCGCACCATGCGATCCACCTCACCAAGCACACGGTCAAGCAGTCCACCGTGGTCTTTGTCCAGCACGAGCAGCGGTCTTATCTGCTACGCGCCGACTCGAACAAGGCCAACATGACGTGGTCCAAGAAGCTGCATTTCGCAATGAAGCAGCACAAAACCTACTGAGTGCCATACGTCACGTCGACCTATACAAGAAAACATCAACATTTCATCTCAAAATATCGAAATATCAACCGATCGGTGTTCCACGGCCGAGATGCGGCAGGCTTCGGCGATGATGGTTGCATTCCGCGCTTCGGTCCACGAGACGCGCGGGATGGCCTTGTCGAGCACAATCTCGGCGAAATGGTCGACTTCCGCGAGATACGCATCGCGGAACCGCTGCGGAAATGAGTGCTGGTACACGTCGCTGTGGACGCCGGCGCTGGTCGACGCGCGCAGCGACGTCTTGTGGATGTTTTGGACTTCGAGCATCCCGTCAGCGCCAAAGACTTCGATGCGCTGGTCGTAGCCGTACGCCGCGTGGCGGCTCAAGTCCATCGTGCAGATCGCACCCGACGGGAATTCGAGCCAGACCGACGCCTTGTCCATGACCTACACGTCATATAGTGTGTCGCTTCTATATGTCGAATGAAAATATACGTGGATGACTTGAAGCTCGGGGCTCAAGCTTGTGCCGTGCGCCACGACGCGCGTCGGATACTCGCGCTGTAGCGAGCACACGAAGTCAATGTCGTGGACGGCGAGGTCGTGGAACGGGTCACCGCCGCCTTTTAAGAACGCGACCGGCGGGCATGGATGGTCTCGGAAGACCGTTTGGATGGACTGGACGGGTCCGATCGCGTTGGCCTGGACGGCTTCGTACAAGGCGACGTAGTTCGGGTCAAAGCGCCGCTGGAACGAGCAAAAGAGCGGCACGCCGTGCGTCTCGCAAACTAGAGAATGACCGCTCGCCTCGTGTGGGTACACCTTTGCGTACCTTTGTAGGCTTTGTCGATCTCTTCGAGCGACCCGGCGACGGGCTTTTCGACGGCAATCGCCTTGCCCGCAATGGCCGCGAGCTCGATCAAGTCCAGGTGCGTGAACGTGGGCGTTGAGATCCAGACCGCCGCCACCTACGCACGTTATAACATGAGCGAGGAGCGGCAATGTGGTTGTGATGCGCACCGCAGGGTCGGCGAGCGCCTCGGGGAGCGTGGCGACGGCGGTCGCGTGGCAGCGCTCGGCCAGCGTCTCGGCCTGGGCGAGGTTGGCGTCGACGACGTACGCGACCTTCATGCGCGGGTTGGCCATGAGGCCTTGGAGGCGGATCTGACCCATGCGGCCGGCGCCGACAACGGCGATGTGCACGCGTCCATCGGCCATCTTGGACCAGATCTGGCGAAGCGTCGAAAGATTCTGGCCCGACGATCCGGATATCGAGTTGACAAGAAAGCCGAATTTGGATGTCGCGCCGTAGTGCATGAGACTCGAGGCGAGGTTGGCGGCCATGAGTCGACTCCGGTAGAGAATGCAACGGAGAGTAAAGGATATGTTGTGAATGCGACCCATGAACGCGTTGTGACGCTGCTGCGTGTCTGGCTATCGAAGAACACAGTATTCTGAGTGCGTATCTTGATGTTTGTATGGAATGCAAATAAGATCTGTGTTTCGCCAACACGCTCCCTTGTTGCATGGCTATGGCGGGCGCCAACGTGGCGCCTGTATATGCCCATGCGCACCCGTTCGCTCCGAGTACTGTTACACCTGCTTTGTTGCAGTAGCCATGGCGCCCTCTTCTGCCTTGAAGGTCCACCCTCCCACCGCGCCCTCCCACTGATACTCGACATTATTATTGACATTGAGATTGCACTTTGAGTTTGCCCTTTGTATTGCAATATGTAGAGGAATGGTGTGGAAACCTCAAACGCAGGCTCAAAAGAGGATTACAGGCCGAGCCGCTCGAGTGCGTCGCGTGCGTCGCGCTGCAACGTCGCCGATGTCGGGTGCAGTCGCATGACGTGGCGGAGCGACGTGGCGAGCGCCGGAGTTGCCCACGTGCCGCGCCCAGAACACGCCGCGTAGTGGCGCAAGATGCAGCAGACTTCAATCTGCAATCCTTCGTGGTCTTCGTACGCTATGTGGCAGGCCAGAACGAGCTGTAGCATACCAAGTCCTTCGTCGCAAACCTCGGAAACCTACGAGTAGCCGCATGTTGAATATCAACAAGGCATCGATTTGAACCTCGCGGTCGAGAAAAAAACGGGCTACGAGATGGTGCACGAGTCGAAGAAGGTCAAACGTCATGGGTGCGTCTGATTCGTGGTACCCGCGTAGGGCGTCTTGGACACAGGACCAGCCGCCCGCCACAGTCAGCTATCGCTCCTGTCACCCTCCTCCTCGAATACAAACGCTCACCAGACCTCGCAGGCCAGAGACGACGACGCGTGGCACAGCGTGCGGTAAAGGTGCGTCACCTCGGCCAACACGCGTGGCTGCTTCCAGTGGGTTGCAAAGACCGTGCGGAACCACGCGGCGTCTTGAAAGAAGAGTCGAGCATCTGCGCCACGTCCGACGATGACGACGTCAACGACAAGCGCTCCCACCTTTGTCGCACACGAGCTCGATAAAAGCGACGCACGCCATGACCACCTCTTGTGACGAGAGGTGGGTCACGACTGCACTTACAGCATGGTTGCCCATGTCGGCAATGTGCTCCTAGCATCCAGTAAGCTCCATTTTGTACAGAAGAAAGCTGCGACACCGTGCTAAGCCGGTGCTTGAAGCGGCGTGCGATCGCACCAAAGACACGGTACCCGTGGCTCTGCGCGAGCGGCTCGTCCATGTACCGAGTGAGCACGGAAAGCTGCAGAGGAATCCCATCCAAGGTCGTGAACCAACGAAGCGTGAGCGGCTCGCTTGCTGTCAAAAGCACATCCAGCGTCCAGAGCACCTCACTGACGATCCGCGCACTGGCGGGGTAGGCCACCTACGCGCTCGAGACTCCATATTGCACGTTTGATTCTCGAAGCGTACAAGGAGTGCATGCAGATGGTCGGCCACGAGCAATGCCTCGAGGCGGAAAATGTTGCGTGGCGACGCGGCCAGCGACCGCAGCGCCTGGCAGCCAAAGAACTGGACCTCTTCGAGCGGCTGAAGCGCGCGCAGCATCTGTAGTACCAGCGCACATGCGCCGGCCGACCCGAGGCGCTTGGCCGTCGCTTCTTCATCTACACGACGTAAACCAAGGCAGAGAAAGGCGGCGCGCGGACCTTTGGCCTCGGTCACGGCGCGTTGGATCGCCATAAAGCCAGCGATCGCGAGACCGACGTTGTTGGGGTCGTCCGAGAGTCGCTGTACGAGGAGCGCATAGTCTTGGGCCTCTAGAAGAGCGTCGAACGAGAGGTCGGCACCGTCCTGGCCGCGGGCTTGGCGCGTATAGCACATATTTCGAATCTTTTTTTGGCTTTTACGCGCGTTTTCGGATGGTGCAGCCCGTGGTCGTCGACGCCGGTGGGCTCGAAACAAGCTGCACGCACATCCTGATAGCAACGTAGGTATTTCGTACGTCGCGTGGTCGCCGGACGATGGACCGCTCGTCGCAGGTGCGAGCGTTTGCCGTAGGAACGTCGCTTCCTGTAGAGATGGTACGTAGATGAGCCCAACAACACAACGCTGGTCTTCCTCGAGACAGACGACCTTGCGTACGCGAGGTTCTTCGCAGACTTTGGCCCTCTGCCCCTCGGCCAAGTAAAGCCCGCGCTTTGCATTCGATCTCATGATAGCTAGGTGGTGCGATTTCTACGCACGTTGCAAACCACTGCAACGAGCTCGACGCGCGTGCTCTGCTACTCGACGTGCGTACAACATGTCGGTTATCGTACCGAGGCATGCGCGGTAGAGCCCACCCGCAGCGCCAAGCCAACGCCATTGCGCTCCTCACGCTCTACCGCGTCCTCGTCCTCGAGCTCTCGCCAGCAGAGGCATTCTTGCCATTTCAAGCACTGTTGCTGCCGCTTTTCCGGGATGCTTCGTATGGCGTTTGCACGTTTGGGCTTTCGATACTCGACTGCGCGGCGGCGATGCACAAGGTTAGCGCTGCGGCAACGTGCGAGAAAGATGCGGATGCTGTAGGCGGTGGCGCGACGCCTCTTTGCGCTCGACACGTGCGCTGGCGTCACGGCAGGAAAGGCAAGCCAACGGTGCGATGTAGGTTTGACGTCGACCGCTACGAGGCGATGGGAAACGAGAGCGACATGCACTGGATCGTGCCTCAAAAGCTGGTCGCCCTCCCGTACGACCCCACCCACGTAGGACGGGCATTCACGCGTTCGCGTACAGCGGCCCGACGTCGCAGCCCGCGAGTAGCGATCGCCGAGCGTTTCCGCGGCGCGTCGACGACGTCGCGCTGGAGCTCAAGGCCCTGAACGTCTGCCTCTCTTGGACTTTCAATGGATCGATCATTAATGGGGTAGGTATCGTGCGTCGGTATATCTTTTCTCGCAACGAGGCACTGCAGGGCCATCGCTTCGTGGGGTAGTGCGCCTCAACGATGCTTCCGACTACGCTGCGCGCACCATGGTGGCTGTCGGCTTGCGTCACGTACGTTAGCAGCCATGCTCTGTTGCCAGCTAGCGGGACGTAGGTGGAGTTGCCGTGCGCTGACGGCGGCACGCCATCCGAGGCGCAACTGGCGTCCTTCTTCTCGGTGCGACCCATTGCGAAGCCTTGCAGCTGCATTCGCATGATACTATAATGTGGTAGATCTGCGACCGCGAAAAGGGCGCTGTGGCGGTGCACTGCGAAGGCGGTCTCGGCCGCACAGGCACGGCGATCGCTGCGTACCTCATCCACGTACTACGAACTTGCCTGCTTGCTCCAGCACAACAACGTGCTACGTAGCGGTATGGATTTACGGCGCCTGAAGCCATTGCGTGGTGTCGACTGTGTCGGCCGGGAAGTGTCCTCGGGCAGCAGCAGCACTTTTTGATGTATATGGCGCCACGCCTTCGCGCCTTGCCACCCACGGCGATGCCCGCCAAGACCACAAAACACCCCAAGAAAACAAAGACAAACAAGACGATGGTGACAAACGAAAGTTAGCTCATGACCTCGTGCAATAGTTTAATAATATTGCTGCCGGTTTCCTGATGTACGTTTCAGTGGTGTCCTTTCTTCGTACGGGCGCTGAGGTTCGGTACGCCCTTGGCACAAAGCATGCGCGCCAAGCTCTCGAGCTTGACGTTCGGGAGGTACTTGGCCCGCTCCGCGTTGAGCTCAAACTCGTGCGCCTACGCGCGCACTTGAGCCGCGCTCCATGTACCTTTTACCAGCACCTTTTGGTACAGTTCAAGCACATCTTGCTCGACGAATTCGTATGGAAAGTACTTGGTCACCTACGTAAAAGCAAAATTTCGCGTGGGCAGAGAGAAAATCTCAGCCACGAACCAGCGCCTTGAACTCGCTGTACTCGACCCCGTCAATCGGCGTGTCTCGCTTGAGCTTGGCCGTGATCGTCTCGAGGTCTCTCGCCGCTTGCGTGTTCCAAACGTGCATGGCGATCCCCAAGACCCCTTCGAGCGTCAGCATGGTCCACCTACTTTGCGTCCAAACACAAGATCAAACAATTTAGTTGTTGATACCGTTTGCTGCGCGGCAAGTGCCGACTCGAGGGTCGGGACGAGCTCACGGATCGCGCAGTACCAAGCGCGGCCTCTGCAACGTCAGTGTCTTGGTCGTGCAGCATCTCGCGCATGATCGCTTGCGTCTCTGGTGCGATGACGACGCGGTCGATGTAGTTGGGTACGTCGTTCGGGTCTTTGAGCAGCGGGAAGGCGTTGTTGAGCGCCATAATGACCACGTTCGAGCCAAACTGAAGCGGTTTGTGTGCATGCAATGCCAGCGTTCCCGCAAGCGTAGGCAGCGGGATCAGTCCCACGAGAAGCGCTAGGAGGCTGTCGGCCATGCGGGGGCTATAACAGCGGAGGTTCGAAAGACCCATGATGCAGCCCATGATATGGATCCGCGCAGAGCTCTCACGATACTCTGCGATGCCGAGCACGAACAAGTAGAGCTGCGCCTTGGACTCGGCGTATGTCTTGTACCTACCCTCGCAGTAGCAACGAGGTTTCGGGAAGCACTGGTATTTACCGCTTGAGAAAAAGTGCTGGACGAACGTCGGAAAGCTCTGCCGCGGGACGCGCAGCGTGTTGGTCTGCAGTGTATAGACTGCACGGTCAACCCAAATGTCATGGATGAGGCCAAGCACTTGGTCGATGTCGAAGCGCTGCAAGCCGGCATCGGCGACACCAAACGCAGTCACTTGATCCAACCACCGATCATGCACTGCCGGCGTACTCTGCTGGGACCAAAATTGCGCGCTAAAGACCGTCGGCACCGTGAGCGCCGGAATCGAACTGGTGACACCGTCCGAGCCCGCGACGAGGGCCTGAAAGTGGCGCGCGTACTGCTGCCACGGTACGACGTCGAGGTAGTCGATGGACGTTGTGATCTTGAAGCGCACTAACGCTAGGTACTGGATTTGAGTCGTGGTGATTTCGGGAGGGGGCGTACGGGGGGGTGCCTCTTTGGCGCGGAAGCTCATGCCTTCCGGCGGCTCGGGTGCCTTGATTTCCTCGACCTCCTTTTTGATGAGGAGAATATTGGCGGACGTGAGGTCGGCGATCTTCTCCGTGCACTGCGTCACGACCTCGCGCAGCTCCGCACTCGTGATTTGCTCTTGCACCAAGCGCACTTCCAACTCGTTGCTACACAGTATGAAGCCGCGGCGACGTGTACACGCTGCGTCACTTACTTGGAGAGTCGCGTCTCGTCAAGCACGCGAACAGCCATGTCGCGGGCGTTGAGCGAAAGCTCGGTTGCGGTCGCCGTCAACGCCTGCACTTGAGCTTCGAGCTCGAGGTTGCGGGCCTCTGCAGCACGCAATGCGTCCCGCAGCTCTTGGATGGTCGATTGGGCCGTCGCGTGCGCCTCCCGTAGCGCGGTGGCGTCCATCGTCTTGATGACTTCGGCCTTGAACTTGTCACGCCAGGTTGCATTTTCATGTTCCAGCTACACGATGCAACGCATAGCTGCGATACGGCTGCAATGATAGAGAAGGAACTGTACCTTGCGGATGTACTGCTCCATCTTGGCCCGGTGCGTGCGCGCATGCACCTCGCGCGTGAGTAGGTGGTCAATGCTCAGGACGGTCTCGTGCGCGATGTTATTCGCCGTCGTCTCAAAGGTCATCGGCTCTGCGCAGCTCGCGACTACACGACACATAATCTCCATGGTCAAGGTACATATAATCGTGTACGAGTAAGCGGTAAGCTCGGCGTGCTGGAGCTAAATCGGCGTCGCAGCGCCTTGTCGGGCGCTGACGTCGTGACAGACTCGACGTTCGTTGCTTGTCTCAACTTGCTATTACATGTACTGTCCGACGATGGCATTGGTGGACACACCACACGGGCGCTACAATCACCCTTGTCTGTCTTCTCATCAAAGCCTCACCTACGTACCGCGACGGGCGCGAGAAATGTCGCGCTTCCAGTCGCTTGGCGGTGATTTCCTTGGCAAACGCTGCCGACTTGTGCCGCACGACATCGTCAAAGTACTCCTAGAGTGTAGTACTACATGTTGTCATCCTTGTACATCGAGGCACGGGTCGTACCTGCTCGGCCGCCGTAAGTGCCACGTCAATCTCGCGCTGCAGCTGAGTGAGCGCGGCCCGCGCAGGCGTCTGCATGGTCGTTGGCGGCGGTGGGAAAGGCGCAGCGACGACGGTTTCGTTCGTCGGGTGACCAGCAGTGGCGGTTTCGAGGGGCCATCTTGCCGCGGCGGGCTTCTGGCAGCCGCATGGTACCCGCCGCCACGTGGTGGGCAAAGTATTTATGCAACTTCAGTCGGCATTTCGGATTCTTTGTTCGAGACCAGAATGGACCTCAGCGGCTTGCAGCTCACCGAGTCGATGCTGGCGTCGATGCTCAGCCATTCGTTTGATGACGAAGACCTCTGGAACGTCGAGACGATCCTCGGCACGGACGCCACCAACATGCTCGAGCTGGAGAAAGACCTTCAGTTTCTCGACGCGACCAGCGCGCCGCCCTCGGCGCCGTACAACGGACTCCAGATCCAGACCGACAATCTCAATTTTCTGCCCGATGCGATCATGGACCAAGTGTTTGCGACGGAGCCATGCTACTCGCCCGAGCCCAAGCCGCGCCCGCGGTATGTGCTATGTAATGGAACGTGGAGAAGCTATACTTCTGCCGCCTAGCAACTCGCTCGACATGATGACGCTCGAACCGCTGCCGCTCGACCACTTGTCGTTCGTCGCGCATCCCACAAAGCGCAAGAGTATCGTCAAAATCAACCCGATGCCACCGCAAATCAAAGTCGAGATGCCGCCGATGGATGCAAGCGGAGGTCGAATGCTGCACAGCTTCAACATGACCAACAGCAAGCTCAACTTCAACGTCAACACCAACATGAACGTCAACATGAACATGAACACCAACATGAACACCAACATGAACGCCGCCATGAACATGAACACCAATACCAATGTGAACATCAACACGGTCCAAGGCAACGCCAATGCACTCTCGCCCAAGAAGTGCAAGCAGTGCATTACGCCCGGGTGCACGCGCCGCGCGCAATCCAACAACCGATGCAAATCGCACGGCGGCGGTGCCCGCTGCACCGTGCCCAACTGCGGCAAAAGCTCCCAAGGTACGATGCGCTCTGATGATTGAATGACGACCTTCTGACTGGCGTTGCAGGCGGTGGGCTCTGTCGCGCCCACGGTGGCGGCAAGAAATGCAAGGCGCCAGGGTGCACCAAAGGCACGCAGCGCCTTGGTCTCTGCTACCTCCACGGTGGCATCCGCCGCTGCACGAGCCCTGGCTGCGAAAAGAAAGACCGCGGCAACGGCTTTTGCATCGCGCATGGCGGCGGGCGCAAGTGCTCGACGCCCCGCTGCACACGCCCGGCGCGCCGCGGCGACTCGTGCCAAGTGCACGAGGAGCAGAAGAGCGGCAACGTGCTGCTGACGCTCCAGAGCAACGCGATGAACCCGGACGCGATTGCGTTCATGGGTCGCGCGATTCTCCAAGCGCCCAGCCCGCACTGAGCAACTTGCATTCTCATTTATTCCTATTACCTAATACTAGTATATCAAATTCAGCTTATCACCCTCAATTTGTCGTTGCAAGTTGGACACTTTCGGTGTCGGCTATGGAAACCCGTCGGCAAGGCGCAACGGAGTACGGGTGTAACGGTATCAGCATCATATCGTTGGTGACTTCAAGGTCGGGCATCTTCTGCTTGAGCTGCTCGACCATCTTGGCGGGGATGATGTTTAAACCGCAACCACTGTCCGGCACACAAGGCACGTCGAGAACGCTGTTGAGCGTCAAAACCATGTGATCTTCACTGCCCGCGAGGAACTGGCCGAGTCCGGAGAACGCTTTGAGGCGACTTAACTTGATCTTCTTCGTGTCGCCGCCACCGTTGCCGCCTTGTTCGCTGCCGCCGCCGCCGCGTCGACCGCTTTTCCAGTTCTTCTTGACGGCAGCTTCTTTTGCTTCGCGTTCGAGCTCGGGCAGTCATGCAATTTGTGCTTCTTGCTGCCGCAGTGCCAGCACGGACGTTCCTTGCCGTCGTCCTTGGTATCCTTCTGCACTGGTGTCTTGGTGTCCTTCTGCTTGAACTTGCGCTTCTTCTTCTTGCGTGCACCTTGCTGTTCTTCTTCTTCGTCGGACGACTCCTTGTCGCGAAGGCGCTTCGTCTTGGGGCTCCACGACTTGTAGAGAAGCGCTCGCTTCAAGATGATCTTCCCGAGGTGCTTGAGGCCAGCCTGCTTGTTGACCGCCATCTTCTCATCCATCAGCTGCTTCACGTCCGTCTGTAGCTCTTGGGGACGGAGCCGATCGACAAGCGCCTTGAAGATCTTGGCCTTGAGCTTGCCGTTCTCGAGCTTCTCGCCGAGGCCATGCTCTTCAATCATTTGCGAGGCCTTGAAAACAAAGCTGTTGACCCGCTCTTCGATATCTTCTTCGTTGTGGTCGAGGTCGAGCGAGCTGAAAACCTTGTCGTACGTGCGCACCGTCTTGTTGGTCTCCTTGTCGATGATCCCGTTGATCGCTCCCCAAAGCTCGTCTTCAGGCACGTTCAGCAAGTTGTAGTCGTCCCAGAGGCCCCACTTGGTCTTCATCAGGAACTCGAGATACCCGACGGGAGCGAACGAGTCGCGGACTGGAACACACGTCGCTGAGTAGCTCCGGCTCGTTCGCTGGCATTCACGCCGCATCGAGGTCTCGTATTCGAGACGCGCCCGCTTCCAAACGACCACGTCGCGGCGGGCGATGCTCTTGAACTCCGGGTGCACAAGCTGCGAGAGCACGACGACGCCGCTCATCGCGATCGCCGCTTGTCCTGGAGCCGTCATGTCTTCTTCTTGAGCGAAACTTGTTCGCTGCTTGGTCGCTAAAGTCGACTTTGTGACCGTTTCCGCCTCCAAACGCCAGACAAAGGGAGGCCGTACTCCCAAACACCGGCGTGTGTACTAAGAGGCAAATAGGGAACTAGATAGGCTAACTGACTGCTGGAGCCCTGGCCACAGGCTCCTGTACAGTCCCATCCTAACGGTTTCTCGGTAGGACTATCTTACTGATAGATTGATACAAACACATCGCCTTGTCTCGACCTGGTGGTTGTAGAGCTGTGCAGATACAAATATCCAGTGCTCAACCACTGTATGAGGCATCTACTGCCACACGATCTTAGTTTTGAATCAAGGTAACAACACAACCAAGCGATGTCGAAGCGTATCGGCGACACCAAACGCAGTCACTTGATCCAACCACCGGTCGTGAACTGCCGGCGTATTGTGCTGGGACCAAAATTGCGCGCTAAAGACCGTCGGCACCGTGAGCACCGGAATTGTACAGTGTACAGTTTCGTCCCCTTGGCCATAACGCCAGTGCGTGGGGGAGAAGAATGTGCTTCGTGTTGGGAGGCCCAAGACGGGACTGGTGAGTGAGTTAAAATGAGTAGCTAAGGTGAGCGTGCTGCTTGGAGCCGACTTGTTTGGAAATGTGCTTGGACCTTGGGTCTTGGACGTTGACAGTTGCTGCATTGCTAAAACGGGAACTGCGGTTCGGGCAATGGTTGAAGATAGCGCACTTGCTTGGCCGTGGTCCAAAAACACAGCTTCACGCGTGCCGCGAGAAACGAACCCACGCTAGGTACTGGATTTGAGCGGTGGTGAGTTTGGGGGGCTTTTTGGCGCGGAAGCGCATGCGGTGGCTCGGGTGCCTTGATTTGCTCGACCTTGTTTTTGATGAGACGAATATTGGTGGACGTGAGGTCGGCCAATCAGATCGTGCGATTGCAACGAGAGTCCGAAAGGTACCGTTATCGAAGGATCGCTTCGTGCCTTTAGAGGGGACGAACTGGCTTGTGCAACACAAGGCGAAACATCGTGACAGACTCGACGTTCGTTGCTTGTCTCAACTTGCTACAAGTTCTGTCCGACGATGGCATTGGTGGACACATCACACGGGCGCTACAATCACCCTCGTCTGTCTCCTCGTCATACGTACCGCGACGGGCGTGAGAAATGTCGCGCTTCCAGTCGCTTGGCGGTGATCCTTGGCGAACGCTGCCGACTTGTGCCGCACGACATCGTCAAAGTACTCCTAGAGTGTAGTACTACATGTTGTCGTCCTTGTACATAGAGGCACGGGTCGTACCTGCGTGAGCGGAGCAGGTGTCTGCATGGTCGTTGGCGGCAATGAGAAAGGCGGAGCGACGACGGTTTCATTCGTCGAGTGACCAGCAGTGGCGGTTTCGAGGGGCCATCTTGTCGCGGCGGGCTTCTGGCAGCCGCATAGTGGGCGATGTATATATGCATCTGCAGTCGGCATTTCGGATTCTTTGTTCGAGACCAGAATGGACCTCAGCGGCTTGCAGCTCACCGAGTCGATGCTGGCGTCGATGCTCGGCCATTCGTTTGATGACGAAGCTCTCTGTCATTCGTTTGATGACGAAGACCTCTGGAACGTCGAGACGATCCTCGGCACGGACGCCACCAACATGCTCGAGCTGGAGAAAGACCTTCAGTTTCTCGACGCGACCAGCGCGCCGCCCTCGGCGCCGTACAACGGACTCCAGATCCAGACTGACAATCTCAATTTTCTGCCCGATGCGATCATGGACCAAGTGTTTGCGACGGAGCCATGCTACTCGCCCGAGCCCAAGCCGCGCCCGCGGTATGTGCTATGTAATGGAACGTGGAGAAGCTATACTTCTGTCGTCTAGCAACTCGCTCGACATGATGACGCTCGAACCGCTGCCGCTCGACCACTTGTCGTTCGTCGCGCAGCCCACAAAGCGCAAGAGTATCGTCAAAATCAACCCGATGCCGCCGCAAATCAAAGTCGAGATGCCGCCGATGGATGCAAGCGGAGGTCGAATGCTGCACAGCTTCAACATGACCAACAGCAAGCTCAACTTCAACGTCAACACCAACATGAACACCAACATGAACACCAACATGAACGCCGCTATGACCAATGCCACCAATGTGAACGTCAACACGGTCCAAGGCAACGCCAATGCGCTCTCGCCCAAGAAGTGCAAGCAGTGCATTACGCCCGGGTGCACGCGCCGCGCGCAAATCCAACAACCGATGCAAATCGCACGGCGGCGGTGCCCGCTGCACCGTGCCCAACTGCGGCAAGAGCTCCCAAGGTACGATGCGCTCTGATGATTGAATGACGACCTTCTGACTGGCGTTGCAGGCGGTGGGCTCTGTCGCGCCCACGGTGGCGGCAAGAAATGCAAGGCGCCAGGGTGCACCAAAGGCACGCAGCGCCTTGGTCTCTGCTACCTCCACGGTGGCATCCGCCGCTGCACGAGCCCTGGCTGCGAAAAGAAAGACCGCGGCAACGGCTTTTGCATCGCGCATGGCGGCGGGCGCAAGTGCTCGACGCCCCGCTGCACACGCCCGGCGCGCCGCGGCGACTCGTGCCAAGTGCACGAGGAGCAGAAGAGCGGCAACGTGCTGCTGACGCTCCAGAGCAACGCGATGAACCCGGACGCGATTGCGTTCATGGGTCGCGCGATTCTCCAAGCGCCCAGCCCGCACTGAGCAACTTGCCTTCTCATTTATTCCTATTACCTAATACTAGTCTATCAAATTCAGCTTATCACCCTCAATTTGTCGTTGCAAGTTGGACACTTTCGGTGTCGGCTATGGAAACCCGTCGGCAAGGCGCAACGGAGTATGGGTGTAACGGCAATCTCGCAAGATGATCCAGCGACTCCAGCTCGGCACCGACCGACGGCATCTCTCCAAACTTATGAGCGACGACAGCAGCGAGTCGGAACGGTCGGCCAGAGTCGCGCCCCGGGACCTCGCCTCCCCAGAGTTCGTGCCCCTTCTGTCTCGCCTTGTCGTAGACATATGCTTGTAGCTTTGATCGCATCCTCGGTCGCAAGAGCAGCGCCGGCTTGGACGCCAAGTGCGTCGCTGTCTATGGAAATTATTGTCCACAACTCTATGATGGGCGATTAGAGCGACGACGGACGCCAAGGGGGTCGTGGACGGTACCACGGTCGTGACGGTCGTCGCCTCGAACGAATACGAGTCGCCGATTCCGGCACGAAAGCCGTTCGCTCACGCTGCCACGTAGAGATGTGCCGCACGATGTCTACGTGGCCGAGCCCAAGTCGCCGGCCCGCAGCATCGGCAACAGCATCCACTCGTTCATGTACACAGCAGTGGCATCCTCCTCCTATTCTTATCGGCGATCTTAGTTTTGGCATCAAGAACGGTAACAACCCAACCAAGCGGTCGGCGCCACCGCCGAGTCCGCCGACGCAGCTCCGTCACGAGGCCAAGGGACGCAACAACGCGCCTCTGGTGGTGCGCAAGCCCGTCAAGTCGTGGGACGAACCCAACCCGAGCATGGCGCCAGGTACACCATCCAACGTCCAAGGTGTTCGGGTACTTTATCGCCGCCGGGTAGCGGACGAGGAGACAACCATCGAAGCGTTTTCATGAATTACGATTTATTGTATATAATTGATAGAAATTAGTCACACAGAGATAACGTGGTAGCAGTCAGATAGTACAGACACGGTAAGAGAAGACGAGAGGGAATCACCGCTTCGCAGCGACGATCAGTGGTAGTAGCGCGCGTCCGCCAGCGTCAAGAGCTCGGGCGACGGCGCTGGCACGCCTTCCGGCAACGCCTCGTAGGCTGAAAAGTCTTCGGGGAGAAAAAACTCGGGAAACGACGACGGCACCCACGGCTCGACCGTCGGCTTGAACGGGATCGGCATCGTGCCGAGGTCGTCGTCGTCGTCTGGTGTCAGGGTCCGCGTCGGTGACGACGGCGGCGAGCACGGCGACGACTCGTAGTCGGCCAGCGCCTGCAGCACCATCGCGTCGTCGTCGTCATCGTGTGTCAGTTGGTTGTTGCCCATTGCATCGTCGTTGGGCTCCATCTTGACGCACAAGTCGTTCGGTTGCTGCTGCGGTTCGTCGAGGCGGTTGGTTTTGGACGCCGACGCATTGTGCCAGTCGAGCGTGTTGAGGAGGCTGTACGGCCCCGCATCTTGCTGGCTCTTGGTGTACATGGGCGAGTATATCGACGAAGCGACGTAGTTGGCATCCAGCATCGGGTACTAGCAACACATGAGATTCTTTACGTGCTATGCAACGATGTACGACGAGGGGTTGGCGGGCCACGTGGGGGCTCGATGCCTCAAAGTACGTGTACGATGGCGAGAGCGAGAGCCCCTCGATCGTCGACGAGAGGTTCGAGTCGCTCAGGCGCGTCACCAGCATCGGTGGCACCGACGACGACGACGACGACGATGGCGTCGAGCTCGTCATCGACTGCGACCGCTTCTTCCGGACCACGTTGGTGCGCGGGAGGTTGCGGGGCGTCGTGGTCTTTTGACGCGGGACGCGGTTGCTCGTCGGCGTCGTCGTGCTCGTGGTGCGCCGCCGGTAGGCTGCTTGACGCATCGGCGTCACGCAATCGTACTCTACAGCGTGGTGTTGGTGCATCGCTTCAGCGCGCGATCGACGCACCGGAAGAGACGGGCATCGAGTTGGACCGCGACCGGAGCTGCTTTTGAGGCGAGTCGGACGACGACGAGAGCGCTACCCGTACGTCATGAGCTTCTCGAGTCAGCGCGCCCGCGCCTTTACCGCCATGCTCAGGGCTCGTAAGGAACCCGATCGAATCGATCCCGGGCGGGGTCAGCTGGGACAAGAACGGGCCGCTCTCGATGCCAAAGTTGAGTGCCGGGCGAATCGCAATGTTGTTGGCTGCCGCCGTGTAATAGACGGCCGAGAGATTGACCAGGTTGGCTACATGCGCCGATATGACGCCGGCTCGTTGGCTCATGGCAGTACCTCGTTCGCGGTGTGCGAGGCTCAGGTTGCGGTGCTTTAGCCGCATGTGCTGCGTGAGGCTGCCCTCGGAGCCATATGCCTTGCGGCAACCCGTGTACGTGCACGTCCATTTGCGGTCGATTTGCGCTGCTGTGCGACGACGGCGCTTCTTCTTCTCCATCTCTACCTCGCCCGTTATATATATGCTGCATCGTCTCTGGCATTCGTTCGCACCCGTGCCCATTGGCGTCTGGCCTGCGCTGGGCGTCGTTAGGTCCGACGAGTCGTCGTCGCGCAGGTGGTCGATCTCGATCTTTAGCTAGATGGCACGAGCATGATGAGCCATGGACACGCGGCGCGATGGCCATTACGTTCTGCGCGGCCTTGAACTGCGCTAGCTTGTGCGTCGCGGCCGCCACGGGCACGTTGTCAACGACGAAGACTTGGCTCATGCTGCTGCTGCTCCTGCTGCTGCTGCTCCTGCCACGTCGAATGGATCGCACCTGCCAAATCGCCAAATGCTCGTAGAAAGATTTCGACAGTCTCGTCGTTGCAATATATTTATATATTATTGCCACAATTGCGATGGTGTCTTTTAAAATCCATCCTCATTTAATGTCCTCTGCGCGTCACGCCATTCAAACAATAGGTTTGGTGGTCTTTGCGTCATCTTTAAATACACCATAATACAATACAAATCGCAAAGCGCCGCCGTTAAAAATACACCGAAATGCGTTTTATATTCGTCGAGTAGCTTGCATGCCCGTGTGTTCCGCCCGCACGCCGCGTCGCCGCCCGTATACAAACATCAAGTATCGGTGCCGCGGGCGTAGTACATGGCGTTCGACTAACTAAAGGCGTGCGAGATTCACGAGGATGACTTCAGTACGCCCACCAACGTCGCAGGCACGAGGACCAGGCAGAGATAAGTGGGCAGAGAGGTTGGCGTAGAGGCTGCTTGGACCGACTTGCACAGGTGCTGCGCCGTCCGTTCTTTTCTTGCCACGGTATCCATCTCAGAAACTTCAACGTCGAACAGATTGGCGATCTTGATCACCGTGACAACAAGGCGTCAAGACCGGGCCGCCACCGCGTTGGTAGCAGCGCATGGTAGACGACGTGGACGCAGCAGCGATGCGGCGGCGAGAGGACGCGGCGAGAGTTGTCGCGACCGTGCGCCGGCGACCTGCAGAGATCAGGTCGAAGGAAAATCAAGTTGCGCAGGTTTTACCGTTGGCGTATCGAGTCTGAGAAGAGCATGGCCGCGTCGGTGCAGGACGGCGTCGTGGCGGCGCTCGAGGAGCGCGTCGCCGAGCTCTGCGCCGAAGCCCTCGCGCGCGACGAGCTCATCTTGCACCTCGAGGCGGAGAAGCGCGACCTGCGGCGCCTCGCCGAGCGGCTCCGGGCCGCCCGCCACGTGGCAGGAGAACCAGACGACGATGCGCTGACGACGGACGCACGGTATCTTTCCGTCCAACGCCACGCGAGTGAGCTCGCGGCCCAGGTACTGGAGCAGAGAAACATCACGACGCGACGGGGCTAGCATAGCGTCCTAGTGTGCGCGCCAGCAGGACGAGATCACGCTACTGCGCCGCGCGTTGGCAGCCAAGGACGAGGCCCTCGAGGACTATGCGCAGCAGGTCGACGCGCTCGAAGACCAATTGGCCGAGTTGCAGCTGGTCACGGACCGCGCGCCCGAGCCGCTTGTCGAGGCGCCACGTCACGAGTGGATGGAAGAAACCACACGGTACGAATGGAAGGCATGGCAAGTGATCGACACCGAGGTAGCTTCCCGACGCCGCACTTTTCGCTGCGGTCGCCCGAGGTGGCGTACGTCCTCTCGCAGTGGACGCAGAACCCGACCAAGGCCGCGTCGCTGCTCGCATGGCTGGTCGACGTGGCGGACGAGAATCGCGAGTTTCCTCGGCAGCCGACCCCTCCGGCGATCGAGCTCCCGCGGCTCCCGCCCGAGGTCCGCGACGGCTTCCTCACGCTCATCGTACCACTGCTTCGGACGCAGCTCGTCCGCACCGTCACGGTCCATACGCGCGGCCACGGCCTTGGCCACACGGACCTCCGGATCCGCGTCGAACCCACGAGCTAGCTGTAGTTGTAGCACTGGATAAAATCCCACTTTGCAGTTTTGTCATCGCGTGAAACGACCTTCCTGCATGACGGACGACATTGCATCGGCGATCGTCGACGAGATCCTGCGCGCCGTGCAGGCGACGCGCGTGGTAAGAGCAGCGCGTACAGCCGTACGATGGCCCTTCTATCTCATTAGGTCCGGCACGCCGCCACGCGCGCAGTGCGGGACATGTGGGAGGTCGTCCATCTCTCGGCACGCGTGTCACCGTCGCCCGCGTGCATGCAGCGCATCCCTGAAGAACGTTCGATGCTCGTCCTCGACAGGTGATAGCAGACGACTGAGATCGCACATTACGTCTTGTATAGCCGCGCGGCGCAGTGCATTCCGAGCAAAGCGCACGAGCAGCTGCGTTGGCCGACGATCGCGTCCAGCCCCACCAGCCTCTGCACAGCGTCGTCGCTGTCGGTACGACGACGCACGCCGTGCGCTCAATGAATGACGTAGCTTCTTTTGCAGGTCGAGCCGCCGCCGCCCGTCGTATGCACGCGCACGGTAGGCGCGTCCTTTCGCATCATTTTCGTCCGTCACGCGAAGGGTGCTAGGACCACACCCTGCACCGCGTCAAGTTGATCAAGCCCACGACCAAGGCCGTCGTTGATCTCGGTAGTACACGCTCGACGACGGCGCTGGCCGCGCCGTTCGTACAGCCGTTGCCAAAGATGCTGCCCGAGATCACGGTCGGTGCGGCGCCCATCTATGTGCCTCCGCGTATGACGCCGCTCTGCACCGTCGTCGGCAATCAAGACGTCGACGACCGACCCTTCTTGACGGTCGACGCACTATACACGCCGTCACGCGACCTCTTTGGCACCAATAATGACAGCAAGGGGAAGGATGCAATTGCCACACGGCCATCCTGCGTGCTACCGCCCAAGGTCGAGCCTCGGCCACGGCTTCCATCCACCACCACCCCGTCGACCCGGCGGCTGTCGGTGGTGCGGGTGCGAACCCACCCGTTGCAAAACGAATGCGGACCACCGCCGCGTAGCACAGGTCGTAGGAATTCATTGGCACCATCTTCTGCAAGGGGCGATGCAGCTCACGGCAAGGACCAGAGTCTCCCAAGCTTACGACACAAGCGGCTGACGCACTAATACATATGAGATTGCAGCCATAACGGCCCACTACCCTAAGTTCCATATCTATGACCCGTCCAAGCCGGCCCTACCACGTCGCATATAGGTGAGAGACAGACAATGAGGAGAGTGTGCGTACTTGAGGAAGGACGTCGCGAGCTGCGCCGAGTCAAAGTTGAGGTGGATGGACGTGACGAGGCCTTCGTTGAGCTCGATGATGTCGCACGACTCTTCGACAACGACCTCGGCGTTGTGCACGATCCGCATCGTCGATGACGTCATGACGACGACCGTGCTCTCGTCTTCGTCCGCGACCATGCGCAGGACGCGGCCCTTTAGCCGTTCAACCGTCTCGTCCCGCAGCTTCCAAAACTGGCACAGGCCTTGGAGACCGTGGTACTCGCCCCAGTACGGCACGCTCGACGGCAGGTTTGAGCTCAGCACGACCGACCCGTGCACGCTCTACAAGATTCCATTGCGTCATGTCACCGTCGTCACGCTGATGATGATGATGGCATACTGTCGAGATGGCGTCCGGCGTCGGGAGACTGGGGCGCACGGCTTGGGTCGAGAATTCGAGGTCGTCCGAGAAGAGGTGCGCGTACAGCGACGCCACGATCGCCTTCATCTGCTTGGTCGACAGCTTCTTTTGCGCGTTCGACGGAAATAAAATCTGCGAGACATGTCAAAAGCTATCAACTTGATACAACGTACGGCGTTGGCCGACTTGGGCGAGAACGGAATGCCCGTGATGGCCATGAGCAGCTCTTGGAGCCACGTGATCTTGGTCGCTTCCGAGTCGACGAGGACCCAAAAAACGCCGTGGCCCTGCGTGTTGAACTGGAACGCCTGCACTTCGTGCTTGCCCGCGACGCGGATCGGGATGCCTTCGCAGACGCTGGTCGGGACCACGACACCCTTGACGAGCGTCCGGTGCTTGGCCTGCGACTCGGAGACGTAGTAGCTCAGCGTTGAGAGACCACCGCCGCGCTCCAGCACAAAGTAGTAGCGCTCCCAGACGTGGCGCTTGCCCACATCCGGCATGCCACTCTTGAACATGTACCCGCTCGTCACGACGACGCATTCGTCTTTGGTTGTGACCGTGACGCCGCCGTCGTAGACTGCGCACTTGGTCACATCGTCGCCGAGGGATGTGTCGAGGACGAGCAAGGACGCGTGCGCCGACGCCTCGTACGGCTTGCGCGAGAACGGCGACGTGAGCGAACGCTTGTACGTGAGACTGCCGGGCGAGGCCGGGGACGACGACGGCGGCGGCGACGTCGTCACCATGCGCGACTTGAACTTGCTCAGCACCGACGTGCCGAAGCCCAAGAGCTGGGACGCTGCGCCTACGACGCGTGAGACTCGCCCAGTACGAGGGGGTGTACCATGACTGATGTTGGGTTTCGTCGATGGGTTGGGCGTCGCCGACGTCTCGGTGGGCGTGCTCACGCGGGCCGTGAACGACCGCCGGGCGTTGAGCGCGCCCACGTTCCGCATGACCGACGCCGCCGGCGACGACAAGACGTTCTTGAGGTACCCGGCCGACTTGGGAATCGAGAGCCGACGCGTGCGCTTCGGTGGCTCTTCGGCGGCCGGCGGCTCGGGCTCGGCCGGTGCTTCGGGCAGCGGCGTCAACGGCCCTTCTTCGTCCGCCGGCGTCTCTTTCAGGTCCGTCTTGACCTCGTCGTCGTCTTCATCGTAGGCCACCACGTCGCGGGCCTCATCCGGCGACACGTCGCTCTCTGCCTTCTCGGACGGTGCGTGGACCGACTCGGCGGACGGCTGCGAGCGCAGACCCAATCGGCGCTTGGACTCGCTGTTGAGGGCCTGCCACGCCGCGTGGCTATTGCTGTGCTCAACAATGCGGCGCTGCGACGGTGACGGGTGCTCGCTAGGCATGCCACGCGTTGAAAAAGACCATTTAGACATGGAGACTGAGGATACCTCGTCGACATGACGAGCATGGCGTCATTGAGCACTTTGAAGTACGGCTTGCTCGCAACGTGGTTGTTGAAGACGTGCACGATGACGTCGAGGAGGTTGAGCGTAAACATACTCTCGATGAGGGGGCAGGTCGCGGACCGGGCCCGGGACTTGTCTGTGATGAGGTAGAGGAGCGCCGACACGACGTGGATCAAGAGCATGTCGGCTTGCGGCTTGTCTTGCAGCAGCTGCACGTACTTGGGTACGAGGTTGCCGGCCGCCAAGGCCGTGTCGATCTCGGCGTCTTGGGCCGTAATCAACCTACATGTCGCATAAACACCAGAGCTGCTGGGGAAGGGTTCCTACCGATAGAGGAGCTTGGCAAGGCCGACATCGACCGACGTCGGGAGCGCAAAGTCCTTGTGCTGGAAGAGCGTCACGTAGTGCGGCGCGCACGAGCGCGTGAGCTGGCGCAGCTTGGGCCAGAGTCCGTCCGCCGACTTGAGCCCGCTCAGCTCGTACATGACCGAAGCGTTCGGGTTGGGCGACGAGCTGCGTGACGACGACGACGTGTTGGATGTCTCTTCGTCGTCGTCGACGTCGACGTCCGCAGCGGGCGGCTGCTCGGACCGCTTCTTGGTCTCGTACGCGCGCCAGTTGCGGCAATAGATGCGGACGAGCTCCGACGTCACGTGGATGTTGAGCACTAGCCAAACGCGTCAGATGACGTTCTCACGCACAGACCATCGTACCACAAGGCGCGGTGAGCGACGCGGGCCACGATCGCATGTCTTGAAGCTGGTCGTACGACGCCTGGAACATTGTCTCGAGCATCGACCCGCCGTTGGCCTGCACGTCCTTGCCGAGCTCTTCGAGGAGCATAAACTGCAGAAAGTTGTGGTACCCCTCGGTCACGGCTTCGATCCCGCGGATCGTCCCAAATTGATCGCGCTACATCGATACGAAGATACATCAGGTCAACGTCGTCGTCGAGAACAAGGTGCACGCGTACGACAAAGTACTTGGCGAGGAACTGGTTGTCTTCGCGGCGCAGGAACGAGCCGAGGCGGTCGGCCTGGTTGGCCTGGAGCATCTCCATCATGAGGCGGCACACGTTCTCGCGGGCCGCAATGTCGTTGGCCAGCGACGGCGAGGCGAGCGCGATCGGCGTTTTCAGCGCGTGCACGAGCATCGGCGCGACAGCCTCCATCGCGTCATGCACGCCCGTGAGCGGGTGGATGCTCTCGTACGACTGCAGGAGCTTGAGCAAAAGGTGCTTGATCGTCGGGAGGTAAATGTGCTTGAGGAGCGCCGGCATGTACGGCTCGAGCACGACCTGGACGTAGCCGTCTTCGAGGCAGTAGGCGTCGTGGAGGCGGATGAACGCCTTGCAGTAAAAGGCCGCTTGGACCTCGTCGATCGTCGTGTTGGCGGAAAAGTACACGAAGAAGAGTCGCCAGAGCTCGAGCTCCTCGAGCGTTTGGCAGCCAAAGGTGAGCTCCTCGCTCGCCGAGCCCGACGACGACGACGACATGCGGAACGACTCGTACAAGTCGTCGTCGCCCGTGTAGACGCGCATGATGATCTCCGAGCACACAAACGTGCGCTTGTAGTAGCCGTACTCTTCATCGACCTTGAAGTTGGGCATGACCGTCGTGGGCTTGGGCGCGTGCACGCGCGGTGTGGGCGGCGCGAGAAGACCGGGCGGTGGTTCGTCCGATGTGGCTTCGCCCGAGTTGGTCTCGGCGACGGGCTCCTCGCCCGATGTGGTTTCTTCCGACGTCGGGAGCGAGTACGTGGGCTCGTCTACACATGGCATGGGTGAGATCTTGGCGGCGATCGCTCGCATGAGCGTACCCGCGGCGGTGTTGCCGTTCTCCATGTCGCTAAACACCTTTTGTGCAAACAACTTGGGCGCGGCCGGAAAGACAACGGGCGTCGAGAAGACGAGCAGAACCTCCTTCACGACGTCGTACTGCAGCAGCCAGTTGCGGAGGCCGCTCTCCGACTCTTCGAGGCCGTCGAAAATCATCTCGACTTCGAGGTTCAAGAGGCGGTCAATGGCCTTGGCCTTGTCCTCCATGGCGATGATGCCCATGATCTCGGATTGGTACTCGTTGGGCGCGTCGTTCTCGTGCTCGGAGCTGCAGCTGCTGCTGCTGTTTCTTCGGTTGCGCTCGCTGCGGCCGTCCATGTAGCGCGAGAGGCTGCCGCCACGCGGGCGCTGCGTATGACCGCTACTCGCTGTCTCTACGTCCTCCATGTGTGTATCTACATGCATCATCTTCATCATGAGCGCCCCGCATCGTCCTCGGTCGGCGATGGACCTGATCGCGTCGATGGCGTCTCGGCCCTTGACGCACAAGAGGCAAATAAGCTCTTCTTTTTTTAAATTTCCAGCGGCCCTCTCAGCTTTTCTCTTGGTGTTTGTATGGCGATCGTGGTACGCGCCTGTCCAAAAGATACTTGCTGTTTGTATGGGGTGTTCATTGGCACGGCTTCTACCCGCCGGTGCATTTTTATGCATGGATACCTTGCTCTTTGTATGCCAGATTAAAAAATACCGCGCAGCTGCTCTCCCACTCTGTCTTTTGCAGGGCGTTTTCAACACGACGTGTCGACAGCGTATACAAATGCCAAGTAGAACGATGCCACATGGTGTGCCATTGACTTCATGTCGCTTTCGGCGCGACCCGCCAATCATCGGCCGAGGCAACGGTGCTTTTCGGCCAATCAGACGACAATTGGCATGCGCCGCCAAACGACCACGTTGTGGCGCCGCCTCAGCAGCGCCGCCGAGACGCCGCCGAAGGAGACGAGCGCGTGGAGCCACTTCAAGCCCTTTGCGAGCATGGCCTCGTACATGGAGGCGACGACCGTGGGCCTGAGCGAGGCCGCCGACATTGACGCCGACGTCGCGCAGACACACGACACCAGTGCAAAGACACACGAGGCCACGGAGGACGCTTCTTAATACAATCACTTTGGTGCATGGAGCCTCCTAGCTTCGCCGTGTTGTAGTGACTGGCGCTGGGTGGCCCGAGACCCATCCCCCTCCAGTCCAAACTGAGTCTGAGATTCGCACAACGCTGGCTGGCGTCACTCGGCCATCGAGCACATTGCGAGCGTACACTGCGAGAGAGTAAACGAGGTGTAGCCTACACTGTACAAGGAGTGTCGTCGTTGCGGTTGTGCAGCGGGCGATCAGAGAAGCACCACATGGATCGCAGGCCGTGCACAATCAGTGTGCAAGCCGCAGCGATTGCGTGCACTTCAACGAGCTTTTCTTGCGGTTCAGATCAAGCCACTCGGAGCTACTTGCACGGCTTCTCGCCGCTTTCGCAGGCAGCAAAGGCGAATGAGCCGAGTCATTCAAAGCAAGAGGAGGCAGGTGCGCAGAGACGGGTGCGGTGTGGATCGGCGTTGGACGACACCCGACAACGAGAGGTCAACGTTGTCGGTCGAAGATCGGATTCATGAACAGCCCAGTGCACCCGCCAGCTGCCCTGCCTTTCCACGCACGCTACATCTGATTGGACAATCCAAGGTACCAATAGAAACCTGGTGGCGGCGCTATTTTGACCAATCGAGCTTTCCCTTTGCCAGACATCCTTGAGCACACGGGTTCTCGCGGGCCCATGCAGCTGAACGGCTAGGGTAGGTTGGCTAAGGTATACATAGTTCAACAGCTCATCCCAACGCGTGCTAACCAAAGCCATGCGCGGAAGAATGTTTAGCTTTGATATGCTGTCATCGTCGGAACCCGACCCCCAAGAACAGACAAGCATTTGGAGCTGAGCCGTTGAGGTCTTTGGACCTTGGATGCAAGGGACCAGTGTACAGTACCCTCTATTTGCACGACCACATGTGTGCTTGAGTTGGAACAGACCACCGCTTCCAAGTGGGTGATGATGGCTAGCGCAGGTCTTTGCCGCGCACTCTCCAGCGTCCACGTCACCGCCGCCGCCTTTTCTATTGGTAATCCGGATAATTGCTCGCCGCACGTCATACAAACAGCGAGTGCGGTGGCCAGGCATCCGGATACGACAGAATATAGTTGAAGCTGGTATAGGACGTGAATTCTCGTCTTCGGTCGGCGCTCGCCCACGGCGGTCAAAGCTGTATCCGACCCGCGTCGCCTATCTTAACCTGCGCGAGCATGTCCTTTGTCAAGTCCCTCGTGCGCCAGTTCAGCGGCGCCTCTAGGTATGTCTTCCAACAGCATCGCGCAGACGATCATGGCACCTAGCTCAATTGAGACGGTCGAGCAAATGCTCGAAAAGGAGCGCCAACAGCGACGCGACGAGCTTGAGCAGGCCAAACAAACGCGCGCCGCCAACGCCATGTACCAAAGCGCAGGTCTCTCACTTCAAGACACGCTTCTGCGGTCGGCGCAGCAGCAGCTCACGCGGCTTCCCTCCCATGGCTCGGAGCGGTACGTACCCGATCGCCGTCGTCATGCATTGAAGCCATCCACGTAGCTCCTTTGCATCCACGCGCCGGTCGCGAGAGAGCTCGTTCGAGATCATCGACATGTCTCGCGAAGGCTCGTTCCACGAAATCAACGCGGCAGACATGCCCCACGATGAGTTTGTGGATGTCGGTGCGCCCTCTGCCCGCCGCTTGCGAGAGCTATCGTGCATGCAAGCCGAAGACATCAACGTCGACGCAACGGTCGCGTGTCTGGTTCAACACCTGGTGACGGACGCGCGGCTGTCCTCGCTCGCTGCTCGCTACTCGTCCGAGTGGATCGAAGCCGCCTTGCAACGCGTCTCCGAGCCGGTGCCAGCCATGTACATTCGCTATCGCAAAGTCGAGCCGGTCGTTGTCAAGGCCGTAGAGAGCGCTGCCGTGCACGAGTACATCGTTCAAGGCTTGCGATCGGCTGTGACGGCGCGGATCGAGGGCGTCGCCATGGACGCCAACGATGTCGCCGCCCCACAATCGGAGAAAGAAGCCATGGCCCAGCACGACGTTGATGTTGCGCCGGAACGCAACGAGATGGAAGCGATGGCCAAGCACGACGTCAACGTGGCGGCGGCCAACGATGAGCAAGACGGTATGGCGCAGCACGACGTGGATGCGCCGCAACTTCTCATGGAAGCGCCACACGGGTCCTTCCAGGATCTTGACGTATTGTCGGTCACTCTGACAGCCCTCGAGCGCGCCCGGTCCATGGCGATGCGGCTCCACGATGTCAACGTTCCGTCACCGGTCCCCATTGTCACTTTTGCTATCGAGGTGGCGCCGGCAGCACTGACGATGCCAGAGCAAGACGCCGCGGTCAAGACGCGGGACAGCGCCCGAGCCGCCGAGGTACATCGCCGGTCGTCCATTGACGAGACAACAAACGATGTAGGAACTTGCTGCATTCTACGCCAACCGCAAGCAAGCGCGGCAAGCGCGGTCGCTCCAGAACCGGTACGTAAAGTCTGAGAGACGTCCTTTCACATGCACATAGCTCGGACGAAACGCGCAAGATGATGGCAATGGAAGACAAGGCGAGCTGGGGCAAGGTGCTGCAACTGATCGACAGGTACGACAATGAAACCACTCTCTGCCTCATGCGTTCATGTGCCCAGCCCCACCCACGATTCGACGTACGCCTCGGTGCCCGCGCCCATGTCGCGCATGTTCAACATGCTCAAAGGCTACGCGGCGTGAAACGAGCGTCCTCGTTGTCGCGTGTGTATTTTGTACAATAGACTTACTTCTGCCTAACAAAGTCATTTGATTTCGAAAACTAGTACTAGTATGCTACAAGCACATGGATCGTACACAATGCAAGACGAGGCGAGCCTTGGCAGCGGGCCAAGTGGCGCGACGCATGTGCTAGCGACAGCAGCAACTACCTGGTAATAGAACAAAGAAGTTTGTGGTGCGCTCACCGACAAATCCATTTTCAACTATAAGAACAATGGTGTTGTATTTCCCGTCATAATTCTGTCATAAAGTGTCATAAAAGGGCTCTTTTATGACAGTTTTTATGACAGAATCATGACATATTTATGACAATATAAAAATAATGCGCTCGTTGGTTGCTTGTTCCACAGCCAAACACCCCTACATCCTCTCACCCGCAATCCCAACATCCTCCTCTCCTTCTAACTCTAACCTCCTCCTAACCTCCTCGGCGTCGTCGAATCCTACCCCAAAAAATTATGACGTTTTTATGACAGTATTATGACTTACTAGTATGACAGAATTATGACGGGAAAAAAACGACCAAGAACAACACTTGGACGACTTGCAGTACAACGTGAACTTGCTTTCAACTGCAGAAAGAGAATGCTGTCGGGCGCGTGGTGCAGGATAACGGTCGAGTGAGATGCTCTCGGCGGTCGTCGCCCCGCGCTGGTCCACCAATTTATACCTCGGCCGGTAGAGGTCACAATAGTTGACGGTGGCTTCCGGTACTACTGTGGCGATGCTCAGCGAACGAATGGCCGCCAGTGCCTCGAGCCTCCTTCAGCAAAGTGGCAGCCAGGCATGAGCAAGCTGCTGGAGAACGTCGACGTTGGGCCCATGGAACACAGGAGGTGACAGCGACCTGACATGAGCGACGACTGCCTTACTGGTTACCCCACGCAACCAACCGGCGCTGTCGATTTGCGTAGTGAACCGGTCCGCAAGGTGGGACGACCCACCAGTTGCTTGAAGCGTATCCAGGAGCAAGGTGAAGTTGCGGTCTTGCTTCAAGCTGCAACTCGTGCGAACGGTAAGAACACAGTGATTGCATGGACACGGCGCCATCGTTTTTGTCTCTAGTTATATCTTCTACATCACACGCACGCTTACGCAAAGGCCTTTTCAAAGTAGGCGATCAACGACTGCGCGACCGAGAACGAAAAGACGAGCTTGGGGCCGACCACGCCAAGCTTGGGGAGGAGACCCTTGAAGAGCGCGCCAGGGCCCTCGTGCTTGAGCAAGTTCGAGATGACCTGCATGCCCGACTCAGGCGAGTCGAACGGGCGCGACTGGATGCGCGTCTTGATGACGTCGAGCGGCTGCGCGACGATGATACTGGCGCTTGCACCCGAGATGGAGGCCACAAAGTTCTGCCAGAACGTCGCATCGCTGTAGTCCTCGAGCTTGAAGAGGTACTCCTTGCACGCGGCCGAGCCACCGAAGAGCGCAAACGAGCCGGGCGCGTTACGCGCAGCGGTCCAGGCACCGCCACGCCACAACGCAAGGCCCTCCGTCTTGAAGATGGTGACAACGCCACGGCCCGCGATCGCGTCCGGGTTGGTTTGGGCGCGAATCTTGAGCACATCGAGCGGGAGGAGCGCGATTTCACCAATGCCAATGAGCGAGCCAGCCGTCGCGTGCATCATGGTCTTGGCGTTGCGCTCGCCAAAGAGCTGCGAGAAGAGGCCTTGGTGGTTCTTGGTCATGTAGTCCTTCACGACGGGCTGGCCGCCAAACTTGTACATGCGCTGGGTGACCTTGTAGCCAGCGGCAAAGCCGACGCCGGGGAAGAGCGACTTGTACTTGGTGACGGCCGGCTTGGTGTGCGCATCGCGGAAGATCACTTCGGACAAGCTCAGCGCGTTGTTCTTGTTGGTCATGAGGCGCTTGGCAACCGTGTCGACCGGGTGGAAGAGCGCGAGCTCGAGCACGCCCGAGGCCGTCGAGCCGAGGATACGGGCCGCGGCCTGGCCAGCGCCAAACGAGGCGCCGTCACCCTTGCGTTCAATGTGGACCATGATGCTACACAGCGTCATGAGTCATCTTGATCCTGCTGCCGAGAAAGGACGTACGATAGAGAGAGAGGTGTGGGCGGAAGGGTGCCAAGTGCAAAATGACGCTCGAGGAAACTTCGAGATCGCAAATCGCGTTTAAAACGAGCTCCACTCGATCGAGCCCGACCCCTTTTTATGGAGCCACGTGGGTGTATTAAACACGACACCCCCACATGGTCCTCCCGATCGTGTTCAAAACAGGTGGTGCAGCTGTTTTAAACACAATAAAACACGAAGCGCCACGAACAGTGTTGACGCAACAGTGTCGTCACATACAAAGAACAAGATAATAATAAAAAAGAACGGCAGGTGGATGAAAGCTGGCCCGGTGCAGCAAACCATCCAGCTGGTCAAAACTGCAACTTGGACCCGGTTCAAACCGGTTCACGCTACAGCCATGCGACGCGACAGCCAGCGAGCAGCAAGCTGCAGGGAGCATGGAGGCGGCCAGCGAAGACGCCATGGTATCTCTACGATGGGCAATGGCCATGGCGCCCGCTGCACCCAGGTAGATCGTCGCAAAGTGGATCGTCATCGTCGAAAAGGTCGTCGACGGCTGCGGGGGATCGGCGCGGCAAGCGTCGAGAACGTTGAAGGAAGCGGTCGGATCGCGCTACAGGCGTCATCTTCGGATGCGTCGTCGGACACGCCCGTGGCAAATTGCGAGATGCGCCTCTGAAAGTCACCCATGTCCGACCTCGAATCGACGCTCGTGGCCGTTGGAACCTGGTCGCGAGTAGCTCCGCAGACCAGCTTGTATGTTAATGCAGTTGCTAGCGAATTCATGGATCTCTCCGTGCGCAGCTCACTCCCAACGACCAAGTGCTGGTGCCAACTCCCACGCATTCAGGCGTAGCGCTACGTATGCGAAGTCTTTGAGTTAGTTTTTGCTAATTTGGTTTCAACGCGAACACGTTTGATTGATTGATTGATTGCTAGCGAATTCATGTAAGAGTATCGTCCCGGCTACGGGCTGGATGGCGTAGCCATGTTGAAGCTGCACAGTCGGATGCGTGGTCGGGATGTGCAAATAGCGTGCGCCCGGTATTAGTGTAGTGCGCTCGCATGCCAGGAGGCTGCTTGCTGCGCGGCGCTGCCACAGTCCGAGGACCGACGGCGCCGTCATCGTGATTGCCAACGCTGTGGCGTGTCGAATCCGCGGAATCCCGGTGCGTAACCGGACGATTCCGGTGGCCGAAGATGGGGTCGCCAGTATTTCGTACTGTAGCAGCAATGCACCAGCGCAAGCAGCCACCGACGCGCGACCTGGTCGACGCCACCGACGTCCCCAAGGACGACGCCGCCAAGCCCACACGCGGGCACTACCTTAGTGCGTGGGCCATCGTCGCCTGGTTGCTTCTTCTCTATGGCTTTGTCTTTTGGCGACACACGTGGCTGCCATCGCCCAAGGACGCGTCGATTCCGTTGACCGAGTTTTCCGAGGCGCGCGCCCGCCGCTTTCTCGAGGAGCTCCAGGCCATCGAGGGCGGGTCCCGAACGCTCGGCAGTGTCGCGAACGAGGTCGCGACGCCCGCCTGGCTCTTGCGCCACCTCGAGGCCTTCCAGGCGCAGTGCGAGTCGCCGTGCACCATGGAGATCGAGGTACCACGACGACAGTAGATACATGATCTCATGCGTTTGCACAGGTGCAAAAGCCCGAAGGCGCGTTCGGCCTCAACTTTTTAGCGCAATTTCAAAACATTTACGCCAACGTGACCAACGTCCTCGTGCGCATCTCGGCGTCAACGGAGGCGTCGCCGCCCAGCCTCCTCCTCTCGTCGCACTACGACGCTGCGATCGGCGCGGCCGCCGCGTCCGACGACGGCGTCAACATTGCCATCATGCTCGAGCTGCTCCAGAACGCGGTCGCGCGCCCGCCGACGTCGACGGCGCTCGTTTTCAACTTTAACGGCGCCGAAGAGACGTTCCTCCAAGCCTCCCACGGCTTTATCACGCAGCATCCGTGGCGCGCGTCCGTGGCCGCGTTCCTCAACCTCGAAGCCGCGGGCGCGGGCGGGCGCGAGCGGGCGCGAGCTGCTCTTCCAGACGGGCAGCGACGTGCTGGCGATGGCGTACGCCCACGGCGCGCCGTACCCGCATGCGAGCACGATTGCCCAAGAAATCTTCCAGGTACGACGACGACCTCTACCAACTATTGTTGTTGCAGTAAATATGAAGTGGTATTCATATGTCTAGTCGGGTGTGATCCCGGGCGAGACCGACTACCGCACGTACACAGAGTACGGCGATGTGCCCGGCATGGACTTTGCCTACGTGGCCAATGGGTACGTGTACCACACGCCGCTCGACGACATTTCGCGCATCCAAGCCGGCGCGATCCAGCGCTTTGGCGAGAACGTCCAGGGCACGATCCGTCAGCTGTTTGCGTCGCCGAGTACGCTGCGGTCCATGGGCGCGCCGTCGTCGTCCTTGGGCGGGCACATCTTTTTTGATGTGTTTGGCTACCGAACGCTCACCCTCTCGACGGACACGAGCGCGCGCATCCACGCTGCGCTCGCGATCAGCACGCTGCTGTACGTCAGCGCCGTCTCGCAGACCACGTGGCGCGACAAGCTCCACGCGCTGCGCCTCTTGCTGCGCCTTTCGCTTGCGGGTCTCGTCACGGGCCTACTGGTTGCCGCTGTGCTCTGCCTCTACGCGCCCATGAGCTGGTTTGCGTCGCCAACGACACGGCTCTGGGTCTTTGTGTTTCCCGTCGCGGCCGGCTTTCTCCACCAGCTGCCATCGGACGCGGTACGCACTCTGTCGCGTTGCGTGGATCCGAGAATGCATTCGATGGGTGTAGAGGTCGCTCGTCGCACCGCTCGTCGAAGCGCAGAGTCTCATGTGGCTTGTTGCGATGGCACTGCCAATGTGGGCCCGCGGCATTCAAAGCATCTACCTCGTCATGACATGGGTGCGCACCTGCCAACTGTATGATGATGTGCTGCTAGAGGCCATGCCCGTGCGCTAGGTGGTGTGCCCGCTTCTTGCCCAAGTCGTGGCGCAGTCACTGCCGCATGGCTACGCGCCCCGTACGTCGTCGTCGTCTGTTTCCAGATTGTCCTTTCTTATTTGCACGATACAATGTAGGGGCCCACGCCGCGTTGCTGCTCGCAGGCATCGCTGTGCCGCTATTGCACTCGGTGCAGATTTACATTGTCGCGCTGCAGGTGTTCATCCCGATCATGGGGCGCGCCGGCACGTCGCTGCCGTCGGACCTCGTGATTGCGCTCCTCGTGGCGCTTCTTTCGCTGCTGACGCTCTCGGCGTTGACGCCCGTGCTCTGCTTTGTGCGCCCGCGCCACACAGCACACGCCAAGACAGCGGCCATCGCGTTGACCTTGCTCTACGTCTTTGTCGCGTGCGTCAGGTACCGTCTCTCTTTCTCTTGTACGGTGACAACGCAACGCCACTAATAGCAACCCGTACTCGACCGAGTGCCCGAAGCGCGTCATTGTGCAGCACATTTACCGCAACTTTACGCAGCGACCGGCCGCCAACGACGCCGGGCTCTGGGTCCTTGGCTTCGACTTTCAGGGGCTCGACCCGCTCCGAGCTGCGTTTGGCGCGACACCGTGGTCCTCGGCCATGCACGCCCCCGTCCACGACCCGTCGATTCCGGTTGTTTACGACAACTTTCCTTGGTCGGACCGCTGCGGACATTGGACCGACTAGTATTCTGACGATGTGATGGATTAGGGTCTATCCCGTCGCACCGGTGATGCCGCTCAAGAACACGTGGTACCTCCCGACGACCGACGTGCCCGTCTTTGCCGTGCCGACACTGCTCGAGGTCGTGTCGTCGACGGTGGACCCGATGACGCGCGTGCGTCGTCTTCACTTGCACTTGTCGGGGCCATCCCAGATCAACATGTACATGGACGCGTCACGCACCAAACTCGCGTCGTGGTAATATTACGTGCTCGTGTCAAAGGTGACGTGACCGAATGCGATCGTAGGTCGCTCGGCAACGGCACGGACGGCGTGCCGCCGCTGATTGACGATGTGTACCTCTTCCAGTTTTCCACCGGCGGCCTCGCGCCGGCGTCGTTCCATTTCTGGGTCGATGTCGCGACGGACGGTCCGATCGACGTGGCGTACTGCGGTCACTACTTGAATGGCACGACGGCCGACCTGGCAGCTGTCGCTAGCCTTTTGCCCGACTGGACGGCGCACACGGTGTTCACATCGAGTTGGTCCCTGACGCAACTGTAGTTTGCACTTGCAACAAGATCCATTTTTCGAGGTTTCAAATGTTTCAATGTTTCAAGTGGCGTGGGTGGTCGATGCGCGGCGAGGCAAGGGACTGGGGTCAGTGGGTAGAGTGGTTGTGACGGGTCGTCGCGGAGGTCGAGGCGGCGACAAGGGCGTGCCTCGGCTGCACGCGGCGCTTGGTGTCGCTGCCTGGCGCTGCCGCGACCGCTGCACCATGGCGCGCTTTGCGACCACATGAGGCGCGTCGCAGTCGTGCGCGACATGCCACTTGGCGTTGCGCTGGATGTAGGACCGACCGCAGCCGTCGTTGAGGCACAGGACGAACCGGCACGAGCAGTCGAGCTTGCGGTGCCGCGGTACATCTTGGCGAATGATGCTTTCACCGCAGCCAAACGGACACTCGACCAGCTACAGCACATATCGTCCGTAATCCAACGACGGTCGATGCGAACCTCGTGCTTGCGAGCGTACTCGGCGGCGAGGTCGTTGCGGCGTTGCGTGACGCGGCAGTGGTGGCCGCGCGACACCTTGAAGGTTCGGCCGCAGCCCGGCGCGGCGCAGACGTCCATCCGCTGTGGGCAGTCGCATCGGACATGGTGGTCCATCGCGGTCAGCGGCACTAGAAACAATGTCTGTTGGCGATGTAAAGAGACACAATAGAGTGTAGTACGGTGGAGACCGCAACCGAGGCTGCAGTCGCCTGCCACCTCTCGCGTCGCATGCTTGTGGGCGAGAAAGTTGCGCCGCACGACGACCGCGCACATGTGGCGTTGCCGGAACGACGGCGTCGGCGGGTCCCCGAGGCGCTGGAGCGTCGCCGTCGTGTAGTGGCTCCAATATGTGTTGAACGCGGGGCCTCTACACACGAAATCGTCTGAGCCCAGGTGATGCATTTGTGTATGGATGCACCGAGGCAAGTGGCCGCTCACATCTTCGATGAACGGACCCATGCCCTCTTCGAGCGTCCAGTAGCCTAGAGACACGTTGCTACACCAGCACAATAAATTCGCACGCCACCTTGCAGCGTCGGGACAAGATTCAGCGTCGTTCCTATGGACGCCGAGATCTCGGACGGCGTCCGGGTCGTCGTCCAGTACCGCACTTCCTACACATGACACCTTGACACCTTGATAGAATAGAGCGCTGATGTCATCGCTGGACCTGCAGATGCCCGCGGAACGACTTTTCGGTGGCTCCTAGCGTTTCCATGGGGAGGTGGAACGTGCCAGGGCGCTCGTCGACGACTGACCCATCGAGCACGAGCTGCACGGAGGTCCTAGAACATCCGGTGCTATGCGTCATATATCCAGTGAGCTTGAGCCTACGCGGATGCGTTGAGGGCCATGTGCACCCAGCGCTCCCGCGGGAGCTCGGCCTTGAAGCGCGCTTTGGTGTCGAACGTATGCACGCCCACACCGGCGCCAGCGACCATCTACGCCAACGACTTCTCACATGGTTTTGTGCATGGCGCGCGTACGACGAGGTGGATGCCGGCGGCCTTGGACCCGGCGATCGTATGAAATCCAATCGGCGACTGCGCGAGCGTCAGCGGTACGTCGACGTGCGTCGCGAGCTTGTCGTCGAGGCGACTGAGCTCCTTCTTGGCTTGTTTCAGGAACCGCGCGCTCTCTCGAACATCGGTCGGGCGCGATCGCTCGTGGTCCTCAATCGCCTGCAGCAGCTGAAGGCGCTTCTTGATCAGTTTGGCATGGGGCGTCTCCTACAATGCATGCATCAATCAATCCCTAGCACGAGGCAGCAACGTTCATGCAAAAATCAAGCAAAAATCAGGCAAAAATCAGGCAAAAATCAAGCAAAAATCAAGCCAACAGCATTGCGTGTATCGACCGTACGTTGGTTTTGGCGGTCGCGGCGGCGGTCTTGAGCGCTGCGAGCCAATGCTCGACGTGTCCATACAAATCCAAGTCGGCCTTGGACCACGACGGCTGAAGCACCTGAGCTTGAGCACGCACTTGGTCCGAGAGCTACCGTTCTCGCGAATTGAGGTGGGGAGAGCATACGAGACGTACACTCGCACGCTCGGCAATGTCATGGATGGACATGACAAGCGTTGCGGCGTCCGAGACGAGTGAAAAGATGCGTGCATTCGCCTCGGCGATGATCGACTTGCAGCCCGAGATCCCTAGTTGCGTGTACGCACCTTGATTCCACATAGATCGAATCAATCCTCTGCGTACCTTCGTCGACAAGCTGTGCTTGAGCCTGTAGCTGCGTCAGTTCGCTATCGTCTTTGCTGCCTGCATTGCCGAAGCCCATGAACAGCGCCAGACATAACGTCGAAGGAAAGTACCCTTGGTCCGCAGCACGGCCGTCTTGATGCGCTCCTTGAGCGCTTTCTCATCGGCGATGCAACCATCGAGGCGCGGAAACGTAGCTCGCAGCGTCGCTTGCCATCGCAGTGCATCCGACATAAAATGCAGCACGTCGTCGGCCTTGGAGAAGAGGTGGACCCAGAACTCGGCGCACCACGGCGGCTTGCGGTCGTCGCCGCCGTCAAGGCGGACGTAGCCCTGCCGTGTGTTGAAGCGCAGCACCGCCCGCGCCTCGGGCGACACGTTGACGTCTTCGTGGATCTACGCACGTATTCTTGCCATTAGTCGTCACAAGCTTCGTTCTACATGGCGATCGCGGAACTTGAGCGTCGCCTTGCAGCCGTGCACGGCGTTGGCGCAGAGGACGAGCCGTGCGGGACAGGACACGCGAGCGTGCTGCGGCAGCTTGCGCAGGGGCACCTCGTCACCGCACTCGCGACACGGCACATGGCCGTCCTTGATCGCCGCTACCGACAAGACGTCATTAGATGAAGTGTCATGACGCGATTAGCCTACCGCGCTTGGCGAGCTCGTGCCGGCCGATCGTAACACTGCAGACAGTGCGCATGTGCTCGACAAACGCGCCGACGGGGACCCACTCGCGGCACCCGAGCTAGTTGATGGTTCACGTGCCACGAAGCATTCATGCGTGCCGGTCGTACGGGCCAGTTGGGACATGGCCGCTCGCGCATCAAGCACGCGTCTTCCTTGTGGTCCGTCATGTGGCGCTAGCATCCGCTGGCTTGCTCCTGTGTCGTCGTCGTCTCTGCTACGCTTACCTTCTTCACGGGCTCGTTGCACCAGTCGCAATGGACCACGTCGTTGACGGTCTTGGAGGCCTCGAGCATCGCTGCTCGGTGCTTGGCGACGCAGCACGTGGTTGCAAAGTGGTTCTACTCCGAGTGTAGAAGACGACCCTTTTCACGCTCATGGCAAGAAAGACGACCTCGAGGTGCCGATACACCAGGTTCGTCTCGGCGCAGCCCAGCGACGCGTGAGGGCACGGCACCCGCCGCATGGCGCACTCGAGCGCCGTGTGCGCAGCCAGCAGCCGCAGCGGCACCTCGACCTCGCACGCGAGACAGCACACGGAGAGCGTCGCCTTGATATGGTGCGCGTCTAGAAGCTGTCGCGTGTGGCGGTAGACGAGACACGTCGAGGTTTCGTGCGCGGGGAGCGCGTGGGCGGGCACGCAGGCGTCGCACCCGTGGTGGGGACATGCAATGAGACGGTGCGAGCACTCGACGGCCTGGACGCGGCTGCATACGAGCTTTCCACACAAGAGTCTTGTACCTGGTGGTGCTTGAGCTGGCGCAACGCCACGTCATTGCCGCAGCTACACAAAATGTGGTCCTCGACGATACGTGGCGGCTTCTAAGGCGAGGATCGGCGATGACTTGTAGAAGGCAGCGTTTGTACCTTGGTTGGCGACGCAAGAGGCGAGCGCTGCAACGCCGGCGTCGACTGGCACCGGCGCCGGGCCTTGTTGAGGAGGAGCGTTCGCTGGGCGTCAATCTCCTGGATGGAGCGAAACAAGGTCGTCTCCCGCGACGCGAGCTTGGCGGGACTCCACTGCACGCTGCTCGTCGCGACCTTGGGCAGCACGACGCTTGTCTCGGGCGACGCCATGCGCCGTTTCAGCCCCACGGACCAATATATAAGACGACAACTCCGAGAATAAGACGATGCAAAGTGGACAGATTAGTAGTTTAAGGACGCTCGAGGTTGTTGAGCTCCGGCTGGAGCATCTCCTCGACGATGCACTCGACGTGCGCGGCGAGCTCGGCGGCGACGTCGCTGCGGGCCATGCCGAGGCGGCCGGGCGACTCGCAGTAGTACTTGAGCTTGGGCTCCGTCCCGCTCGTGCGGAGCGTCGCGACGACACCGTTCTTGAACGAGTACGTGATCATCTCGCTCGACGACGAGACGGGCAGCACTAGTGGGCCATCATGAGCATGATTTTTTTCACTGAAAAAGGCACGACGTACAAGCCACGTTGTCGTCTTGGTCGCTGTCAAAGCCCGTCGTGAGGTCGCGAATGCCAGCGATCGGGTACTTGCCGACCGCGTGCCAGTACTTGCCATCGTTGCGGAGACGCGCAAAGATGGTGCGGATCGTCGCCGGGTCGTAGCACTTGACGTAGTGGTTCTGCGTCACGTATGGGCCGTACGTCGCGTACAGCTCTTGCAAATGGTCGTGGACCGACTTGCCCTGCTTCTTAAGCTAGACACGTAATTGAGATGAGCCTCCGAAGGTATCAAGGTATCAATCGTCGTCGTACCTGCTGGGCCATTTCGGCAAAGACGGCCGCGGCGCAGACACCGTCCTTGTCCTTGACGACGGACCCGACGCAGAACCCGATGGCTTCTTCGTACGAGAAGAGAACGGTCTTGCCCGCCGCGCGGAGATCGCTCGTGGCGTTGCCCATCCATTTGAAACCCGTGAGCGTCTCGACAAAGTGGAAACCTTCCTTGCGCGCGATCGCGCGGAGCATCTTGGACGAGACCGTCGACGCGATGACGTACAAGTTGTCCTTGTCCGCGTCCGGGTGCGCGAGCATGTGCTGCGTGTACTCCCAGTGGCCGAGGATCGTCCCGATCTCGTTGCCCGTGTAGACGTACCACTGCCCCGACGGCAGCTGCTCGGCGACGGCCAAACGGTCGGCGTCCGGGTCGTTGGCCAGCACGAGCGAGCAGCCCTCGCTACATAGTAACATGAGAAAGTCGGTCATAGGGCGTCGTCGGTCTACCGCTCGGCGGTCTCAAAGCTGAGTTGGAGCGCGCCCTTGCCCTCTTCCGGGTTGGGGAACGCGACGGTCGGGAACTCGGGGTCCGGCAGCAGCTGCGCCTCCACCGGCGTGTACGCGGGGAGGTTGAAGGCCGCAAAGGACCGGCTCGTAAAGGCGTGACCGACACCGTGCATGGCCGTGTACGCGACCTTGACGTGGATGTCGGCGTCCGAGTTCTCGGCCGTGTAGCGCGAGAGCGCGCCGACCGCTTCAAAGTAGAGCGTGCACAGCTCGTCGGTCGGGTCCACGCACAGCTCGTGGTCGCGGACCGAGGCGATGTCGTACGCCTGCCACGGCGCGAGGTTCTCGACGATGCTCTTGGCGATGAGCTCGTCATGGGGCGGGATGATCTGGCTGCCGTTCGCGCCGTAGACCTTGTAGCCGTTGTCGGCCTTGGGGTTGTGCGACGCCGTGACCATGATACCGGCGACGCAGTGCTTCTGGTCGACGGCAAAGGGCTACGGTTGACCACACATGAGTATATGCAGACGACACGAGATGTCCAACGTACGACGAGAGGCGTCGCGACAAAGCCCTTGTAGAGGTACACCTTGAAGCCGCGCGAGACGGCGACGGCCGCGCTATAGAGCGCAAAGTTCTCCGAGTTGAGCGTGCCGCTGCTGCGGTGGTCGTAGCCGATCGCGATACCGCGGGCTTGCGCCTCCTCAGCACCGTACGTCGTCTCGAGATACTTGCAAAGACCCTGCATCGTCTGGATGATGACCAAGTCGTTCATGCACACCGTGCCTAGCCACATGCATGAGCGTCCAGGAGGTAGCACATCGCTTCGCATACCCGAGCCCATGGCGGCGCGGAGGCCGGCCGTGCCAAATTCGAGGCGCTTCTCGAGCTTCTGGCGCAGCGCAGCCACGTTCTCTGCGTCGAGGAGAGCCTGGATCTCGGCCTTCGTGCCTTCGTTGACGTCCCACTCGACCCACTGCTGGCCGGCTTCGATCCATTGCTACATGCCCAAGCGGCCTCGCATGAGCCCTCGGCGGCGATCGGCGGCGACGTCGACGTACCGCGTCGTCGGCTTGCATCGTGTTGTTTGCTCTTGTGTGTAAATTCACTTTTGAGCGCACGAGGGCTTGTCGACGGAAGATTTCATCCGGATAGATCACCCAAGCATCCGGATCGCAGCCATCGGCGCACCCAATTGTTGAAGGTGCGCTTGCGACGCGCCACGAAAACGCACCTTTTTCTGCGCCGCCAGTGGAAAAGCGCACCGAATTCGAGGCTGCATGGCCGCGCGCGCGGGGCGCCACGTGCCTCACGAGATGCGGCCGTAGGTGCAAACGGGAGCGTCCTTGAACTTGGGCCGCCTGCATAAAGACACGGCAGGAACAGCAGCTTCCGAGGCGCTTCACAAGCGGACGATGCGGACGCAGGCCGTGTACCTAGATATACCATATAGCACACTGTCTGGGCACGTGGTAAATGCACTTCTTGGGCCATAAAAACGTGCCATTGTCGACGACACCGTCGGATTTCGTGCCTGACCTGTGGCGCAGGGCACGCACGCTCGCTGGTTCTCAGCCAAGATGCGCCCGCCGTTGAGAAACGAGCTCCAATCGATCGCTGCCACCACAGCTCCATGGCAGGTTGCACATGCATATCGGCATGTCCTTCGTAGGCGAAGGGTGCACGATATAGCTGTCGGATGCTAACGAGGCGGCGGTGCACGTGGCAAGCCACGACGACGATGCTTTTGGGACGGGCAATTTGAAGTTGAAGTCTTGAAGGGACATGCGGCATCGGTGCGCTTTCCGAAAGAGGTGCGCTTTCACGGCGCTCCGGGACACCCAATGGGCTTCGGTTAAGTTTCTTGCATTCGACTAAGTTCGCTTGCAGCAAAAGATACTTTATCGAGAATCCCCAACATCCGCTCGAATCTTCCGAGGACCAGCATGACCGAGACCAAGGCAGCGAATGGCGGGATGCTGGAGGAGTGGACGTCGTACTTCTTCCCGTCGCCGTCCAAGGCGTCGCAGGTGACCTGCCTCGAGTTCTTCCAGCGCCCATCGACCGGCACGACGCTGCTCTGCCAGGCCGTGCCCCATCGCTTTGGCGTCTTTGATGCAACGACGATGGCGCTCGTACGCGACGACGCTGCATGGATGGAGGTCTTTATGCATCTCGCTAGGTGGGCCAAGAGCATCCGCTGAGCGCGCCCGTGCGCCTCATCCGCTTCATGGACGCTGCGCCGTGTACGCCGCTGCCACGGAGTATCCCACCTCATGCTGCTTGGAGCGTAGATACGTCACTGCCGAGCTTGCTCTTGGTCTCGACGCGCATTTGCATCTTCTCGCTCGAGCGCCAAGCGTATGTGTCTCCGAGCTACCGGCCGTCACGCTCTTGCATGCATTAGGGTCGTTCACGAGGTCTGGGGCCCATGGCGGCCAAGGACGTTCTCGACGTCCGCGTCAATGACCACGTGCTTGCCATCTTGTCCCCACGCGTGCTCCATCTCTTTGATCGGCGCGCCAACTTTGCACTTCAAGGTACGCTTTCTCTTGCGTAGTATATCCTTTCTCAGGCATCATGCCCGTATGTAGCGACGATTCCGACGACCGCGGACGCCATGGCACTCGGGCCTCGCTGGCTTGCGTTCCCGTCAGCCCTGGACGAGCGCCATGCAAATGGCTTTGCCGCGTCGTCAACAGCGACGTTTACCGCGCGCGACGACTACTCGCTCACAAACGTGGCCCAAGGCGTGGCTTCAAGTCTCTACTTTCTCTCCCAGGTGCATCTATCGACGCGTCGACGTCACGTCTTGATGGCGCGTAGGTCGGCCGCAAATCGCTCTCGACGTCGTTTGCAGCGACTTCGGACGAGGTACGCCGTTTCAGGATTTGTATCAATCTTTCAACCAACATGCACACCTAGACGCGCGATGTCGGGAGCGTCGTCGTGCACGATGTGGTCCACGGCGCCAACCTCGTCCAGTTCAAGGCGCACGACTCGCCCATTACAACGTTGACGTTTGACCCGAGCGGCCAGTTGCTCGTCACGTCCTCGAAAAAAGGACAGACGCTGCACGTGCATCGGCTCCTTGGCGACGACCACGTTCTCTTGTACAAGCTCCAGCGTGGCATCACGTACGCGCGGATTCACCACGTGAGCATCTCGGTCGACGCCAAGTGGATCGCTGTCACGTCGCTTCGAGGCACGACGCACGTGTATGACCTCTTGATAACTTGATAGGTTGATATGTACAGGGTGATATGACGATGTAGGTATGCGATCTGGCCCCAGGGCGGACCCGTTGACGGCCACTGCCACGCCGACATGGACTATGACGACGCGCCTCAGGTGGCGGCGTCCAAGGCCGTCGCGGTCCTCGAGCAGCAGGCGCGGGACCTCGGCCGACCGAGTTGGTCGACAGAGAAGATCCAATCGCTGCTGCGACTGCGACACACGACGCCCATGAACAACACGGCGACGGCGTTCCAATACGACGACGACGACCTCCCGGCCCTGCACTTGCAGTGCCAATGGGGACCTAACAACACCCTCTATGTCGCCAACGCGGGCACGCTCAAGACGATGCAGCTCCAGCCCAAGCTCTCGGTGCTCGAGACCCAAAGCTTTGCGCTCTCGGCCGAAATGACACAACTGCACAGCGTCGATCTGGAGCATCGGCCGACGCATCCCGTGGTCCAGAATGTGACGTCAACGAGCCCGACGCCCGCACTTTCCAGTGTCGAAGTCAAGACGCACCACCGTCCGAGCATTCCTCTCTGGGCGCACCCCAAGGTGCGTTCGTGTTGCTATGTCGTGACGCACGCGACGTGTCGATGTAGATTACGTTTCGCGCCGTGCGACATGCCGATGGCTCGTCGCGCGTGCTAAGCGTGCGACGTCTGGGCCCCGTGCCGCTGCCAACGGACGCTGCGGACAAGGTGCACGAGCGCGTCACCCAGGGCGAAAGCCCCGTGTTTGACGGTGCCGCCAAGCCCAAGAAACAGCACCATCTTGCGGTGCCGACACTCGACTTGGCAGGTACGACGCTATCAGATCTGGCGTGTGCGACATCAAACTGCGCTAGCGTCCATCTCCAAGGCCGTCCAGAGCAGCGTCGAGATTGCACCGATCGACGACCACGGCCTTGATGCGGGCGTGCAATGTACGACCCCTTCTCCATGGTTCTTACAGAGTATATATATTCCTGTAGCGCTCAACCTCGCGCATATTCAAGACACATATTTTGCGAGTCCGCCGTTGGCGCCGCTATCGGACCTTGTGAGTGTGCACGTCTTGCCGCCCGTGCTCTCGGACGGGACAGACACGTCGCTGGACGAGCCGTTTGAAGAGATCGTGGCCGAAACGAGCACCACGCACGACGACCCTCCGAGAGCGAAATCCAAGGGCCGCCGAGGTAGCAAGGTCAAGGCCAAGTAACGCGATTTGACAGCAATCGGCAACGTCCACATTCCGATACAACGTGGTATTAATGGTTCTGAACAAACGCGAGGACGAGCGCGGTCAAGATCTGACCGGCCTCGCTCATGCCAGCCTTGAGGCCAGCGGGATGCTGCCCGGGCGCGGCTTCGGCGAGGTGCAAATACCGCGCGCGCGGCAGCTGCGCGAGGCGGTAGACGTAGTACTCTGCGTCCGCGACCGAGATGCCGCAGTTGGTCATGGCGCTCACGGGCATGCCGCTGATGCTGTCCGTGTCGACTTCGATGCCGAGGGGCTTGGTCGAGTTCGGTCCTCCGACGTAGGCGATCGCTTTCTCGATTCCTTGCGCAAACGTCGACTCGCGTCGGAGGAACATTTCCTGGTAGCTGCAGAAACTCGCGCCCGCAGCGTGCATCTGGTCGAGCGCGCTCTGCGCGTTCTTGAGCTCGTGGAGGCCCATGACAAAGTACTTGTCGAGGAACTTTTCCGACTGGGCGTAGCTAAAGCCGTTGCCGCTGTGGCGGCCCTCGAGGAGGCGAAAGTCGCAGTGCGGGTCGAGGTTGATCGCGTCCGCGCCAACGCCGGCCGACTGCGACAGCGCTTTCAGCAGCGGGTACGAGTTGTTGTGGCCGCCGCCAATCACGATCGGCGTCAAACGGGCGTCAAAGACGAGCTTGGCCACGGCCGTGAGGCGCTCGTCGACGATCGCAACGCACTTGCGCAGCGTCTCGAGCTGGTCCGGGTCGCTCGACGACAGCGACGCGGCCTGCTGCTGCACGTCGTGCAAGTTGAGTTCGCCGAGGAGAAGGATCTCGTGCGCATGGACAAACTGGTTGGCCTGGACGTTGAGGAAGCGGCCCAGGAAGGCTTGGAAGCCGAGGTCTGCGCCCCCATTGCCAAAGTTGGCCCGCGGCCCGACGTCTTCGGGCACGCCGAAAATCGCGTACTTGGCACCGTTCGCCTGCGCCGCCGCCAGCGCCGCCGGCAGCGGGACGTCCGGAATGACAAACTGCACCGCTTGGCCGAGGCGCGTCTCGCCGGCCCGCTGGCTCTGGAGGCGCTGGAGGTCCGAGGCTTGGTACGTCGTGACGGTAAAGTTGCTCATGCTGCGCGTCCGAAAATGACGGAGCATGACGAGCGGCTACTGCTGCGTTTCGTCGGCCGCCAACTTCAACCGTCCGGCGGTATCCGGACATGAATTCCGGATAACAGGGACGAATTAAGGAATGCGCGGTGAGCCATCGTTCGCGCGCGCGGATGACGCGGAGCGTCCGGATACCTTTTTATCCGGAAACCCCAAACCGCCCGCATCCGGATAAATGATCCGGGCGGCCTGGTTGCCAGTATTATCGATCGAGATGAACGTCCCAGCCGCGCTCGGGCCATCGCACGTCAGCGACGTCGTCGCGACCATGGAGCAGGCGCTGAGTCCGTACGAGGAGGTCCGCGTCGCGGGCGAAGCGACGCTGCAGCAGTGCATGAAGCTGCCAGGCTTCGCCTGCCTCTGCCTCGAGGTGCTCAAGCAACCCGTCGGGGACGCCACACGCCTCATGGCCGCGCTCTCGCTCAAGAACGCGGTCGCGAGCTCGTGGATCACGCGCGGGTCGCGGCAATTCATGATCTCAGCGGAAGAGAAGCTGCAAGTCCGGCGTGGCTTGCTCCAGCACACGGAGGAGACCAACAAGGCTGTGGCGACGCAACTCGCCGTACGGGCCATGAGTGCTCACGACGTCGCCTTACGATCTGCCATAGGTCACGATTGCTCGCATTGCGCGCTCCGACTTTCCAAAGGAATGGCCCGACCTCTTTGGCATTCTTCGCGACCTCATCCAGCAAGGCTCGCCGCTGCAACAGGTACACATCGCCATCGACAGTAGTCGTCATCGTCTCATGCATGGCGCTAGATGCGTGCGCTACGGGTGCTCAAGTCGGTCGTCAAGGAGCTCGCCACGCGTCGGCTCATGCCCCAGCGCGTCGTCTTTAACGAAATGAGCGTCGTCGTCTGTCCGTTCATTGCGCAGCTGTGGCATCGCCAAGTGCAGCAGCTGCAGAATGCGACCGAGATGGAAGACGTGCTCACCAAGCTCCTCTTGAGCACCAAAGTGCTGCACCATCTCGTCTTCTACGGCTTCAAGGCGCTCGTACCCCTCGACGTCGTGCCTTTTATCTTTACCAACTTTTACCAAACGTTCCAAGCGCTGCTCGCCTTTACCCACGGGTCGGTTCCTTGCTTCTATCGATCAATGTATCAAGCAGCATTTTGTAGGCTGCCGACCGACTCGCCGTGCCTCGCGCTCTCGTACCGCGTCTTGACAGCGCTGACGGGCCTCGTCGTCGCCGTGCAAAAGGAGCATCCGATCGAATTCCGCGACTACCTGGGTCCGTCCGTCTTCGTCCTCGTTGTTGTTGCTGATGTTTAAACGCGCTAGGTCCCTTCCTCCAGACCTTTTACGCGACCTTGTCGGACCCGCGGACGTTTCCGGACAAGCTCGTCATCAACATGATTTCGTACGTCACGAACGTCATGGGCTGTCTTCTCTACCAGCATTTGCCGTCGACGACCGGCATCTCCAAGACGATCATCACGTCCGCCGGCTCGGTCGAGCTCAATGACGCCATGGTCACCGAGTGCCAGCAGCAGCTTGGCGGCTTCATGTACAAACACCCAACCAAACATGCCACTTGGTAAACGTGGGGGATAGGCACGACACGGCGTTGCTCTCGACGCTCCTCGAACTCATTGTAGTGCGGTACGTCATAGTCATGACGCGTCCTCGTCTGCACCGGCACGGTGTAGGTACTTGCGCTTGACGCCGTTAGACATCGAGCAGTGGGAGGAGGACCCCGAGGCGTTCATCACGCTGCAAGAGTCGCTGTCGTCCGAGCTGTCGGTGCGAGCGAGCGCTGAAATCCTCTTCCTCTCGCTTCTGCAAACCCACCGTGACGCCCTCACGCCGTACGTCTCTGCCGTAAAACGCACTTTGTTCTTATCCGACGTAGGTGCGTCCTCAACATGATCGAGTCGGCATCGTCTTGGCTGCGCACGCCGCCCGCCACCAAGAGCGACGACGACGACATGGTGCTGCGCGTCGACGCGGTGCTGCTGGCCGCGGGCCTCGCGTCCTACGACCTCCACGAATGCTTTGATTTTGAGCCGTGGTTTCTCCAGACGCTGGTGCCGTACCTCCAGCAGCCGTCGACGATGACGCTCCGTGGCGTGCCCGTCCTCTCGCGGCGCATCGTGTGGCTCATCGGGTGCTGGCTCGCGCAGCTCTCGGCGCAAGTGCGCCTTCCGCTCTACGAAGCCCTGCTTCATTTGCTCGCCGCCGACAATCGCGTCGCGGACACGTCGGTCAAGTACTGTGCCGTCACGACGCTCGAGTCGCTCGTGAACGACTGGGGCTTTCAGAGCATGGACTTTATGCCGTTCTTGTCGCGGGCCGTGAGTGCGCTCTACGCGTTTCTCATGTCGGCGGACGTGGCGACGACCGAGACGCGCCTCAAGGTCCTCGGCTGCGTCGAGAGCATCGCGCACATGTGCTGTACGAGTTTGACGCCGGCGTCGCTCGTGCAGATCGTGCAGCCGCTACCAACGATCTGGGAGGCCGCCGCGTCGTCGGACGCCAACCTCCTCCGCGGCAAGGTCCTCTCGCTCCTCTGCCGCATCATGGAGACCGAAGTCGACTTCGTCTTGGGTACGTTTGGATGATCGGCTTCCGTGGCACCAACGATTGTATGTGTGCAGACGCCGACTTGCAGACAATGGTGCTCTCGGTGGTGACGTACGCGACCAACCCGAACGAGCCCGAGACCGTGTACCTCATGGACCAAGGCCTCGCGCTCTGGCTTCGCCTCACCGAGGTAATACGAGCATAGATGTGTCGTATGGCGCCTCAACAGGTAGGTAGGTGCTGGAAGTGTACGCGCCGCCGTGCCACAGCACGTTTGCCAACATTGTCACCGCCTTGTCGCGGGACACGGAGCATTTGCATGCAGGCATGACGCTCTTTGAAAACTACCTCGCGATCGGCGGCACGACCTTTTGGTCCACGTATGGACAGGACATCGCGACGCTGCTGCACGGCTTGATCGGCGCCGTCAAGCCCGATATGGCCCACATGGTACAGCATCGGTTCCTACAAATGCGTGACGCGAATGGCTCGTGCATAGATTGCGCGGTTTGTCGAAAAGCTGTACCGCCACTTGCCCGCGTCGTCGCTGACGCCACTCAACCGTACGTTTTGCCTCATCGTATGAGGCCACACCATGCGTTGTAGCGGTCTTGGCGCGCCTCTGGGAAGCATGTCTCGAAGACCCGCGCTCGGAGCCCGAACTTGTGCTCATCTCGTACTTGACGGCACTCGCGACCGCGTCGCTGCATGCGCCGACGCTCTTCTTTCGCGTGCTTTCGTCGGACGCGGCCGTCGCCAAGTACGCCGACGTGCTCCTCCACCTCTACTTTTCCGTCGCGTTCTCGGCTGTCGGTGCGTCCTTCGACCACGTTGATGGACGAGGAACGTATATATTTGTAGGCCCGTTGCGACGACGCACGTGGGTGTGTTCGCTCTGCAGCCTCCTCACGACGCACCCGGGCGTGGCGCTCGAGCGCCTCGGCCTGCTTTTGGAGGCCAGTATCCACGCGATCGAAGAAGATGCCGACGCGGACGAGCCCGAGCCCGCGACTACGACGCGCAAGAGCCTCCTCAGCCAGTTCCGGGCGGCGGCGTCGGCCTCCCAGATCACAGCGGCCTACATCAAGCAGTACGTGTGTGCGCAGCTCAACCAGCTCGCGGTACTGGCAGGTGCCGACGCCTTTGGCCAAGCGATGCAGCTCGTGGAGGCGTCGGTGGTGCACAAGATCCAAGCGTTGTAAGCGGGAAAATCGTAGTACGCATTGCTCTAAATCAGTGGTGGCGGCTACATTGCAAGCGTCATGCTGCTGCTGCTGCTTTCGTCTTGGTCGGTCTTCTTGGAGAGACGCTTGACGAGCTCGTACGCCGTGATGACGAGCACGCCAGAGGGACCCATGGCCATGACGCGCTACAGTACGTACGATGAGATGCAGCGCTAAAACACTTCGTACCGCGAGGGCGCCGGTCCAGAGCCCAGGAATCCCATCGCGCTGGATAAGGTATTTGAACGTGTCGACCGCGCCAAACTGCGTGTGGATCTGCGTCCGCGTGCGAATGACGTCCATGGGGTTGGTCACGACGGCCGTGACGACGCCCGCCGTGCCGCCGCCAATGGCCTGCGCGATCGCTAGGTCCGATACATACTGCATGAGAGGAGGAGGAGGCGAAGGGCTGTACATTGCCGCCACATGGGGTCGATGTCGAGGTTGAGCCAGCGGTAGTAGTGGGGCCACACGACGCCGTAGCAGCCCCACCAGAGCGCGGATGACGGCGCGTACGTGCAGATCGACGGGATGTAGCCCTTGTAGAAGCCGCGCAGTCCCTGTTGCCGGTAAATATCGCGGCCAATCGAGATCAATCCCTGCGCTCGTTTCCGCGACTTGCTTTGGTCGGCCGACGGTCCGCCTGCATAGTACCGCGTCAGAGGCAGGACGCGCATGCGAAGAGTTGTAATACCTTGGCCATCGATCATCATGCGCTGCGAGACAATGTCGAGTGGTACGATCACGGTCTGGTTGATGATGGACGCGGTGGCGCCCGAGATAAAGTTGGCCACGCTCGGCGTCTCCTACGCACGCGTCATGGTATCAATGGCAGGCAACATGCTTCGGCTCACCGTCACGTTCTCCATCGCGAGCTTGTGCGTAAACTCGTAGACCGAGATGTAGAGGTTGCCAATGAAGATGTTGAGGAGGCTCGCGCCAAAGCCCTTGTAGAGCCCGAGGAAGCCTTCTTGCTGCACGATCTTGCGGAAGGCGTCGATCGTGCCATTGTAGAGCGGCTTGGAGCGGCTCTGGACCTGGAGCCGCGTCTTGACGAGGTTGCTCGGGTAGACAGCGGCGCGGACGAAGACGAAGACGCTCGGGCCGATGACGTAGTACTTGCGCTTGTCGAGGTCGTCCCACGAGATGCGGTTCTCCAAGCCCGGTGGCAGCGCTTCGACGCCTTCGTCGCCCATCTTCCGCAATAAGCAAATATGATGATGAACTCATCATTTGCGTTCGGCCGGATACGATAACCGGATAATTGGCACAGGGGAGTGGTCTTTTTTTGGATGGGCTGTGTCTTTTTATTCGTATTATTTATTGTTGCATACAATGCGCAAGGTATCGCGTGTGCAAGTCGTTTAGAAATATGTTTGAATCGGAAAACAAGTACGTCTGGAGTCGTACCAGATTGGAACGAGGAGCGATGGAAAGCGCTTGCGCCGAGCCGCCGATGGCCGCCGCCGAGTATGGCCAGCATGCGCCTAGCCTCCTGATGGCCGCCGGGCCTGGTGGCAGCCAGCGCGAGGATGCGCATGCGATGGTGCCCCGGAAGCCTACGGCGAGCTTCCAGGAGATCCTCGAGAAGGCCATCGCGCTCAAGATCGTGCACCCGAGCGCGCTCTCCAACTACGTTACGAGCGCGACCGCCGTCATGACCTCCGTGGCGCCAAGCACCGTCATGAGCCGCATGGCGCAGACGAACGGTGCGACGACGTTGCAAGATCACGCTGCGGCTGCTCATGCCACGGTGCGTAGGACCGGCCCAGGGCGGTGCGGACAAGAATAATCTTCCCGTACGACGCGATGCGTGCGAGATCGCGCGACGAATGCGATACGTAGGTTGTGTCACCGGACGAGCTGACGATCGCGCCGACCTTCAACACGCAGCGCGTGCCCGTGAACCAGAACCGCATGGAGTTTGTCGACTTTAAGCAACTCTCGTCCGCGCTCAAGCGGCTCGCCATGCACTGTGGCTTTGAGATCCGCGTCAAGTACTCGTCCAAGCGCAACAAGCGCTGGGAGTGTCGCGAGCCAGGTACGATCCCGTCCTCCTCCTGTGCTCACGTGTCGAAGGGTGCACGTTCATCTTAAGCGGGTACAAAAACAAGGACGACCGAGTCCATGTGACGGACATTGAACTATCGCACAACCACGCGGGCGTCGTGGCCGAGCCCGTCGACGCGCATGACTCGGAAGGCACGGGCGACGAGACGAACAATGGCGAGACGCGCCCGCACGAGTCGCGGCTCACCCGCAACACGACGCTCTCGAACGAGCTCGTGCTCGCCGGCGTCTTTGACTCGGACGTCGGCCAGTCGATCATTCTAAAGGACCCGGAGGAGCTGAAGCTCAAGGACATCCAGGGCATTTTACTGAGTCAGTTCGGGTCCCAAATCTCGGCCTCCATGGCGTCCCGCGCCAAGCGCAAGCTCGTCGAAATGTTCTACGAGACGTCCAACTTGAGCTACCAGCAGCTGCGGCCGTTCTTTGAGAAGGTCGTGACCGCCAACCCCGGCAGCTTCTACGTCATGGACCACGTCCCCAACCCCCACGACGGTTTTCGTCGCCTTCTCTTCATCGCTAAAAATCCTCTCACGCTAGGTTCGGGCGTCTACGAGTACGGCCGGTGCCTCCTCGGCATTGGGGCTGCGATCCGATTCCTCAAGGACTGTGCGCCGGTCCTCGCCCTCGAGGCCTGTGCCATGAACACGGTCTGCTTTTTTCCGATTTCATTTTTTCATTATTTTTCATCCCAAATGGATAGGAAATGCACAAGTCGGGCATCCTCCTTGTGCTGAGTACGCGCGACTACAACAGCGACGTCATCTACCTCGCGCTCGCCCACGTGCCTGCGGACGACTACGTCAACTGGGTCTGGTTCCTCGAGCGGCTCAAGGCCAACGGCGTGCCGACGATTGCCAACGTCACGTGCTTCGTCTCGAACGGCGCGCCCGACATTGCGCGCGCCGTGAGCCACGTGTTTCCCGCGCAGCCGCACCGGTTCGTCGTCGAACACATGATCCCGCTCATCGCGGCCGCGTCTCCGTCGCTCAACCGGCTCGGCCCCGAGGTCGAACACCTCATCAAGCAAATGGCAGCCAGTACCAACATGGTACGCTTCCAAATCGATCGCACGAGGACCCACCCTGCGTTTTAGGACCAATACATGGACTCGTTCCAGCTGCTCTGGCGGATCGACAAGGGTAATATACCCATTCTACCTCGAGCATCGTCTTTTGACATGTGGGTAGATCTCGGACGGTACCTCGAAGGCATTCCCAAAGAACACTGGGTCGTGGCGGCCATCCTCAACCGCGGGTGGCCGCTTCTGAACGAAGTTGTGCTCGTGCACTGCGTGGGCGAGTTTGGATCGAGTCCGCTCGGGTCGCTGCTTCGGTCGTGCAACCTCGCGCCTTGCTTTTACCTCTTCCTCCTCTCGATCCAGAAAACGCTCATGAGCCGCGCGCTCACGGCCCGTGCGATGCCCGACCGCGTCCTGCTCCCCGCGCAGCAGAACATTTTGCTCAAGCGCACGGTCGAGAGCGGACGGTACGAGATTCAAGAGTGCCGGCCGCAAGAAGTGTACTTTGCCCAGTACCACACCGTGAGCACGACCTCGACCGCGTTCAAGCTCGTCAACATCGTCGGCCGCACGTGCACGTGTGGCGAGTGGCAGCAAAACCACATCCCGTGCCTCCACGCGATCGCCGTGCTCAACTGCCTCTCCAAGAACGTCCTCGAGTACGTCAACGAGTGGTACTTTACCACGTACCACAAGGCTATGTATGCCCGGTACGTTCCAAAATGTCCCATGACTCTTCTTCTTCTTCTGAATGACAATAACCAACACGATGCAGGGCGGCGCCGGTCGTGCCCGTGCCGCCCATCGATCTCAAACCCGATTTGACGCTCAAGGCGCCGGCTCGGATCCTCGCACAGCTCCAAGAAGCCCTCAACGCCGCCGCGCCACTCGACCCGTACGCCGAGATCGAGCCACGCGACGACGACTCTAATATATATTGCGTAGGTCGATGCGCAGCAAGCCCGGGCCGCGCCCGCGCAAGCGCAAGGACATGTCGGCGTCCATGACACACTAAACACACACACGAACCCTTGTACACTTGAGAGTAGATACTTTTGCACTGCTGTGGATATGATGATCATCATCCTAAACCAACAAGTCACTTGTTGGACTTGCCGTACCCTTCTTCGACGCCCGACTTGAGGTCCGCGACGAGGTGCGCGGCCTTGCGCGACACGGTTTCGAGGCCCGGCGCCGCCTTTTCGTACGTGGTCTTGGCCGCGCCACCGGCCACCATGGCGGCTTCGGCCGCCTTGCGCGCCCCGGGTTCCAGAATTTTCTCTTTCGCGACAAACGCTGCCCCGACCAGCTTCTCGGCGCCGGGCTCGAGCCACTTTTCCTTGGCGACCAGGGCCGCGCCGGCGACCTTCTCGGCCCCCGGCGCGAGGTACGTTTCGCGGACGTAGTCGGCTTTGGAGGACGCCTTCTGGTGCAGCGACGTCCACTGCTCCTTGCGCTTCGTCGACGACGCGCGGTTGGCAATCTCGTCTCGCGCAGCGCTCGACTGGTAGTCGGTCACGCGGTCGCCGTGCTTGTAGATGGTGTAGTCGACGTTCCGACCTAGCACCAGCCTCTTGTTTGCACTGCCGTGTGGTATGTCCGAGGACGTCGTACTTGCATCGCTCGACGCGACCACGCGCACGTCCAAGTCGCCTTCGTACGGCGCCATCTACCGTCGACTTGATATTTTGATACTTTTCCAAAGATGGATACACCGTACATAAAGGTCGTCCATTTCGACCGGCGGCCCGAGCCGCGCCGACTCGAGCGGCAGTTGGTCGGCCGTGAAGCGCATGAAGAAGAGGCTCGAGACGCGATACGTCTCGTCGCCGATCATCTAGGATCCATGATAGTACTCGTCGTCCAAATTGCACACAAGGGACATACGACCACATCGCCGCGCGCGACTTTTCCGAGCAGACTCGACGTGGTCGTTGCGTACTTGCTGCCTACTTGAACAGTGAGGAAGCCCACCTCCAGAAAGCCAGAACCTGTCGGCAACGAGACGAGACAGTCGGGCACGAGCGACGGTGTCGCAAACACCGAGTCCTTGGTGCGCGTCGTCTCGAACGTGACGCTGGGTCCATTGACTTCCGAGATAATGTAGTCTTCGCCGCAGACATGCTACAGGGTAGCGCCTCGTGAGTATCTCCCTCGCGCCATCCCACGCTTCGTACGACGCGGTCCCCATGCGCAAGGTACGCAGTCGCGTCGACGTCGACGGTGCATTTGCGGGATCCTTTCTCAAACGTGATGACGTGGCAGCCCTTCGAGACGCCTTTCGTGAGCGTGGGCCCGTCGTAGCTAAGGTGACGCCTCGTACTACAATACTGTAGTCGACAGCAACGACGCACCGCCGATCGAGCGCCATGCAGTCCTTGGCGTACAAGCTCCCGGGCTCGGTCGAAATGTGAAAGACTTCGCCGACAATCGTGATCTAGTGCAGTGCAAATGACAAGCAAGAAGGACGTCGAGAGACGCACCTCGTCGCCGCGTTTCAGGAGCCGGCGCAGATCGCCGTCGGTGAAGAGCACGTTGGAGCCGCGCACGATCGAAATGAACTCGCCGACGGGCGCCTAGTACCTCGTCGTTGGCGCGAGCGATGCGGCCCAAGCACCTCGTACCTTGTACGCACCGGCACGGTGAGCAACCGCCGCCGCCTTCTCGGACGCGGTCAAGAAACGATCGCCGATGAATTGCACCGCGACACCCGCTAGTTCCCACATCAACACACAGACGACATCGCCGCCATGTATTGTACCTGGGATCTCCGTCTCGACGAACCGATCGAGCGGGATCGACGTCGCCGTGAGCGGCTACGTGCCATGAGCGCTGAATATCCGATCGACATTTCATGTCCTACGAGGTCCTTTTCGTTGGCCACCGTAAAGAGGTGGTCGCCAATCTTGATCGAGTCGCCGGGCTTGAGGACGCGCGCCGCGTTTTCGTACAGAAGCACGGGCGCGTGGACGACGTCGGCCGCCATGTTGGGCTTATCGAGCGGAATCGACGTGGCACTGAGCCGTTTGAGAGGGTTGGTCGAGACATGGTAAATGTCGTCGCCGATTTGCTACATGGCAACAACATCACAATACAATACGTGCACTGGACGTCGTACGAGCATGTCGCCGCGCTTGACCTTGGCCATAATGTTGGCCGATGTCTCGAGCGTCGACTCGCCGGTCTTGAGCGTCCCTGTGCCCTCGAGCGGCGTCGGCGTCTTGGGGATGTAGACGGGCACGGACGTCACCGAGATGCCAGACCGCGGCGGCGTCACCACGTTGTCGCGGATCTCGTACGTCTCGCCGCCAATGACCTACGAGATTTTTTGTAGCAAAGGTCAGGCGTCAGAGGGTCCGGTCGTACGACGGAGCCGCCGACACGAAAGTAGGCAGGCGGTGGCGTCTGGAGAAACTCGACCGTCGTAGCGCCGGACGCGAGCGACACGAGGCAGTTGGGCACCTGCAGATAGAGGCATGGGTCGAGGTGCAATCGAAGGCCAGTGGTACATACCTGAATGCACACGATGCTGCGCTTGGCCACAAACACGGGCACCTGCTCGACCTACACGGATACAGAATACGACAGGCGGGATCGGACCTTGTACCGATGGTCCGACGCGGTTGCGGTCCAGCGGCAGCTGCGTCGCGTGAAAGCGCCGTGCTGGGTTGCTAGAGACCTTGAACTGTTCGCCTTGAATCACCTGCAGTTGCAAATGGTTCTTATGTTGTGTCGATGGACATGGCGTCGTATTACGATGGTGTCGCCGCGGTTGAGCGTCGCCATGAGTGCGCTCGAGGTCTCGGCGTAGCTCGAGTCGTGCTTGAGCGAGACGACGCAGTCGGGAATTTCTTCGAGGCCGCAGAGCACTTCTTCCAAGACCGCGTTCGGAAACCCAAGCTGCAGCGTCTCGTTGGCCACGTGGACAACTAGGTATGTGCATGACGCGACGAGGAAGATGACCATCGTGCACCTCGATCGCCGACAGCCATCGGCTTGGCGACAGTCCCAATGGGCTCTTCGAAGATGCGCGCCCGCTCTTCGAACGCTTTCGCCGACTCGCCAGCCATGGTCGCGAGGTCGCTTGCCTTCTGGACACCGAGCCCCACCATACCCACAACGCTAGAAGAGTCATTGGTCAAGCCATCGTCGCCACAGTAGTAGTATTGTGCAGTAGTACCCTTTGCCGACGGTCTCGACGGCGCTAAGCACGCCGCCCATGGTTGTCGGGACGGACACCTTGGGCATGGCCATCGGCGTGTTGTGCTGCACCGTCGATATCGAGAGCGACTCGCCACAATTGATGCCCATGTGGTACCCACGTGGCGACTACAGACCGCCGCGATAAGGTCGATCGGATGCGCATCCTGTGTACCTTGAGCGAAATGACCGTGGCCGTGAACGCGTCGTGCTCGTCGGGGCTGATCATGTACGTCTCGCCGTTGGCCATCGTGATGAGGTCGCCGCGGTTCAAGACGCTGCGCATGTCGGCGGTCGTGCGAAGAAAGGCCTCGCCATGGCGGAGCTCCGCTTCGAGGGGTACCGTCGTGCCGCTCACCTTGCGCACGGTGGCATCCGCCTTGGCCTTGGCCTGACGGTAGTACTTGTCCCACTCGACGGTCCCGATCTGGTTGCCGAGCGTGCGCACGCCCCGCGCGAGGTAGAACGCGGCCTTCTTGGGCGCCGACTCGTCCGCCGATGTTGACGTCCTGTCTGCCATCGTCGACCGAATTGCGAGGATGTGCGACAGTTTCGAGCGATCTGAAAGGGCCGCATCCGATTGGCTAAAATTACAACACGAGACGTCAATGGCAAGTTCTGGTTCTCGCAAATCATCGAGTTGGCAGCAATTTCATGCGCTTCACAAGATATTTCGCTGTGCGAAACAACATCTTTTCGTATATGCATCTGTGCATTTGCCCCAAAAGTGCTCGACACCAGTGCACAATGGAGAGACACCTCGCTTTTGGATTCCTTGTGCATCGTTGTACCTGTAGAGAGGCTGAGCCAGCCAGCTGATCGCATGGCCTCGAGGCTGGTATGGCTCAACGCATGCTAACGTGGATCGATCGATGAGCAAGGGAATCATTCATTTCAATGTATGGTGTCTACGACGGCCTCGGCACTACCCACTATTGTATCGGCCTCTGCACCATCATCGGTCGTCACGACGTGGTGAGCTTGCGGTTAGGACGCTTGCTGGTGTACAAGCACATTGTTCACACAGCGGTGTTGGGTGTTGATATCCACAGTCGTTTTCTCCATGATTGCGCTTTTCAGACGTCACCACGTTGGCGAAATACTACCATGGACGCCAACGACGGTACAGAGAACGCCGAGTTGCGTGGGAGGTGGCGCCTCGTCTTGGCTTGTCCGAATGGCTCGCTGTCAGCGCTGCACTGGGACTCGATTTTTAAATCATTTAAATGGAGGTCACCGGTCGGCTCGCGGGGCGCCGATCCGCGGTCGCAGTCGCAGGCGCGACGATGCAACGACCTCGTTGACGCCGAGAACGGTGGGGGGTATGGGGCGGAAGAGGCGGGCCGGGCCGGGCATCGGATTGGCTATAATGGTTTGAACCCTTGCATGTGATTGGCGGATAAAACACTTCGTGTTGAGCGCAAATAGCGCCAATGAGGGGCGCGCGCGCGTTTGATTGGGTGAAATTGTGCGGGAAACTGGCCTGGCTGGCCGATACCAAAATTCAAACCCAGCGCTAGATGGACCAGGTGAGCGGCCCGAACGACGACGCGCTGCGCCGCCACAAGGAGTACTTCCTCCAGTACATCGAGTCGGACGAGTCGCTCCTGCCCGAGAAGATCCGCGCCCTCGCCGACGCCGACGGCCAAGGGCCCAAGCGCCTCCTCGTCGACTTGAACCTCCTGCGCGTCTACGATGCGGGCTTCACGGCCGGTGCGTCGACTTCGCCGAGGTCGCGCATCATCTCACGCCCGCGTAGGCAGCGACGAGGCCAACATCGTGTCGCGCCTCCTGCAGCAGCCGGCCGAGTACTTGCCCGCGCTCCAGGACGCGGTGCGCGAGGCCGTCCTCCACGCGCAGAGCTCGTACAACCCCAAGGCCGTCAACACGAACGATGTGTCCCAGATCCAAGTCGGGCTCGAAGGCGACTTTGGCGCCCACTTTGTCACACCGCGCGGCCTCGTCGCGACCTTTCTCTGCCAGTGCGTGTGCGTCCAAGGGATCGTGACCAAGGTCTCGGCCGTGCGGCCAAAAGTCGTCAAGTCGGTACGCCTACCGATCTTCTTGAGGTAGCGCCAACCAAGTGTCGCGTTAGGTGCACTACTGCAAGGAAACCAACGTCATGATCGCGCGCGAGTACCGCGACCATACGTCGCTCACGGGGATCCCGACGACGAGCGTGTACCCGACCAAGGACGAGAACGGCAACTTGCTCGAGACCGAGTTTGGTCTCTGCCAGTACAAGGATTACCAAGTCATTACGATCCAAGAGACCCCCGAGACGGCGCCGCTCGGGTACCCAATCCTCCTCGTCTGCGCGCGTGACGCAAACCGCATTTTAGTCAATTGCCGCGGTCCTCCGACGTCATTGTCGAGTCGGACCTTGTCGACAAGTGCAAGCCCGGCGACCGCGTCCGCGTCATCGGTGTCTTCCGCGCGATGGCGTCGGCCAACGTACGTCGTCCATCCCGTCGGCTCGCGTATGCCTCACGCCGCGACTAGGCGGCGTCGACATCAGGCGTCTTCCGCACCATGCTGCTCGCCAACAACATCCAGCTCATGGGCAAGGAGGTCAACGGAATCGTCATGACGACCGAAGATCTCATGAACGTGCGCGAGTTTGCTAAGCGCCCGGACGTCTTTGACATCCTCGCGCGGTCGATCGCGCCGTCCATTTACGGCCATGCCGAGATCAAGCAGGTGCCTGTCGCCCATTCCGTTCGCATCTCAGATCGTTGACGACAGGCGCTGCTGCTGCAACTCCTCGGCGGTGTTGAAAAGAACCTCGAGAACGGCACGCATTTGCGTGGTGACATCAACGTACGATACTTGTTGTCTCGCGACGTCCAACCATTGAATAGGTGCTCATGGTCGGTGATCCGTCGACGGCCAAGTCGCAGCTGCTGCGCTTCGTGCGGACGATCGCGCCCCTCGCCGTCAACACGACGGGCCGCGGGTCGTCCGGTGTCGGTCTCACGGCTGCCGTGACCATGGACCCGGAGACAAAAGAGAAGCGGCTCGAAGCCGGTGCCATGGTATCGCCTCCGAGTTCACCATTCCCATCATCATCTCGGTTGGATTAGGTTTTGGCGGACAGAGGCATTGTGTGCATTGATGAGTTTGACAAGATGAGGTGCGAGCTCCGGATGAGATACAGCTGTTGACAGTGGCGCGTAGCGAGGCTGATCGCGTCGCGATCCACGAAGTCATGGAGCAGCAGACGGTCACGATCGCCAAGGCCGGGATCCACGCGACGCTCAACGCGCGCTGCTCCGTGCTCGCAGCCGCCAACCCCGTGTACGGCCAGTACAACAAGAACAAGCGGCCGCAAGAAAACATTGGGTACCGGTCTCTTGCACCCCTCGACGCTGCTAATGCGAATTAGGTTGCCCGACTCGCTCCTCTCGCGTTTCGATCTGCTCTTCGTCGTCCTCGACAAGCTCGACCGCGGCGCCGACCGGTGCATCTCGGACCACGTGCTCCGCATGCACCGGTACGTCGTGCCGGGCCAAGAAGGCATCCCGCTCTCGTTCGAAGTGAGCTCGACGGACCACCAAACCAACGTCAACGCGTCGGACGACTCGGTCGCGGACTCGATCTTCCAGAAGTTCGACCCGCTCCTCCACGGCAACGTCTCGGCGACGACGCACCTCAAGGACAACGGGACCGGCGTCCTGACGCTCGACTTTTTGAAAAAGTTCATCTTTTACGCCAAGACGCGCTTCCAGCCGCTGCTCACGGACGCAGCGATCGATGTCATCTCCGAGGGGTACGCCGAGCTCCGGTCGCAGCAGACGGCCCGGACGCTCCCCGTCACGGCGCGTACCCTCGAGACGCTCATTCGTATCGCGAGCGCGCACGCGAAAGCCCGGCTGAGCAAGCAGATCGAGCTCGACGACGCCAAGCGCGCCATGGCCCTCATGAACTACGCGCTCTACAACGAAGCGTCGCACGAGAGCGTCCTGCCCAAGGAGACCAAGGACGAGTCGCCCGTCGACGACGACGATGACATCGACGTGGACGAGGCCGCCGACGTGGCCCAAGTCGTCGACGACGAAGCAGTGGAGGACAGCATGCCGTCGCGCAAGAAGCGCAAGGTCGAGGCGCCCGCGTACGTCAATATTGTGTGCTCGTGACTCGGATTGTGATGCTACTGGTGTGCGTAGGCCTGCCGAGGACGACGTCCCCGTCGAGATGGACCTCCTCGGCCGCGTCTCACTGCTGCTCAACGAGATGCGCAGCGAAGAAGGCGGCGACGAAGACATGATTGCGGTCAAGACGATTCTGGCCAACCTGAAAAAGGCCGGTGTGCGCACCAGCCGCGCCGCGGTCACGGCGGCGCTCACGACGCTCGAGCAAGAGAACAAGGTCATGTACCTGCGCGGCGACGACGCCGTCATGTTCGTATAAGCTGTCGATACATTGATATTTGCACATGTGTTTCTTTTGCATCATCTATGGCGTCTTGCGCAGGGAAGCGAGTTCGTCCTTGATGCTTTCGGCCGCGATCGTTGCGAGCTGCTTGCTAATGGCCTCGAGCAGCAGCTTCTACTCAACAGGCGTCCGCATCGACATGCGATATGGTGGGCGGGCGGTACCTTGATCTTGTCGTCAAAGCGCAGCGTGGCCTGGAAGACATGGGCGTTGCGGCTGCACGTCTCGTCGAGGAGTTTTGTGTAGAGAAGCGTGAGCACCTCGCATATCGAGACGACGAGCTCGCAATAGTCGAGCGGAAACGACTAGTACAAATGAGGATCACAGCGCAAAGAGAAAGACGCACTATGTGGGGCGTGAGGAGGCGTCGGTACGCGGGCTTCTGGTTCCACTTGCGCAGCGTCGGTCGGTGCGGCTCGCTGAGCTCCTTCTCGCGCCCCATCGCCTCGGCCGGGCGCTCGTAGAGCGGGCCTTTTGAGGCGACCACGAGTTTCTACAGCGCCATGATGGTCGTCTTCGGAATCGTCTTGCGCATGGCCCACCATGTTTTGCAGCGTCGACGGTAAGAAGTAAAAGTCGAGTTCTTCCATGAGCTGGCAGCCTTCCAGCGCAAGGTGCGTTGGGTTGGTCATCTCGAGCAGCTTCCCGAGGCTCAGGCCCATGTAGTAGAGCTGGTGGCACCTACATTCACGGTGTCGTCCTGCGCACATCTATCGCCGCCAAGTACCTGCGCTGGAGAGCTTCCGGCGTCAGCACGCTCTTGAGGTTGAGCTGCTCTTCGCGTACGAGGGCTACGTTGAGCTACGCAGTGTCAAGTGGAGGCGCCGCCCTTTCGTGTCGCTTCGTACAAAGTAGCTGCGCCGCGGGTCCATGTGCAGCGCCTTGAGGTACGCAAAGTCGTTGCGCCGGAGCGTGACGAGGTCCTCGAGCAGCTTCTGCCGCTGCTGCGTCGCGAGGCGCGTGAGCTCTTCGACGTCGCTGCTGCTGCTGCTGCCGGTCGGACTCCCAACAACGTCCATCGTCGTCTGTGAAACCAGCCAGCCGGATATATTGTCGTATCCGGCACGCGCGATCTTTTCACTACTATCCGATCCAGGTATCCGATCCTGCCGTCGGATCGATCCTTGTCGATGATCCTCCGGCAGGATACCCTATCCCGAGCATCACGAGTATACAAGTCGATATATTCGTCGAGCGCCTAGTCGTCGTGCATCGGAAATGCATGCACCTCGGGCCACCGCGGCTGCATGCGGCAGAACCAATAGATAAGGGTGAGGCCGCTCAGCGTCGAGATGCTGACGCCGACGCCAAAGTTCTTGGTGTACTGCAGCCAGCTCAGAAAGCCGATCGTGAGCAGGACGAGCACGATACCTAGGATCGCTTCGTGCAGCAGTCAGTGAGCGCGGTCGTACCGGTGCGGAAGAGCGTAAAGGCCATGTGCCAATCCTTCTCGCAGCGCAGAAGCCACCACTGCGTGAACGGTGACACGACGTCGAGGTGCTCGATTCTGACGGCGCGCAGCTGGTCCTCGAGGTCCTCGGTCGCGTACCTACATTGCATCGTATGTGCGCATGAGTGCGGCGGTAGACGACGCGTCTGCGTGGACCTCGCGACGGCAATCTGGATGAGCACAACGATGATCATGCACATGATCATACACAGGACGCCCAAGGCCGCGGACGAGCCCTGCAAGGCCACGACGATCGGGTTGCCGTTGTCTGGAATCTGCGACTCGACGTACGCGACGCGCGCAAAGTAGGCGACGACGATCGAGATCTGCGAGATGTGCAGCAGTTGCTCCGTGCGAATGTCGATGAGGCAGCGCTCGTTCGCGAGCTTCTCGAGCCGCCGGACGCGCTCAATGTCTTGGAGCCGCCACGCGTGGCGCCGCCGCACGTCGTCCTCGCGCCACTGCTGCCGCTGTCGCACGTACTCGACGTCGTCGAGTCGCCACATCTTGAAGTTTTGCACGTCGTACGAGCCCATGAGCGCACTCACGACCGAGTCGACCGTCGAGAGCCCCTGCGCCTTGCCACTGTACATACCTACTGCGGCGGCTAATGGTACCGGTACGACGAGCTCTGCAGGCTTGCTGGCCGTGCCAGGTACGCTCGATGTGTGTAATTGGACTCGAACCCTTGCGACAGAGGTTCCGTGGCTGAAAACACGCAACTTGACCCGCGACCCTCCAGCACACATCAAAGCTTGCACCATGCTCCATGGCGCATGGATGAAGACGACCAAGACGACAGACAACGCTTGCGTGTTTCTAGACCATTACGCTAGTGCGCTCGGCGTGGTGACGCGGCCGTGACCGTGATGTCAATGGGCCCGTGCACCTCGATCGCAGGCAGCTTCATGAGGTAGCGCCATCGGCTCAGAATGCGGAATTGCCAGATGAGAATACCAATGGCCGCGACGATCGAGATGCTAATCGACGTCGTCTGGTACAAGTTGTATTGGACCCACGAGACGACGCCGAGCTCAATGAGGAAGAGCGTGACGCCTACACATGCACAATAAGCTTCCGATAAGACACAGTAGGGACGAGGTAGTATACCAGTTCGAAAGAGGAGGTAGCCGAGTGCCCAGTCGGTCTCGCATTTCTTGAGCCACCAAATGTGGAACGGCGAGTCCATGTCAATCTCCTCGTCCTTGAGGATCCGAACGTCGTACTCGAGCTCATGGGCCGAGTAGCGTGTGACGGCGAGGAGTAGAATCGCGCACATGATGAGCGAAATGACCATGCAGCAGATCTATGTGCGTGCGTCAGAGCCTCGTCAGACGGAGTAGCGTCGTCTACCGTGAGGGCGGAGACGCAGCCATAGACCGCCAGCAGCGTCAAGTCAATGTCCGTGGGCACGTTGACGTTGATGATCGAGACGAGCGCAAAGCCGCCGAGGAGCGCGCCGAGCTCCGAGATGGCCGAGAGCTGTTCCGCGCGCGTATCTGCTTGGCGCCGTTCGTTCTCGAGCTTGGCCTAGCATCATCATCCTCATCGTCACCATGCATGTACATGTACATGCCGTCGTCGCGCACCTGGATGCGGAGGCGGCGAATGTCTTCGATGCGCCACTCGTTCTCGCGGCGAAGGTCGTCCTGGCGCCACTGCAGCTCCTGGCTGCGCTGGGTCATGTCTTCGTCGCGCCACGCCTTGGCGTTGCGCTGGTCGTAGGACCCGATGAGGTTCTCCATGATGGACTCCATGCTCTCGTCGCGTGCTCCTAGCCAGATGGAAACTACCTCGATGGATTCGGATACATGTAATAGAAAGCGCAGATTCAATGTTTGCTAGTGAAACCAAGATATGCATGTCGCTTTTTTATCCAGGCAGCTCGGTTGCTCACACGACCCGAGTTTTCCTTTTCGCCCAAGCAGCATGAACGCGGTCGTCGGCGCCATGATGGGGTCCTACGACCTGCAGAACGCGCAGCGCTGGCGCACCGAGGACATGGAGCACCGCAAGCAAGAGATCCAGTGGCGCGAAGACGACGTGAAGCGGCAGCATGCGTGGCGGCTCGAAGACATTGAGCGCGAGCGCCGCCTCCAGAAGCTCGAGAACGAGCGCCGGGTTACGGACGCGCGCAGCGAGCAGCTCTCGGCGGTCTCGAACCTCTCAGCACTCCTCGGCGGCTTTGCCATGGTGGCCAACGTCGAAATCAACTTGCCCGAGGACGTGGCGTGGAGCGTCATGTTCCTCTACGGCACCGTCAGTGCCAGCGTCATCTTGTGCATGCTCTGCTGCATGCTCATGTGCACGCTCCTCCTCCTCGCTATTACGCGGTATGCTCTCTTTGCATGCATTGCATCCTCCGTACGATATACTCCTGCGTGCTAGGTACGCGTCGCTGGATCTCGAAAACGACTTGCGGCTCCTCGACTTCGATCAGCTCGACGTCGAGTCGCCGTTCTACGTCTGGTGGCTCAAGCGCTGCGAGAAGGACTGGCAGCTTGCATATGGCTTCTTCCGCATCGGTATTTCCTGGTGCCCTCCATATAGATCGAAACATATCGTTATCTTGTAGGCATCTTTCTCTTCCTCTGGACGGTCGCGCTAGTGGGCTGGGTTCAATTTGAGCGTACGATCTACGCCGGCATTGGCATGTCGGTCATCTCGTTCCTCTCGTTTGTGTTTTGGCAAGTGCGGATTGAGAGCAAGTGGCGTTACCTCCTCGAGTCCCCGGATGGCGCGAGCGTTCCGCCGTCGTACCAACCCGTCTCGGACGAAGAGGCGCGCCTCCGGACGCGGTCGCTCACCGAGCTCTTTGAGCGCGTCTTTACCACACGCAACCATACCAGCAACACCAATACCGGTCGCACCGCTGACGTCGACGACCGGCGCACTACCCGATACGGCGCGTACGTCCCTGCATCATCTCCCTGCCGAGACCCTACGTCGGTCGCACGCTGACCTGCTGCTTGTCCGTCGCTCCGTAGGCTCGCGACCCCTCGGCCGTCCCACGACGCTGCTGCCAGCGAAGCCCGTCGGCGGGTGTAGCCAATCAACAAGTGACAACACAATATGCCATGCCCACGTGTTGTATGGATGTATGATGCTTGCACACATTGCCGGTTCCGTTGCCGACAAGGCGTCTACAGGTTCTTGGGCGCGAGCAGGTCAAAGTACAGCTCGACGCCATACTACATTCATGTAAGTGGTGAGAGGTGGCGACGACGACACATGCTGGTACCGTGTTGAGGAGCGTCTTGGTCGGCTTCTTGTTTTCGTCGAGCTTGGGCAGACGCTTCGCTTCCTTGCCGTGCTCAAAGAGGATCATGGTCGGGAGCTGGATCGTCGTTGTCGCGTTCGTGTCGATCGAAAACTCTCTGGCGAGGCTCGGGTGCTTGTCGACGTCGACGCGGCCAAACTTGAGCTCGTCGCTCGCGTGCCTACGATGTCGTCCATCGTATTGCTCTTCCTTTCGTAGAGAGAAGCGAATTACGTGAGCGAGAGCTGCGCGAACATGGCGTCTTGGTGCAAGCAGTCTTCGCACCAATCGGCGTAAAAGTACACGATCCACTTGGTCTTCTTGTCGGCGCGGAGGCGGCGCTCGAACGAGTCGGCGCTCAAGTCGACAATCTCATCTGGACCTTGGTACTTGGGTACGGCAACAGCACAAAGGCCACTAGACATATGCAGCGTCGCCATCCGTCTCCGCTTTCTGCACAAGGGCGTACCGAGCCACGCGACGAGGTAGTAGACAAAGAGCGTCGTGTCGAGCATGTAGAAGAGGCAGGCGACGCCGCCCTTGCCGTACAGAAAGGCCATCGAGATGATCGCATCGATCGTCGACTTGTTCGGGTAGTTGATGATGGTGAAGCCAATGAGGAAGACAAACATTTGCTGCTCCTAATACAAGTGGTGTGGATGCGCCGTTGTAGCTAGGACTGTCAACGTACCCGCGTCATGCCGAGGTAGTCCTCGACGTCGACAACGCTGTCGCTTTCGTAGCCCGCGTAGCGCGCGCCAAAGTAGCTGCCGATCAAGGCCGTGTTGACGAGAAAGTACGGGTGCAGGAAGCGCGTTACGCCCATCGTTCGTCTCGCTTGCAGTCAAATTGCCGTGTGCCGGTCATAAGACGCTACGTTTAACCTACCTCTCGCCGCCTTTTACCGCACGTTAAATACAAATACGCCCCACCACAGCGCGAAGCCTCGCTCTCGTAAGCATGACGATGGCCATGCAGGTACGATGAAAAAGAAGCGCGAGCAAGCCGTGGTCGATGGATACATGCAGCATCGCCGCTTCTATCATGGCGATGGTACCACCATGGCTCGCGACGCGTGAACGACCAACCTGGACATCGAAACGGGTTGAATAAACGCGTCAAACGCGCGTTATACTTGCAGCGCGCACGGAGCCGAGCGTCTGTGAACGTGAGTCGAATGCGACGGCGGTGAGGGGGCGCGTCGCTGACGCTGGTGGGGTTGGCCGGGGGTATGAAGGCGGCGGCGCGGCTTGCCATTTGTTGCACACCGATTGGCTAAAAAGATCCTCATTCTAGTGTTCGATTGGCCTTTTTGCGCGTTACGACGTCACTTGTCAATACTGCTATCCGCACGATGGCGATGGAGGCGGGCGCGATCCACCCGCTCGCGATCGCCGTCGGCGTCCTGCTCCTCGTGCTGCTCCTCGTCCTCGTCTCGGCGTCGTCGCACCAGCGCGAGAAGCTCCAGTATATGGCGAAGAAGGCCTTCCGGAAGAAGCGCTCTGAGCCGCAATCGACCGCGCATGAGAGCGCGTCCGTTGTCGGTGCGCTGCCGTCGTTCGCCAAGGCCGCTGCTGAGACGGGCAATGCGCGCATGCTCCAGCGCTGGGTCTCGTCCCATGGCGCCGACATCAATGCGCGCAGCAGCGAAAACCTCACCGCGCTGCACTACTCGGCGCGGGGCGGCCACACGGAATGCATGAGGTACGACGCTCGATCGCGATCTTGCTGTACCTATCGCGCTCTCTACTAGAATACTCTTGGAAGCCGGTGTCCACGTCAACGTCGAAGATGAGCGCCACGTGACGCCGTTGCACATGGCGGCCGTCGGCGGCTATGGCCTCGGCGTCAAGTTGCTCTTGGACTACAAGGCGGATCCGTTTGTTGAAGATGCCAACCACAGCACTGCTTTGACGGTCGCCGAGGCCGGAGGCAATGTGGGCTGCGCGCGCCTCCTGCAGCGCGCGATGGCCAAGGCCACGGCCGCCGATGGCACCGACGCATCCAACCTCACGCTGCGTGGCGGTGCCCTCGACTCGCAGGTCTAGCTTGTCACTTTTGTTACTCGAGTCCAAGCCTGCGCATTCTATTACCCACCTACGCGTACACTATGCAAGGCGCATGGATAGTCGTGATGCAATCTCATGTTATACAAATATATCATAGCTTAGGCCGCGGCGTCGGCGCGGCAGGGAAGACAAATGTACTGCTTGACGCTGGGGGACGTCCGCGCAATGCCGCACGGCCGGCAGAGCATCATGCGGCACGTGGCGCAGACCCGGCGCTTGCGGAAGAGGCCAAACTTTTTGCGGCACCCGTGGCAGCGCGCCTCCTTGGCCTCCGAGTCGCGCAGGCTCGTGACCGACGCCATCGCAGACGACACGTGCGATGCCGTCAGCTGCGCGTTGCTGCTCGCGTTGCTTTGGCTCAAGCGCGGCGTGTCCATGTCGCTTTCGTTCTCCGTGCTACTGCACGACACGTCCGAGTTGGCTTTGCGACGACGCAGCTATAGCATCATCAACGTCAACATCAACCTGCGGATAGACATGCATCGCACTACCTCTGTTGTCGGTGTGGGCGGCGAGGTCGATGGCAGCCGGCGAAGGTGGTGGCGCGCGGTGGGCGCGAGCCCGAGGTAGCTGCGCACGACGAGCAAGATAAGGTGGATGCCGAGAAGCAAGCACGCTATCCTGGCGGTCGTCGCGACCACGGTGTCGACGCGTATCCTGAGCGAGTGCACGGTCGCAGCTGCAAACTCGGACCAGTCCATGCATGATGCCGACGGCGCCGCGACCGCGTACACAAAGTCGGACGGCACTTGCCCCGGCGTCCGCACGTGCAGGCGATACGTGTACTCGCGGCTGTTGTCGATCTGGGTGTCGTTGAAGTAGAGCAGCGGCGATGCCGCCTCCTCGACCGAGAGCGCGGTCCACTTCCAATTCATCGCGCGGTCCGGCCGACGCTACACACACGCATGAGCATCGCATGCACCATGCATGCGTGCGTCCTACCTCAAGCGTGTAGCGGTGGTCGGCGTCAGGCAGCGGGACCCAGTCGAGCGTGATGCTCGCGCACGTGCGCGTCGCGCGTAGCTCGGGCGTGGCCACGTTGGACACTAGTAGACCCATGTTGAGATTGTCGCGCAGTCGGTAGCTGCGTACCTACGAGGTAGCCCTTGGCCGAATCGATCCAGGCGGCGAGGCCGCTTGTCGTCGCGTGTGCTGGCGCCAGCAGGAGCAGCGTGGTCGAGGTCACTAGCGCAGTCGTGCGTCGCCGAGGTGGCATTGATTTCAGAGTGGCGGCGACCGACCTCTGTCCACTTGAATAATAATTTCGCGCGGCGACTACGGTCTGTATCGATCGCGATGTAATTTTATTGCACACGGTGGTGCCTTTTTTTACCAATATATGTGCTTTTTTACCAGATGAAGAATGTTTTCTACAAACATTAAGATATATATGCAGATGGTATTTTATTTGGTGCTGCACCAGCAACGACAACAAGAAGCCGCGTCTTCTCTTACCCTTGACGTCACACACGCGGTAATAAGCCTGGGTCATCATCATCCCTCCTGTTGACATGCACGATGGGGGTATGGTAAGTATCGTCCGTGTGTGCACTCACTCACGTACACTCGGATCGCGCGACCAAATGGCTGTGCGCCTGTCGACTGAGACGTTTACCAAACTCTTCGGAGAAAGAGAACGCCATCCTACTTCCGGTGGTAGGACGGTCGCTTGCCACTGCGCCCAAGAGGGGAAGAAGGTGGGCAGCCGGCCTCGTCGTTCGACATCAACTTGGGCGAAACTGGCCTTTTTCGCGTGTCGTCGTCGCGTGCGTGCCACGTCAGTGAGATATGCGTTGGCGGTCATCCGAACTTGACACGAAAATGACTAGATTTTTCCGTATTCCACAATACATGGCGTGATGTTCATGATGCGCAACTCAACTTTGTACCGAAACGGCAATCTGCCAGATCTGAAAACCAGTTTGGTACTGACTGTCTGTATCCATACCATCCCTAAAATCGTTCAATTGACAACATCGCAGCGAGACACCATCGACAACCACGTCAAGTATAGTCGTATGAAAGAGTGCACGCCAGTGAGCTATGCCAGCCAGATCTCATAAACATATTCGCCTCGCTTGAGCCGGCGCTCTAGTCTAAAAAGACACAACCTGTCGTGGGTGGCAGGGCACCCGAGGTGCGCACACGCCTGAAGCGTCCAAGCGCATTACGGCAGCGACGCCGCACTGGATGTGCCCGGCGAGTTTGACGAATCAGCCGTGCATGACTCTATAGACTGCAGGTTTTTGGCCGTGCACTGACATGATAGTTATCACACACATGTGTCGCCGTACGATGTCCCTCATGACTCATGATGGTCGGCTCAGGGCCTGAGACGAAATGGCGCGAAAATTTGAACATGCGGCTCGTTTTGTTGAGCTTCAAACGGCACAGCATGCATCCTCTACCTTCAGCCGCCAATTGTGCCTGGTTGCGTCCTCTTCCTTCAACCGCCAATTGTGCCTGGTTGCTGTTGTTGGCACGAGGAGGTGCGGCCAAGAGCCTCGCTCTGTGCGACTCTCAGTGCGGTGCATTTTGTTCTGAAAGTAATCCTCGATGATATCACCCTTCGTGTCCACTGGTCCAAGTTGAAGGCCGTGCATAATACAAAGCGAATATTTATCGTACATACAAATAGTCTGTCTGGGTCAAATAATATTATGGCCGAGGCTGGGCCGGGCGGCGTCTATGTACTATTATAATTCAACGCCATCAAGAAAGTACATGAAATATTACAATCCCATTGCAGGTGGTTGTTTTTTAATTGTCGCCGGCGGTGTCTTTAAATCCTTCTTATTCTTCAAAGCGGGTCGCCGTTCGAATTTATGCAAGTTTCTCAAGGGACGCCGGCGAGCTACGGCACGATGAACCTCACGCCTGGCTCCTTGACGTCGACGCCGTCGGTGCGCATCAAGAAGACCGGCCGCATGCTCTCGCTGACCAACATGATCCGCCAGACGAGCCAGCGCAAGGTCTTCAACCCGTTCTTGTACCAGACGCCCAAGCTGACCAACTACGAGTGCGTCAAGATCTTGGTCATGTGCATCTTGCTCGTACCGCTCCTTCGCATCGCGCTCGTCATCGTGCTCGGCGTGCCGATCCTCGTGCTCGCCTTTCTCGGCACGATCGGCCACAGGCGCGTTGACGAGGACGGCCACGAGCGCCCGCTCGCCAAGTGGCGCCGCGCCCTCGTGTACCCGATCCGTGGCCTCCTCCGCCTTCTCCTCTTTGTGCTTGGCTTCTACTGGATTGACGTCAAGTACCCTGCTGCGAAGCGCGATATGGCCAAGACGCAGCTCATCATCTGCAACCACATTTCGTTCATTGATGGCATCTTCATGGCGGCCCATTGCTTCCCGAGGTACTACGCTTGTGTCCTATTCGCCCCGTGCTTATGCCCGCGACGATGCTAGTGTTGCGATCCGCAGCGACATGGCCGACATCCCGCTCGTCGGCAACGTCATCCGCGCGCTCGACCCCGTCTTGATTGAACGGTACCGTGTCCATGCAGCGCGTTGTCTCACATAGAAACGGCGCAGGAAGACGGCCGCGGGACGCAAGAAGGCGTTCGATGACATCCGCAACCACATGATCGACGAGAACTTCCCGCCGCTGCTCATCTTCCCGGAAGGCACGACGTCGAGCCAGGACTACTTGACCAAGTTCAAGCGTGGCGCGTTCGTCGCCGGCCTGCCCGTGCAGCCAGGTCTCGCATCCTCTCGCATCGTTTTGCTTATATTTCTTCTAGTCATCTTGCAGTACCCGTACAAGCACTTTGACATTAGCTGGCCGCCGTCCGTCTCGGCCGGTACGTCGATGCTATGGAACCGATACCGACGTGCCTGCTAGCGTACTTGCTCTTCCGCATGCTGTGCCAAGTGCACATGTCGATGCAAGTGACGTACCTCGAGCCGTATTCGCCGTCGCCCGAAGAGCAGGCGTCGCCCGATGTGTACGCGGAGAACGTCCGCCAGTACATGGCGCAGGCCATGGGCGCCAAATGCACCAACCATACGTTTGAGGACGTGCGGTTGCTCTGCCAGGTCGGCGAGTACGCGGAGAAGCACGTGGTCAACCACACGACGATGGGCGAGATCTACCACTTGACGCAAATGTCGGTCGAGGAAATTGAAGGCCTCGTGCGCCGGTTCGCGGCCACCGACAAGAACGGCGACGGCCAAATCAGCTTGGAGGAGCTCCAAGCCCTCTTTGACGAGGACCCGGACTTTATCAAGCGGCTCTTTGACTTGCTCGACCAAGACGACAATGGGTCGATTGACTTTCGGGAACTCTGCCTCGGCCTCTCGACGCTCAACGCGGAGCCCAACACGCCCGACCCGATGAACGTCGTGAACCTCACGCGCTTTGCCTTCAAGCTCTACGACTCGGATGGGAACGGTACGGACATCCATGGCAACGTGCATGCGAATGGACAACACATGTGCACGTAGGCAAGCTCTCGCGGATGGAGATCACGCACATGCTCAAGCTCACGCGATCGCTGTCGGGGCTGCCAGACAAGGCCGTCGATGACCTTGTGCAGTCCTTTGACACGGACGGCGACGGCCATATCTCGCTTGACGAGTTCCAGCGCATGGCCAAGGAAAACCCGGCTATCTTGGACGACGTGGTGGACCGCCTCTCGGCCTTGCAGACGCTAGACTCGGCCAGCGACCATGCGATGTCGCGCGACCCGGCCGACCACGTCTAGACCCGAACCTGTACGCGAGCTACGGCTAAGATGAGCGCGTTGGCGACATACATATATGCTGTTGCTCGTGATGTGCTGCTTTGGGTGCCTACTGTCTGCATGTAGTCTCGTACATGGTCCTCTCGGCAGCCTCACACCTGGCGTCGCATGCTAAAGGGTCTACCTCGCGGCGTCGGGTCAGCGTCTCTCCCGGGCCACGTTGCCAGGTCCGTAGCCGCTCCCGGTTGCATCTTCGAGATTCGTCTTCCTTCGAAAGATCGCAGTCGTTGCGTAAAACGCATCGGTAAAACTAGGTAAAACCAGGTCAAAGACCCCACAGTTGCATACATTAAAAATACCCAAATGTACACCAAACAACGAGATTTCGCCGGTTGGAACGACTTGAATACAAACAAGCATTCCGGATGATTGCTCACACACCATTGTGGCATGCTCTAGCCGCGCTCCTGGTTGTGAACACGAACGGAGATCAACACTAGCATCCCTTAGCACGTGCGTTAAGTGGCGTGGGATTAGTCGAGTCCGCACCGGGCGCTTTTACGCCGAACGTTCAGCGCGAGAACGTCGATGACCATCACTTGTCATCGCAATTTGGACCAATCGGCGACGGCGAATTTGTCGAAGAGTACGCCGACTTGCAACGAAGCCGGGCCCATTGACTCAAATTCTCTTGAAGCCGCCATGATGCTCTCGTCCCCGCGCTCCGTGAGCGACGTCTCGATCGTCGACGAAGAGGACTACGACGGGCTGTCGTCCGACTGCTTCTCCGAGACGGGCTCGGAGGGCCCGATCGGGCCGCTCGTGGACCTCACGCCGCTCGGCGCACCTTCGATGCACGAGCGCAAGGAAATCCTCAAGCAGTACGGCCGCGTCAACATTGCCCGCGAGCGCATGATTGCCGCGCACTTGATTGGCTCTGCGCAGCGCCAAATGGTGCCACCGTACTTGGCGTCCAAGCCGCCGCCGATCGGCCGCCGGACGCAGAACCGGTACTAATCGCAGTCACTGCGCCGAGAGGCACATCTCAACGCTATGAGGTAGGTACTTCAACGATCACCACTTTGGCAACCGCGCGGCGACGGCGTCGCTCGACGAGCTCATGGAGCACATGGCGATCTCGGTCGATTGGAAGTACGGCGTCGTCGCAATGTAGAGCGTCGCAGCAGGCTCATGCGGCGCGTAGGAGCAACTTTCAAAAGCTGGCGCAGCCCGAGAACGAGGCGATTGCGGATGCGTTCCGGTCCGTCAAGGAGCCGTCCCACGCGCGCTCCAATAGCAACCAAAACCAGACGCACCGCGCCCGCCGCCACGACGCGTGGCACGGTACATGTCTTCCATGACGCCATCGCGTCACGCGCCTGGAACGCATGTAGAGGCCGACGACATGTTTACGCGCATCGACCGCCGCGCGCGGTCGGTTCTCGCCGCGTCGTTCGACGCGATGCACATTTACATCCAAGCGATTGAGGACGTTATTGTACACTTTGTGAAGGTACAACTCCTGTTCGGATAGCTCTAAACTGTACACGCGCTGTGTAGTGGAACGAAGTCATGTCGACAATCGAGCTGGACCCGGTCCTCGCCAACATGCTCTCGGGCCCGATGCGTGTGCTGGAGACGACGCCGGTCGTGCGCGAGACGAAGGCTGGCGGCTCGCGGACGCGCCCCGCCAAGCACAAGGACTCGGTGCTCGTGCTGCCGCTGGTCGAGTCGTCGTACCACCGCTTGCTCATCCACGCCGTGTGCCAGTTTTACGGCCTCGACTCCAAGAGCCACTTTGACAAGACGACCAAATCCAAGATCATGCGGATTCGCCGGCCCACGCGCCGACAGCACCATGCGGGCATCGCCGTCTCGCTCTGCGCGTTCCTCCTCCACACGTTGTATGCGCCGATGGACGACGGCGAAGAGGTTGTCGTCGTTGAAGAAGACGCGAGCAACCAAGACGAGCCTCTCGACGACAACCAGAGCGACTGCAGCGACGATAGCTACTGCGTCGTGGCCGCCGCCGACGCGCTCGAGGCCGTCGCGCACGCATGAGTGAGGGGTCCATGTTCTGTATACTACATGTGCAGCGTGAGACGACGTAAGATTGAGCGCATGCATCCTGTGCTTCGTACACTCAAAAGTTGGCGACCACCATACGTAATTGATTGGTAGCAAGCGCATGCGTCACCATGTAATCTCCTCCACGCTTCGAGACTCGTCATTGAGGGACTATCAGCCACGAGGCGTCTCCAGGCCGCCAGACATAGTCTGCCACAGGCCTCCGAGCAACGCAGCTGCGAGTGCAGAATGACTCTGGATCGCCAGACCATACACAAGGCGGTGACACGACATGCGAGAGCACCGAAGCTAACAAACGCAACTACCCAGCGACAAGGCGGGTGCTTCCCGTCGGTGTTACCAAGAAGCTCAAAGGTTACCGGTATTATACTGGTACCACGGCCATGACCTTGGATACCAAGGGCCTTGCTCCTACGGGTACCTTAAAGCTCAATCCCCTACCCCTAAAGCGGCGTCTCCAATAACAACCGAGTTTTTCTCCAGGATATATTGTGAGTGATGGTAGCGCCGTGGCGTGGCGATAGCCCAGTACCCGTATACAATCGACTGGAAAGCTGCATCGGGCCAGTCGCGACCGGGGCTGGTTGGTGGGGCAAGGGAGGAGGTCGCCAGCGACCTTCATTCATGCCGGAAACACCGGCACTCACGCGCATCAACGCAGCTTGTAGCTACCCGGCACTCACTTTACCTTTTGCCTTGCAGCAGCAGCAGCATGAGCAGCTTTGCCGACGCCGCCAAGCAGCTCGCGTCGATGACGACGACGGCCAATGGCGCGCTCTCGCACGCATCGACCTCGAGTGCCCGCGTCGACTTGTTCTCGGGTGTGCTCCGGGGCACGGAAGAGGCGCGCATCCAGTCGCTTCTCGCCGCGTCCTACAAGGAAGACGCTCTGCACACGCTCAAGATTGTGGCCTACTTGCGCGACGTTCGCGGCGGCAAGGGCGAGCGCGAAGCCGGGCGCCGGGCGCTGCATTGGCTCGCTAAAAGCTACCCCGACGTGCTTTCGCACAACCTCGCGCACTACGTCAGTGTGTATGGCCGATTTGACGACCTTCTCGCCGTCATGGGCACGCCGTTGGAGACGACGGCGCTCGGTATTTGGGCCGACCAGCTCCGCAACGACCTCGACAACATGCGCAAGGACGAGAAGCAGCCCGTGAGTCTCTGCGCCAAGTGGGTGCCGTCCGAAAAGAAGGCAGCCGACAAGAAGACGCGCGTGCACGCCAAGCTCGCCAAGGTCATGGGGCTCTCGAGCGCCGACCTGCGCAAGACGTACCTCTCGCCGCTGCGGGCGCATTTGCAGCTCCTCGAGCGCCACATGTGTGCCAACGAATGGGACAAGATCGACTTGAGCGCCGTCCCGAGTGTCGCGATGCACATCCACGGCAAGCCCAACCACGCGTTCCAGCGCCATTTGCCCGAGACGTTTGCGACCTGGAAGGCCGGCTTGAAGACGGGCGAGACCAAGGTCAACGCGTCCGTGCTCTTCCCACACCAAGTCGTGTCGCAGTACTTTGGCCCGTACGACGCCATGGCCACCGATGTTGACCCGCTTCTCGAGGCACAGTGGACGGCGATGGTTGACCACGCCAAGGAGCTTGGCACGCTGAGCCGCACGGTTGTCATGTCGGACGTCTCGGGCTCCATGAACGGACTGCCCATGATGGTGTCGCTCGCGCTCGGCATCCTCGTCTCGTCGCTGGCCGCCGACGAGTACAAGGATCTCGTCATGACGTTCGACTCGACGCCAACCTTCTTCCACGTGCAAGGCGACTCGCTCTTGGCCAAGGTGCAGTGCCTCGCGGCGGCACCGTGGGGCGGGTCGACCAACTTTGTCGCGGCGCTCCGGCTCATCATTGCCCTTGGCGTCGACAAGCAGATTGCCCGCGAGAAGATGCCGCAAAAGCTCATTGTGATCTCTGACATGCAGTTTGACGAGGCCGACAACGCGTTCGAGACCAACTACGACGTGCTGAAATCGGAGTTTGCCGCCGCGGGCTACGACGTGCCGCAGGTCATCTTTTGGAACGTGAACGGCAGCAGCACGGACTTTCCGACGCTGAGCTCGGAAGCCAACGTGTCGCTCATCTCGGGCTACTCGCCGAGCGTCATGAAGGCGGCACTCGCAGGCACGAGCACGAGCCCGCTCCAGACGATGCTCACGGCGATTCTGGACGCGCGCTACGACTTGATTACGCTGCCGCCGTCTGATGATGACGACGACATGGAGATTGTCTAGTGTTTTATAAACAATGTTTCTATTTATACAAGGATTATCCGGATTCTGTGTCGGCGCGGCTTGTGTACACCATGCGCTCGAATTGTCATCTGCAACAGCTGTCAATATATGTCTCTGCATTTGCTTCGTAGTCCAAATTCGCAGCTGAAAAATGGATTGAGAAAAGGATTTGACGTGGTCGTGTGGAAGCCGGAGCGTCTCGAATACGAGACCTCCATGCGGCGCGAGTGCCAACGATCGAGCCGGAGCTACGCAGCGACGTGTGTTCCGGTCCGCGACTCGTTCGCTCCCGTGGGGTATCTCGACTTGGTCTTCATGAGGAACTCGAGATACCCCACTGGAGCGAACGAGTCGCGGACCGGAACACACGTCGCTGCGTAGCTCCGGATCGGTCGTTGGCACTCGCGCCGCATGGAGGTCTCGTATTCGAGACGCACCGGCTTCCACACAACCACGTCGCGGCGGGCGATGCTTTTGATCTCGGGATGCACCAGCTGCGATAGTACGACGACGCCGCTCATCGCCATCGCCGCTTGTCCTGGAGTTGTCATGTCTTCTTCTTCTTCTCGAGCGAAACCTGGTCGCTACTTGGTCGCTAAAGTCGACGTTGTGACCGTTTCCGCCTTCAAACGCCAGGCGAAGGGAGGCCGTACTCCCAAACACCGGCGTGTGTACTAAGAGGGGAATAGGGAACTAGATAGACCAACTGACTGCTGGAGCCCTGGGCACAGGCTCCTGTACAGTCCCATCCTAACGGTTTCTCGGTAGGACTATCTTACTGATAGATTGATACAAACGCATCGCCGTGTCTCGACCTAGTGGTTGTAGAGCTGTGCAGATACGAATATCCAGTGCTCAACCACTGTATGAGGCGTCTACTGCCACACTAGTGCAATTGTACGGTCTAGTGCAATAAGGATTTCTCGTATCGTACTACGGTACATGTAGCAAGTAATACAAGACACACGTCGACGATCGCTGGCCCCTCTAGCGCGTGTGCGTCTCATATCGCTGTTGCTGGAACACAACGACCGTGCTTCACTCGCTCCCCCTGGCCATCAAGACTGCGAAGCTCACATGCCTCTGTACTTCACGTCGCCCATGGCCACTCGTGCAGGCGTGTATTGGTTGTCGTCGGCGTCCCAAGGGTCAATAAAATGATCTATTGGCCCTTGGCGTACTCCTGTGGCGGACCGGTATACTAGTACGGTTGTAATATAGTAACAAATGGATTGGTTGTTGCTGCCGGGTTGTTGCGACATGATACTCCAATTTGGAGCCCCGTCAGCACTGCGCCGTCGGAGACATTTCCACATCGGCCACGCTTCACGATGCTGGCGACGTGGATGGATGCTAGCGGCCTCGTGCTACTCTCTGACGCGGGTCGCTCTATGAACTTGACCCGCCACGCCTACGCCATGCTCCTCGATGCGGCGCAAGCCAAGCTCGTCGACGATCACGACAAGGACCCTCGCGCCCATGCGGTCGCGCTGCTGGTCGCTGGCGTCATGGCCATCGTCGTCGGCTGCATGGCCATGCGCTGTCGGCGCGCTGTGCTCGCGTCCGTGGCGTACATCATCGTGCTCGGCGTCTTCTGCTTCGTCACGGGCAGCGATCCGTTCGCGCCTCTCGCCGTCCTTTTCGCCGTCAGTCTCGTCGCGGTCCTCGCACGCTCGGAAGCCCATTTGACGCATGCGCTGCTGCTTCCACTGGCTGCGGGCCTTCGCGTCTTCTCAACGTACTGCGTGGACGGTCTACATACAGGCGCGACGACACGCCTCGATTTCGTTGTCGACGCCACGGGCCTCGACGCGAGCGTTCTTCTCACTGCCTTGGCACTCAGCAGCGCCGGCATCTACTGCTACAGCGGTCGCTTACTCAAGCGCTCGTTTGTCTTTGCCTCTCTCGCGGTCGTGCTCGGCGCATGGCTCTCGGTCGTCTACGCACTCGGGCTGGCGTGCCTCCTCACGTGGTTGCAAAAGTTTGGCTGGGCATTGCTGGCGTTGGTATTTCTCGTTGAGTTTGCGTTCGCCGCCATGCCAACGACGCCCGTGGTCTTGCTGCTTCGCGACGTCGGCGGCCTCTACGTGCTCGCCGTTGCGGGGCGGCGACAGCTGGTCAAGCTACTGACCATCGGCCACGACGGTGTCATTTTGGGCGCCGTCGCGATCCCTTGCTATGGTCTCGTCAACGATATCGTCCGCGTGATGACTGGATACGAAATCCCAGGCATTCTCACGGGGGCTCTCCTCGGATTCGCCCTCATGCGCTTATCCAAGCAAGCTACGCAGGAGGCGGCGGGAAATTAAGATGAAACGCGTTATAAAATACGTTTATCATGTTGTCAATTATTGTACATTGACAGTGTGAGGCAGGTCTTTGCCGCTCTCGACATTGAGCCAAGGAAAACCACGCACTGAAATCGCAAGGAAGCGATGACGTGTTTGATGGCAACACGGACGAGGGAATGGTGATGGGCTAGATGACATGTTAAACCTCCTATCATTTAACCTTTTCAAGGAAAACGCGTCTTTTCCCACGGGCTGGTGTTTTTCCGCAACGCCAACCGTATTGAACGTGTTGGTACAGGAAGGCCTTATCCACCCCGCTTCGTGCCATGGCCAAGGTCGCCTTGGCGTCGATAATACAACGAAGCCGAACGACAACCCAGCAGCACAACCGAGCGCCAACATCTGTCCTTTCCATCCGGATAACGCACTCACAATCGGCAATGCCAGTTTGCCTTTCGACGATAATGGCGTCCTGGCTCGTCGACGCCAAGGGCCTCGCGTTCGTCTCGCACACCGAGAGGTCGGTCAACCGCACCTTCACAGCCTACGACACGTGGCTCAACGATACGCGCAAGGCGGTATTGGACCCGGTCGAGAAGCCGCTGCTAGGCTACCTCGCGACGCTCGCGCTCACGGCAGCCGCCGCCGTGCTTATCGGGCGCTACGCGTACCGCTACAAACGCACCTTTGTGTTTAGCGCCGTGTACCTTGTCATCCTCGGTGCGCTGCCCGTGTGTCTGCCCGGCCTCGTTGAAGACGACGCGCCGTTCGCCGTCGTGGCAGTCGGCCTCGCGCTGGCGGGCGCCGTCGCCTTGACGACCTCGATGCGTCTCTCGCTCATGGTTCTGTACGCGCCCTTGATGTACACGTTTTTCCGTTCGCTCATTGGCAAGTACATTGGATGGCTCTTGGCGTCCTCGTCGACGATGCTCGCCATGTTGCCCGTCGACCTCGATGCATGCGTCCCCCTCGGCGCCGTTGCGCTTCTCAGCGCGGGTGTCTACAGCTACGACGGCCGGTACAGCCTCGAGATCGAGCGCACCTTCCTCTTCGGGTGCCTTCTCGCTTCGGCGACCGCTGCGCCACTCACGGGTTCGTTCTCACTCTGGGCCCTGGCCCTGGCCTGCGCGATGGCGGTCGTCGGGACGTATCTGCGCCAGATTGGCTGGACCGTGCTCTGGTCCCTGCTGCTGTACCAGCTGCTGGAAATCGCCGTCCCGAGTGTCCCCGTGCTCTTGATCTGCCGGGACGTGGCCTGCTTTGGCTTGATCGTGCCGGTAATGCGCCTCGTCATCACGACCAACGACGGGATCCACGACCTTCTTAGCTACGTCATCACGTGCCTTGTGACGCCGGCGTGTGCTCGCTACGTCATGGACGTCCTTGTCGCGATGACTGGCTGGAAAGCGCTCGAGGCGCTGACGCTCTGGGTCGGGCTCGGCGCCTACTTTTACGTCATCATGCAGCCCGACTTTGCAGCTCCCAAGAGCCCCGAGAGTCGCGAGGACGACGACGATGCGAGTGACGCGCCCACCGCCGATAGCATCGTCTAGTACATGTAGTATGTTAAATTATTTCCGTGTCGTCGATTTAACAGTTGTGTGAAGGAAGCGCGTCGCCGGTGGGCCAGCATGACCAGATGGGCCGTCTGTCCAAGTGCCTCAGAAGGCACTCAGAGTACGATGGCAGTCGTGGCGCAGCTGGACGAGGGGCCATAGAGCGGCACTGCGACGAGCCAAGTGAAAAGCTACCCCACGCCTGAGAATCATCGTCGTTTTGCACCCATCGTCCCTCGGCCATGCGGGATGACGCCCGAGCGCCCAGCAAGGCTATCCTAGCGCAGGCGTCCCACCAAGTGTCTGCCATTCGTGCGCGACCCAAGATTTTGATTCGAGTTGTCAACAGCATTATCTATCATCTCCTCGATGCGTCACTGGAGTGTACATGGGTTTCATGGGTCCAACTTGAACCTCCGACGTCGCGCCATCTGGTTTGACCTTGACGATGCGCCTCCTCGTTATTCTTGCATTTGCACCATGGGCGTCGCTTCCAACCCGCTTCTCGACGACTGGTCGTCGCAGCCCTTCTCGCTCCCGCCCTTTGAGGCCATTGAGGCGAGCCACTTTGAACCCGCGCTCGCGGTTGCTCAAGACGCGTTTCTTGGTGAGCTAAAGGCCATCGTCGAGAGCCATGACGACGCCACGTTTACCAACACGGTCGTCGCGTACGATCGGGCGGGTCGCCTCTTTCACAACGTCCTCGCTGTCTTCCACAACCTCTCGGCGTCGTGCTCGACGCCCGAGCTGCAGGCCGTGCAGCGGCAGCTCGCAGGGCCTCTCGCGTCCTTCTTTTCTCAAATTACGACGTATCCCGGCCTCTTTGAGCGCATCGATGCGGTGTACCACGCCCGCGACGCCTTTGCCGGCGAAGACCTTCGCCTCATCGAGCGCATTCACTTGGACTTTGTCCGGTCCGGCGCTCGCTTTGACAAGGAAACGCAGGCTCGCTACACGGAGGTGCTCCAGGACCTCGCGACACTCACGACGACGTTCAACCAGAACCTCTTGACGGACGAGACGGACTTTACAATCGAGCTCTCGGAAGCCGAGATGGACGGCTGCACGCCCGATATCATTGCGTCCGCCAAGCAAAACGCCGCCGACCGTGGTTACGGCGATGACGTCTACGTGGTCACGGTCGCCCGGTCGATGGTCGAGCCGTTCTTGTCGAGTGCCACCAACAGCGCTGCCCGCGAGAAGGTCTTCCGCGCGTTTACGTCCCGCGGCGAGCTCTCGCCCGAGCGCGACAACAACCAAGTTGCAAAGCAGATCCTTAAGCTCCGCATCGAGCAAGCCAAGGCCCACGGCTACAAGACGTTTGCCGACTACCAGACGAGCGACACTATGGCCAAGACGCCGGAAGCCGTCAGCGAACTCCTCAACCGCGTCTGGGACCTCGCCAAGGTCGCGGCCAACCGCGAGCGCGAAGCCCTTGAAGAGTACGCGGCCTCGATTGGCGACAGCAGTGTCGTCGAGGCGTGGGACTGGCGCTACTACTCGGAGAAGGTTCGCCAGCTCCGGTACGATGTCGATGAAGCGACGCTCAAGCCGTACTTTAGCCTCGATCGCATGGTCGAAGCCGTCTTTGACGTGGCGTTCCACCTCTTTGGCCTGCGTTTTATCCTGCGTGAAGACATCAAGGCGTACCACCCGGACGTCAAGGTCTACGAGGTGCGCGAGACGACGGCCGATGACGACAACAAGCTTGTGGCGATCTTCCTGCACGACAACTATGCTCGCAAGGGGAAGCGCAGTGGAGCGTGGATGAGTGAGTTCCGCACGCAGAGCCGCAATGTCGACGACCAGGGCACGAACGTCATCCCGGTCATCATCAACAACAACAACTTTGTCAAGGGCGAGCCGACGCTCCTTAGCTTCCGCAACTGCGTCACGCTCTTCCACGAGTTTGGTCACGGCTGCCACGGCATGCTCTCGGACGTCAAGTACAACCGCCTCGCCGGCACCGCCGTGGCGCGCGACTTTGTCGAGCTGCCGTCCAAGCTCATGGAGCACTGGGTCTCGGAGCCCGAGGTACTTAAGAAGCACGCTCGCCACTACGAGACGGACGAGCCGATTCCCGATGATCTCCTCGACAAGATGATGGCAGCCGCGACCTTTGGCAAGGCTTTGCGACGGCCGAGGGCGCGGTGTGTGCGCTCATGGACCAGACGTTGCACCAGCTCGACGACGTCGAGAACCTCGACTTGGCCGCCTTCGAGACGACCGAGCTCGCCAACCTCGAGATGCCGCGCGGTATCGTCATGCGCCACCGGTTTCCGCAGTTTGCGCATTTGTTTAGCGGCGACATGTATGCGGCCGCCTACTACGTGTACCTCTGGGCCGAAGTCCTCGACTCGGACGCGTTCGAGGCTTTCCTCGACGCCGGCGACATCTTTGACAGCGCGACGGCCAAGCGCGTGCGTGAAAACATCTACTCGACGGGCAACTCGGTGCACCCGATGGACGCGTACCGGGCGTTCCGTGGCCGCCCGCCCGTGATCGAACCCATGCTCAAGAAGAAGGGGCTGCTTTGAAGCGGATTGATGCGTTGGCGCGTAATCAGGTGGCGTAGCGTGATTGGTCAAAAAGGTGTCCATTGTGTCCAATCTGAATCAGAAATGGTTGCCGTTGTGCCGGGCGGGGGGACATGTCTGCAAGCAGCCCGCTTTCTTTCGGGTTCCTCACCGCTCTCGTCGGCTGCTCGATTCATTTCTTAGTCTTCGTGCCGCTGGGTGCATGAGAGTCGAGCAAGGAAGGATCCATTGCCGCTTGTCTCGGTCACTCTGTCTTTAGCAAGGGGCTGCCAGTCGACGCTTGCATCCTTTATCCAGGCGTCTCTAGCATCCCCGACGCAAAGATAGGAACGTCCGTTGTCTGCTTGTGCTAGGAGTTATAGGTATCCAACCCTCAATGCGCTGGGCTACTCTGAACCGCCCTACGAGTACCGGTAGTAGGAAGTAATACAAGAACTGGTTTCTTGGGTGCTGGCTCGGATTGACAGCAAAAGATCGCTCCCGGCTTTGGTTTCCGGTATTGCCCCAGTTTGCTGCCTCGGCAGCGTCCCGTGCGCACATGCACATACCGGCAATGCTTCGTTTGCTTGAATCATCTCAAGACGTAGAGGCCAAAGCTGTTGGAGGTAGAGACCGTAAAGACCCGGGCTCCATAGCAAGGTGAGTCATCCAACCTAACCCTCCTGGCTCGGTCGTTCATTGCCGTAGCTTCTTATCCGGTAGTTTCGGCACGATATCGGTATTTGCAGCATATTATCCGGAAAGAAAGGGTGCAGCCAAGAGGATGGCGTGCGTCGCCCCGCCTGCGCCTGTCTAAGTGCCATTTGGTGTTGTCTTTGGTCCAGCGCGACGCCAGCCACCATCTTTCGCCGGGCTCTCTTCGCATCCAAGGCGACGTCGAGTCTCCTGCTGCATTCTTCAATTCGCCACTCGAGACACATCCGCAGCATGGCCACAGCCCAGAACAACCCGCTCCTCGCCGACTGGTCGTCGCAGCCGTTCGAGCTGCCGCCGTTCGAGCTCATTGAGGCGAGCCACTTCAAGCCCGCGATCGAGGCTGCGCAAGCCGCGCAGCTCGAGGAGCTCCGCCAGATCGCCGAGAACCCGGACGAGGCCACGTTCGAGAACACGATCGTCATGTTCGACCGCAGCGGCGCGCTCTACGCCAAGGTCCTTGGCGTCTTCTACAACCTCACGTCGTCGTGCTCGCCGCCCGAGCTCCAGGCCGTCGAGATGGAGCTCGCGGGTCCCCTCGCCGGCTACCAGTCCAAGGTCACGACGTTTCCCGGCCTCTTTGAGCGCATCGACGCGGTGTACCACGCCCGCGACGCCTTTGCCGGCGAAGACCTTCGCCTCATCGAGCGCATTCACTTGGACTTTGTCCGGTCCGGCGCTCGCTTTGACAAGGAAACGCAGGCTCGCTACAACGACATCATGCAGCAGCTGGCCGAGCTCACGACCAAGTTCAGCCAGAACGTCATGACCGACGAGTCGGAAGTCACAATCGAGCTCTCGGAGGCCGAGATGGACGGGTGTCCCGACGACATCATTGCGTCCGCCAAGCAAAACGCGGTCGACCGCAACGCTGCCGACGGCGTCTACATCGTCACGCTTAGCCGCTCGATGGTCGAGCCCTTCCTCACGTACGCCAAGGACCGAGCGGTGCGCGAGAAGGTCTTCCGCGCGTTCACGTCCCGCGGCGAGCTCTCGCCCGAGCGTGACAACAACACGATTGCGATCGAGATTCTCAAGCTCCGCATCGAGCAGGCGCAGGCCCACGGCTACAAGACGTTTGCCGACTACCAGACGAGCGACACGATGGCCAAGACGCCGGAAGCCGTCAGCGAACTCCTCAACCGCGTCTGGGCGCCGGCCAAGGTCGCGGCCAACCGCGAGCGCGAAGCCCTTGAAGAGTACGCGGCCTCGATCGGCGACGAAGCCCACGTCGAAGCGTGGGACTGGCGCTACTACTCGGAGAAGGTTCGCCAGCTCCGGTACGACATTGACGAGTCGATGGTCAAGCCGTACTTTAGCCTCGATCGCATGGTCGAAGCCGTCTTTGACGTGGCGTTCCACCTCTTTGGCCTGCGTTTTATCCTGCGTGAAGACATCAAGGCGTACCACCCGGACGTCAAGGTCTACGAGGTGCGCGAGACGACGGCCGATGACGACGACAAGCTTGTGGCGATCTTCCTGCACGACAACTTTTGCCGCCCGTTCAAGGCTGGCGGTGCGTGGATGAGTGAGTTCCGCACGCAGGGCCGCAACGTCGACGACCAGGGCACGAACGTCATCCCGGTCATCATCAACAACAACAACTTCGTCAAGGGCGCTGAGGGCGAACCGACGCTGCTCTCGTTTGACGACTGCATTACGCTCTTCCACGAGTTTGGTCATGGCTGCCACGGCATGCTCTCGGACGTCAAGTACAACCGTCTCGCCGGTACCGCCGTCCTCTCGGACTTTGTCGAGCTCCCGTCCCAGCTCATGGAGCACTGGGTCTCGGAGCCCGAGGTGCTTAAGAAGCACGCTCGCCACTACGAGACGGACGAGCCGATCCCGCAGAGCCTCCTCGACAAGCTCATTGCCGCTGCCAAGTTTGATCAGGGCTTTGGTACCGTCGAGTACATGGCGTGTGCGCTCATGGACCAGAAGCTCCACCAGCTCGACTCGGTGGACGGCCTCGACATGCTTGCGTTCGAGAAGGCGGAGCTCGCCAACCTCGAGATGCCGACGGGGATCGTCATGCGCCACCGCATCCCGCACTTTACGCACCTCTTTGCGAGCTCGGGCTACGCGGCGCTCTACTACGTGTACCTCTGGGCCGAAGTCCTCGACGCGGATGCGTTCGACGCGTTCTTGGAGTCGGGCGACGTCTTTGACAGCGCGACGGCCAAGCGTGTGCGTGAAAACATCTACTCGACGGGCAACTCGGTGCACCCGATGGACGCGTACCGGGCGTTCCGTGGCCGCGACCCGGTGATCGAACCCATGCTCAAGAAGAAGGGTCTTGTCTAAATATCCCAATACACCACCTTGCGTTATTAGTTCAGTGCGCTCGTCCCATGCCGGCGCTCTCGCGTTCGTTCGGTCGATGGTTCCTGCAACGGCCAACTCGGCGAGGTTTAGGGTCCATGAGCCGTTTCCTATCAGTTGGTGTCGTGACAGACAAGTTTCGAGGCGATTTGAGCAGTTAGTCGTGGCAGTTGTGCGCACCAAGCGGCACCGTTTCGGATGTACCCCACGTGGCGTGTCCCGCACCGGCAGCCAATTGGGCGGCGCAACCGCCGGCGCCATTTTGATGCACCGGCCGCGCGCCGTTGGCGACGGCCATGGGCCGTCCGAGCGCAGTGCCACATTTGCAAGGCAGCATGGACGACAATAGCTTTGTCAAGTCGTTTTTTGCTGAAGACATTGTGCGGAGGTCGTCGCCGCTCGAGCTATCGACGCCGACGGACTTGACCTTTCAGCCGGAGGACTCGGACTTCTTTGACGAGTATCCGCTCATTGATGACGACGACGTCAAGCATGAAGGCGAGAACCACGATCTTTTCGAGCCGCTGGACCCGCTCCTCTCGACGCCCGTGCTGCAGAAAGCCGACCTCGCGTTCTTCTCGTTTCCGTCGAGCCCCGCGTTTGAGGTGCGGGGGCCGCAGCCCGCCTACTATCATAACCACTACAACAGCATGATCCACACGCTTCCACCAAACTACCACGCCAGCAGCGTACCCCATCCTCCGCCTCCTGCGACCACGCACCATCGAAGTAGTAGTACAATGCAGCAGCCGGCCATCTACCCGAGCGCGATGATGCCGCCACTGTACAAGCCGCCGCCGCCCGTCTTGCCTCTCATGCGCTCGTACTCGCACCCGATGAAGCCTGCGCCCGTGCCGATCACAACGACCAAGATCCCCGTGCAGCGGTCGGCGACGGTGCCGACGACTGCGAGGGAGCTCGACGACGTCGCGAACTCGTTCAAATCCAAAGGCAAGCGCTGTACGACCGCAGGCTGTACGCGCCGCGCGCAGTCCAACAATCGCTGCAAAGCCCACGGTGGTAAGCTCCCTCCGATACCGATGCGACGACGGCAAGCCATTCTTGCGTAGGGGGCGCGCGGTGCCAGTTTCAGGGGTGCCCCAAGAGTTCGCAAGGCGGTGGCTACTGCCGGGCGCACGGCGGCGGCAAGAAGTGCGAGTTTGAAGGGTGCACGAAAGGCCAGCAGCGCAAGGGCTTTTGCTACGCCCACGGCGGCATCCGCAAGTGCAAGCACGCCCATTGCGACAAGAAGGACCGTGGAAACGGGTACTGCATCGCGCACGGTGGCGGCAAGCGCTGCTCGGTCGACGACTGCGTCAACGCAGTCCGGAAAGGCCGGTTTTGCCGCGTTCACATGCCCGACGACGGCTAAGTAGACCGCGTGTAAACGAGGGTACACACACATGTGGTTGCGTTTTGGCCACATCGTTGTTGGAATCGACTTATTGCGTCTTCTTGAGCGGGTCGTGGCGCGCAAAGACCGAGAGACACGCCGAGAGGAGCGTGCGGAGGACGACGGCGACGCCGCAGAGGACGGCGCCGTACACCGCGTACACATCCAAGAGGTACGTCTTGAGCAGCGGCTGCGTCTCGCGTGCGGGGATCCAGCCCGCCGTGCCGCGGGCCGCGACTGCTTCGATGGCATCGACGGCCGCATCGACACCGCCCCCCGTCGACAAGAGCCCACCGACGCGCTCGGCAGCATGTGCAAACCTAGTCACGGTAGCATGTAGCCCATTGCAATGGAGGCAGAATGTACCGGTCGTGCGAGAGGAGGAGGTCGCTGGCAAAGTGGAGGCTCGCGGCGGTCACCTTGTTCGCTTCGATCGCGACGCCGGCGCCTGCACGCACGACGCGGTCGGTAAACTCCGCCTAGTCGACGGAATAGGGATAGGGTAATAAAGCGCCGTCGTCAGTCGTACGTGTTCAGCAGAAAACGGGATCGAGAGGATCGGTGTGCCGGCCAGGAGCGCTGACTGGACCGCCGAGAAGCCACCCGACGTGACGAGGAACCGGACGTGGGTCGTATTGGGCACGTGAAGCGAGTGCGAGAGACTGAAAAACACATCCGAGGACGCGAGGAGGTCGCGCGTGACCTCGTCGTGCTGGAAGCTCTTGTGCTAACGACATCTTTTCCATCAGTTTTAGAAAAGAAAGACGGCACGATACCATGTCGGGCGACAGTTTCCAGATCGTCCGGCACTCGACATCGCGCAAGACCGTCATCTAGAAGCGAGGTCATGAGGCAACAGCAACAAGAAGAGGAACGTACAAGCAGCGACACCATGTCGGTGGAGAGAAGCACGTCGGCGCCAAAGTCCACCAGCACGACACACCCGTCGCGGTCGCGGCGCAGAAAGGCGTCGAGTTCGGGCGATGGCGATGGCGGCGACCCACTTGTGAGCGCACCCACCTACGCTCTGTCATGTGATCTGTCATTTCACGTCGGCCGTCGCGTACGAGGCGGTGCAGGGGCGACAACGGGCGCGGGTGTTCGAGGCCAAAGACCGTGTTGGTCAGAATGAGTCGCTCGCCGTAAATCGGCGTCGGCGACAGGGCAAACTCGGACCGGGCCTTGGCGAGCGAGGCGGCGACGGCGGCATTGCTGAGGCGAAACCGGAGTCGATGCAGCCCGTTGGCGCAGCGCTGCCACACCGTTTGCGTCTGCGTTCGAGATGAGAGAAGGGAGCGAGGTAGAGACGTACGGCCATGGGGTACCGAGAGAAAGGCGCAGGCACGTAAAAGGGCGGGTCGTCAATGTCGAGGAGTAGGAACGGGTTGTGGATGATGAAGGGAATCGAGAGGTTGTTGGCGACATCCATGGCTGCAAATGCGTACCGGTCCGCCACCTAAGGACATCCATATTGAGGCTTGTCACGATAGGTGGCAAGGCAGAGGGACGCACGACGATCGTGGGCGCGTCTTCGGTAAAGTCGGTGCGGAGCGGATGGAACATGGGCTTGTAGAACGACGCATAGTACTGCAATGACGCGAGGTAGCTCGAGTAGATGCCCACGTTGCCAACCTAGAGGCGCATGCGTCACGAGAGGCGCCGGCTGGTTGACGACGTACGGCGGACTTGAGCGTGAGGGCGTGCGGGATCGGCGATGGCATCGTGCCGAGCGAGATGAACTCGAGGCCGGGGAGGTCGCTGACCCAATTCCGACACATCTACACATCGGTATCGTCGGATCGCGACGTCCATTGATGCCTGCGTACCTCGGGTAATGCAAAGCTCACACGATGGCCTCGGCGAAGCAGCTCCTCGATGAGATGCTTCATGGGCAGCACCCGCTCGAGCACGGGAATGCTCACAAAGGACACGTAGCTCGGCGATGCAGCCGCCTCCGCCGTCGGCAAGCCCAGCCACGCGACGTGCTCGCTGAAAAGGTAGACCATCATGAAGGCGCAGAGCAGCAGGCAGAGCGGCAGCTTGAGGTGGCGCGAGAGGGCGGCAACGTGCTTGGTCGCGCAGGCCATGATGGCTCTGGCGGGCTCGGCGCCCATGCATGGCGTCGTCCAGGCCATCGCCGACCGCGGCTTGACGCGGACCTGCGTCACGCCGTTCCGGTAGAGTCGGCCTCCGCCCGCTCTACTCGCCGTCTCCATTGGGATTCTGGGATGCAGTTACGCGAGTATTTTAATTCGATCCTCAAATACACATACAAAATCTAGCGTCATCGCACGCATTTTTATTTGTCCCAAGGTTGTGGTGCATAATCCGTGGCGGCCAAACGCCTCCGACGGGCCGCGACGCGACGCCGCAGGACGCGCGCCATGCGGATGCAGCGCTCCAGGTAGGTAGACGTGGGCTACATGCGACTGGCGTGGTGGCGATGCCATGGCGGCCATTATCGCGATACGCCAGCGCCACGACGAAGAGACAGCGCGAACCGCGCCTCCTCCGCCGGCCATGGCCGAACTCTTGTTGGATAATGTCGCTGCTTAAAAGCTTAGGGGATTCGCACTGGCGAGACGACAAGAATGATGTCTTCATAAATAGGTGGCTACAGCGCCGAGTGGTGGCTTCGAAGCGACTCGGTCGGGCTCGGCACGACGTCGATGATGCTCTCGAGCTCGCTCTCTTGCGTGTTGAGGCGACGAAGGAAGCGGCGGAGCGTCTTTGTGCTCGACTGCGGCAGCGGTAGCTGCGGCGGCGGCGTCGTCGGCAGCGCACTCGTGCTTGTACCATCTTGCTTGAGCTGGAGCTGGCGCACGTGCGGCAAGAGGCGCTCGAGGCTCTCACGGAACCCAATCGACTCGTTAAAGTGGTGGACCGCGGTGCGCGAGAGGGAGTAGACGAGCGCATTGTCCAGCGCCTGGAGCGACAGCATGATCGGGATGATCGGCTTGCTGCGGTTCTCAGCAAACGCAAGCGTGTCCCGCAGCGTCTCACTACCCATCATCGACAGGTTGCAGCCTCCAGCCATAAATGGCACCTCGTCTTACCTCTTGGTCGAGAGGTGCGAGAGCACGACGATGACGGCAAGGCAGCGCGGATCCAAGATCGCGTCCTTCATGACCACTTGTCGCTGGGGGCACGGGCCGTCGATCTTGCAGTCGACGCCGGCGGTTAAGAGCTCGGCCTTGAGCGAACTCGCGAACGGCTTGTGGCAGTCGCCGTGCACGAGCAAGACGTATGAGGCGGCACTCCCGCCCGCGTGCTGCGAGAGCGCGCAGCTCGAGTGCCCGCTCGCATTCGACACGCGTAGGTCGTCCGTCTTGAGCTCGACGCGGCGCTCTTCAATCTCGTCGCGGAGACCGTCGAGAAGCAACGCGAGCTGCACCTCGTACCTACCTCCTTCGTTAGAGACGATGCGTTTGCACCATGAAAGCGATCGCTTCGTACTTGGCCTCGTTGTAGTCGAAGCGCACGGCGTTGCCGCTGCGAAACTTGGCGGTGATGGCCGGACGAAAGTCCACGAGCTGTCGCGTCCAGAGATACACTTCCAGCTCGTCGCCAATGACGACGCGGCCACAGGTGATGCCGACGACTAGAAGCCGAGGTGAGACACGCAAGAGACATGGCTGATGGACATATTGTTACCTGGAATGTTGTGCTGCTTGGCAAACGCGAGCTCCTTCATGCACCACTGCGAGGCGGGATAGTCCTCGCTGAGGACGGCGAGGACGACCGAGGCGCCGAGGATACCTCTGGCAATCTCTTCGCGCCACTCGGAGCCGCCGCTGATCCCCGTCGGGTTCATCTGGTCGATCCACGTCGTGATAAACTGCGCTTCGAGCGAGCTGCGAATTTTGTTGGCAAAGCTCGCGTGCGAGTGGCAGTAGCTGATCATGACGTCGCGCTGGCCCGCGGCTATTCAAGTTGATACCTTGATACTGTTCGTCCACGGATAGCGCATACCTTTTTTGATCTCGTATTGGATCGCAGACGACGACGCGCAGTCGAGCGCGCGGACGCCGGCGTTGTCGGTCGCGATCACATCGAGCCCCATCTGCACGAGGATGCGCGCGGTCTTGACGTTGCCGCGCTTGAGCGCCAAGTGCAGCGCGGTCTCGCCCTAGGATCGAATGCTAGTATCAAACTATCAAGACGCAAACGAGACGTACGGTTGTGGTCGTCTTGGCGTGGATCTTGGCGCCGTAAGAACGCAAGAGGTACAAGATCCGACCGCGGGGCGTGGTTTCCAGATGCTGCTGCCGAGGCGAGCCCTCGAACGCCCTGTCCCGGGGCTGGTTCTTGACCGTCTCGTAATGGCCGAGGAGATGAATGAGCGACCGGCCGTAAATGTCCACCTACACGTATGTATCCATGGATCGATGCGTGGGTCATAGGGTGCGTCACTACCATGTTCGGGTCGGCTTCGGCGAGCAAGAGAGCCTCGACCACGTCGTAGTGGTTGTAGATGGCAGCCCACGCGAGGGGCGTCATGCCCAGCGTGTCGCTCGGGTCTTCCTTGCAGTGTGCCAGAAGCAACTTGACGACGCGGAGCTGGCCACGCATCGCCGCCTGCGCCAGTCCATAAGATCTTGTATTTTTGGACGAGGATTCCGTACCCAATGCAGCGGCGTGCGGTGAAAGCGCCCGCACGAATTCTCGCCGAGGATGTCAGGGTCGACGCCCGCGTCCAGAAAATGACCGACCGTGCGCCAGTCGCCGTTGGCCGCCGCGAGGTGCATTGGCGTCAAAGCAATGTCTCCACCCCACTCGACGAGCGCGTTGGCGAGGCTAAAGTGCCCGTTGAGCACGATGACCTCGTACGCCGTGAGGTAAAACCTATGGCATACGTCGTGCTTCCATCAACTTGACGACTTTTTTGCAAGAAAAGGTGGCAGCGTACCCGTTTCCAGGAATGTGCAGATGGTTGGCGCCCGCCCGCATGAGCGCGCGAAGGCAGTTGGGGCACTCGGCGTAGTAGAGCGGCGGCGTCTTGTACTTGCGCTAGTACACGCTAGGCATGAGACATGCACGTGTATAGAGATAGCATCATACTTGGTTGGAGACAGCCACGAGGTTCGGGTCGGCGCCGAACTTGACAAGCGTCTCGACAATTGCCGCATCGGCGTGGATGAGGGCCACGTGCAATGGCGCCAGCAGCACCTACGCGCATACTTTTGTTCAGTCAACGAGTCGTTTTGGGGTGTAAGGGTATAATTACCTGCGACCACGGCTGGCTGGGCCCGTACCGCGCATTGGTCGATGTCGAACGGGCAAAGTTGGTACTCCGAAGGAAGATGAGCACGTTGAAGATCTTGGCGTAAATGTGCGAGAGGCGAAAGCTCATGGTCTGGATCTTCTCGAGCGCGTTCGGGTCAAAGCCGCGCTCCAGAAGGAGCTGGACGACGGGCAGCCGGCCGTTGACGACCGCCACGTGTAGCGGGTTGCGCACCGACTTGGCCACTTGACCAAAGCACCGCAGGCTGTTCGAGTACCTATGTATCAACAAATATCAAGAACCATATCGACGACAAATGGTTGATCCCACCACTTGATGTGGAAGCACGGGCCGTCGAGGGCGACAGCTTCGTCGAGGAGCAAGAGGAGGTCTGGCATGTGCCCTGTCTTGGCGGCTTCGTACAGGCCTTCCTTGACCTACCATGTTGGCGTCAATGCTACGCACGATCGGTAAGAGCGTCGTACGCGCAGAATGGCTTTGGCGTGGGCGCCGTAGTTGATCCAGTCAGGGTTGGAAAAGGTGAAGAGGTGGGAGCTAGGAATGATGTTGCGCTGTCCGAGCGCCACGTCCCGCATGCGATTGAAGAGCGTGATCTGGTACCAGCACGCGACGTAGACGTACAAGTCGAGGAAGGCGAGAAGGAGCGACCAGATGAGCCATGGCCACGGCGGCGGAATGTCCGTCGGGTCGTCGCGCACATGGAAGCAGCCCACGTACGCAGAATGTTCAATGCCTTGAGAGGCGTGCAGGACGATCTGGACGACCAGATACGGAATCTCGGCCATGACGAGAAGCTCGCAAAACGTGAGCAGCCACGTCTTCTTACTCTCGCGCGTGTACAGTTGGTACCTGCGTGCATCGATAAGTTGTCGCCGCGAGATGCAGCTACCAGCTACCTCGAGTTGTGGATCGCGGGGAGACAGAGTAGGATGTTGGCCAAGCCCGTGTACACGGTGAGCGTGATGCCATCCAAGAACGCGTCGCAGGTCGCGCCATGGTCGCCGTACTTCTTGCGCTTCATTTCCGGGCCGACGATGAGGATGGACGCGAGGATGAAGACGTGGACGATCGTGATGCGCACGGTCCACGAGATCATGCGCGAGCTCACAAACGTGTTGCCGTACTCGGCGAACTGCGGGATGCACGTCGCGACGCGCGACACCATGGGCAGCACCAGCTGCGGCAGCGTGCGCTCGCACGCCTTCATGTGCTCCTGCAGCGTCCGATCAAAGTGGTGGTCGTCTTCGGTGCGGGGCGTGTTGGACCAGCCGTCCTGCTGCGGCGACGGCAGCATTGGCATGCTCCCGCGCCGCTTCTCGCCGCCATGCTGCGGCGTCGAGACCGAGATGAAGGACGTGTGGCAGCCGGTTGGCAGCATGATGTGGGTCGTGAGCGGCGACGGCAGGTCCTCCTCTGGTTGCGTATCATCCTGGGAGCTCATCCGCCGGGCCAAGGTCGGGCTGGCATGCGTCATGCTTCGACGGGACTGCGGCTTCAAGACCCAGCTGCCTGCCAGCTCGGGAAAAAAATCTGGACCTTCGCTACAGTGTACGAGACATCTTTGAATTCGTGAATTTAATAGGCCGTGGCTGTGTTACATGGGCGTGTCCCAGATACATTTTTCCATCGTTTTATTCGCGCGCTCATTGGCTGCTCTGGAGTCATTTTCAGAACGTGTGATGTCGATTGGTGCATTTTCAGCGAATGGCATGGCGTTGATGGGCGCTGAGTCACAGCCGCCGTCAACTTGGTCCTCCAGCGCCGCGCCTTGCGACTAGCTGTAACTAGAACACTGGCAGCGATAGCTCCATGGTGCCCATGTGCCTGTACCAGCATGACTGCGAAGAAGACCATTCTGGAGGAAAGATGATAGGCTGCGTGCATGGACGAGGATGTGCCGTGTGGGTGGCGGGAACAGGTGCCCGAATTTCTAGAAGGCGTCATCGCAACCGGTGCAGACAGGCGGGGCTGTGTAGGAAGCTACTCCGTCGTGCCACCACGCGTCGCCGCCAACAGTACTATACTTTGCAAAGGCCATACAAAAGAGCAATCTCGGCAGCGTACTCGTCGATGCATGGTGTCTCGAGGATCATCGGCAGATGGTTGAAGCGCGGGTCGTTCATGAGCATCTCAAAGGCGCCGAGCCCAATGCAGCCCTTCCCAATGGCTTCGTGGCGGTCGGCGTGGCAGCCAAGAATGCCTTTCGAGTCGTTGAGATGCAGCGCTTTAAGGTACTGCAAGCCGACCGTCTCGTCAAACGTCGTCATCGTCGCCTCGTACCTACATGAATTCCAAGGGTTAGGAAACCAGGAGCTGGCTGTTGATGATGGGATGTACGCGTCTTTGATGTCCCAACCGGCGGCGAAGGCGTGGCAGGTGTCCAAGCACACGCCAATGCGGTCGGCTTGGTGCTCCGGAATGCGATCGATGATGCCGCGCAGCTCTGAAAAGTGGCCACCGATCGTCGAGCTACATCATACCGGTAGTCTCGTATAAGAAATGATAGCCATCGGAGACGCACCCTTGGCAGCTCATGTTTTCGATCAAGATGGTCACGCCTGACGTCTGCTGCAAGACGCCCGCAATGCTCTCGGCGATGCGATCCAAGCACGCGTCGATCGAGATGGCGCCGCGCGTCGAGCCCGGATGAAAGTTGTAGAGCGAAAGACCCAGCTGCTCACAGCGCGAGACTTCATCAAGGAGCCCTACGCCCACATGCATGCGCCATCAAATGCTTGACGCCTGCGCAGAAAACGCACCAGCGCGGCTCTTTGCGAGCGTCGCGTCGTCGGGCGACCCGCAGTTGAGGAGGTAGCTTCCGTGCGGCACGACGTCGCCCGGGCCGTAGCCAAAGTCGCGCATCGCTTGTTTAAACGCGTCAATCGTATGCTGCTCCAGTGGTTTGCACGCCCAAGTGCGTTGGGACCGCGTGAAGAGAGCGAATGCCCGGGCGCCGATCTTGGCCGCGTTGAAGACCGCGTTCTCCAAGCCATTGGCGCCCGACACGTGCGCTCCCACAAACTTATTGGTGTGCATCGTTGCATCTCGACGGGCCTGAAGGGTGGCGAGGCTCTGCGCGCGGTCGCTGGCAAGCGCTGCATCCTTGGCCAGGCGCTTGGCTGTAGCCCGGGACTCTTTGGGCGAGGTAGCCTTCGCACGCACTGAGCTCGTCGCCGTCTTTGTCTTCTTAAGCAATGATCCATCCGCCATCTTGACGCTTGGCCCCATGGGCGGCGCCTCGCGGGCCAGGATGCGCAAGCTGCGACGCATTCTCGATATTGCAGTTGCACGCATTCTAAACGAGTATTACGCATCACGTTAAACATGAGTTTAATAGAATGGCATCGGTACGCTTTCCTCTCAATGCGTGCACGTCGATCGGACATTTTGCCGCGTTCGATGCAAGCCTTGTACGTTGATGCACACAGCCAAAGCATCTCACGTGGCAGCGCGCTGCCGACCACGTTGTCTTGTCAACTGCCCACGATTTGCGCGCGTCGCCTCGCGGATGTTTAAACCACGTTGAACGTCCCGAACCGTTTCGAATCCAACGTGGATACTTTGATACGATTGGCTAAAATCCATGGGATTTCTCGCGTCAAACGGCCATGGCGGGTGCGGATTGGCTAAAAGTCCCTCGATTTGCACCAATGTACGGTAACTGCGGTTCGGGTTGGGGGACGTGTCGCCGCCAGTGGTTGGCGTCGAGGCCGGGCTTTTAGTCGGTAATAATATTTGGTCCTGCGATGCAACGCTTCGTGCAGACGCTCTCCGCGCGGTCCTTCGCGACGAAGGCGAGCAAGCTCCCGAAGCGCCTGGTCAAGCCGGCCAACGCCAAGGAGCCGCACCGCGCGCGCGGTCCGTCCAAGTACGTGAACAAGGAGCTGCCGATCGTGGACGACGGCAAGACGTACCGCCTTGTGTGCGCGCCGGTCCTGGAGCGCCTGCCCGTGATCCTGCCCGACTTGGAGCAATGGGAAGAAGACTACATGCGCATGAAGCACAAGATTGAGCTCAAGACGGCGCAGGTATTATTGCGCGCAACATCATGGCCACGATGGGCTAAAGCGATGCGATCTATTGCGTAGCGCTTGCCCAAGGACTTTTGGTTTGCCGAGCCGGGTACCGTCGAGGTCGAGCCCGAGGAGGCGCCGTTCCTTGAAGAGTGGAACGAAGACGAGCTCATTGGCGACGGCTTCCAGATTGCCAAGCGCGAGACGGAGGACGACGCGGCGAACAACCGCCACTCGCTCAACCGCGCCTTGAAGCAGCGCGTGTTTCTGATCGTGCAGGACAAGACCTCTGGCAAGTGGTTTTTCCCCACGACGGAGAAGGACGACGCCGAGACGATGAAGGACGCTGCGTTCCGCGAGCTCTCGGCCGTTGTCGGCGCCTCGTTGGAAGCGTACCCGGTCGGCAACGCGCCGATGGGCTACCTCAAGGTCATGCACGAAGACGAGCCGACCTTTGACGGCAAGGTGCATGGCACCAAGGTCTTTTTCTACAAGTCGCAGCTCGCGGGCGGCGACGTCGAGCTCAACACAGAAAAGGCCGGCGACTACCTGTGGGTCACACAGGCCGAGCTGGCAGAGTATTTGGACGCCGACGTTGCGGACTACGTCACCAAGATGGTGCCCCCGTAAGCCGTAGACTAGTTCAAAAGTTGCCAGCAAGACCCCGACACCTTTGTTAATAGAACCCTTAGATTTTGACTGCAGTGACGCGAGCACTGCGTTCGAACCTTCACTCGCATGGCGACATCACAGCAGCCGCCAGTACCGGTACCGGAATCGGCGCCAGAAATGGCGGCGCGACCGACGCCTTTCGACCTTCGAGCACGTCCTAGGTCATCGCCAAGTCCAATGACCTGGGGGCGGCTGTCATCTACTCCTCGACTGATTGCCCTCACGTGATGCATGGCTAGAGTCTGGAGACAGGAGCTGGTCTTGTCGGGCGGCCAGCATGGGCCGCCTGGTTGGTGTGGTTGCACCTGGGAGATTCCTCGGTTGTTTCACGTTGATGCTGGACAGTGCAGTTGATTGGCCAGCTAAGATTTTAACGTTAGCTGGCAAATCAAACCGAGAATTTTGGCACCAATCGGAGACGGCGAATCTTGCGATGGACGTGCATTTGCAGTTTCGACGACCGACAACGAAGACGACATGACTGGCGTGGACTTGATCGTCGTGGGCCGACACGTGGTCCCGGTGGTGCCCGAAGGCGCGATCCTCGAGAACCACGCGCTCGTCATCACGAGCGGCGTCATCCAGGACATCCTTCCGGCCGACGACGCGCTGGCCAAGTACACGGCGAAGGAGGTCGTGCGCCTCGACGAGCACATTTTGATGCCTGGCATGGTCAACGCGCACACGCACGCGTCCATGACGCTTCTCCGCGGCCTCGTACGTCTGCCACGTCATGGCGATCTGATCTCATCTCGTGTACTCTTGGATAGGCCGACGACAAGCCGCTCTGCAACTGGTTGATGGAAGACATTTTTCCCACCGAGGGCAAGTTTGTCAGCGACGAGTTCGTCCGCGACGGGTAGCACCATGCAATGCACCGCATATCATCGAGTCTCATGCGATGCAGGACGCTCCACTCGGCCGCCGAGATGCTCCGGTCGGGCACGACGTGCGCCAACGAAATGTACTTCTTCCCGGATGCGGCCATTGAGACGTTCGAGGCCGTCGGCATGCGTGCGCTCGTGGGGCAGATCGCGGTGGAATTTCCGACCGCATATGGCTCGGGCCCGGACGACTACTTTACCAAGGCCCGTGCCATGTTTGCCAAGCACAAGGACTCGAAGCTGGTACGGCCACTAAAAATGATGCTGCAAAAGGCTCACAAGTCTTTGTTGCTATGTGTAGGTCAAGCTCAGCGTTTGCCCGCACGCGCCGTACACGGTCTCGGACGCGACGTTCGCCAAGGTCAAGGCCATCTCGGACGAGTTCAACGTGCGCGTGCACCTCCACTTGCACGAGACGGAGGGCGAGTGCTGCGACAGCGAGACCAAGACGCCGTCGATGCTGTGCCACCAGAGCCCTGAAAAGTGCCGTCCCCTTCAGGTAGACATATTATCCATCGCCACGCCGAGAAGTCTCAATGGCGCGGTCATGTAGAACATGCAGCGCCTCGGCATTCTGAACGAGAAGCTCATTGCGGCGCACATGACGCAGCTCACGGACGCCGAGATCGACCAGGTGGCCGCCGCGGGCACGAGCGTCGCCCACTGCCCGTCGTCCAACCTCAAGCTCGCGTCGGGCATCTGCCGCGTCTCGGACCTCCTTGCCAAGGGCGTCAACGTCGCGATTGGCACGGACGGCGCGGCGAGCAACAACACGCTCAACATGTTTGCCGAGATGAAGCTCGCGGCGATCCTCGCCAAGGCCGAGTCTAAGGAGTGCACGAGGTACACACCATGATGCCAGTCGAATGATTGCGAAGACGACGTGGGCTCTAGCGTGCCGGCGGCGACGGCGCTGCGCATGGCGACGCTCAACGGCGCCAAGGCGGTCGGCATGGACCACATCATCGGGTCCCTCGAAGTCGGCAAGGTAACCTCGTTGGCGTCGACGTGGACATTCCATGTTCATGATGATGGGAATCTTCTAGCATGCTGATATCGTTGCGGTCGCCGCTGACTCGATCGAGATGCTTCCGATGTACAACGCGGTTAGCCACCTCGTCTACGTCGCGGGCCGGAGCAGTACGTTGACGATGCAAGACGATGGGAGGGATGACGCTAATGGCGTTGTCTGTAGCGTCTCGGATGTCTGGGTCGCGGGCCAGCGCCTTCTGAAGGACCGCGCGCTTACGACGATCGACGAGTCGGTCGTCAAGAGCCACTGCAAGAAGTGGTACAGCGCCATTAGCTCGCACCACGCCGAAATGCAGCAAACCAAGTAACTGGAGGTGGAAAACGCCGTTGAATACAACGATCCATATTGTGTCTCGCGCGTTGGTATGGTAGGATCACGCAGCTGAATGTGGATGGCTTGTGGGCCCCTCCGCTGACGAGAACAGGCATGCCACGTCGCTTTGCGTACGATGATATCAGAGCAGCAGCAATGGCACGGCGACCTTGTCCACTGCCAAGCATGCGTTCACCATGCGTCAAGGGAGTACTAAAGTTAGTAGTCCCCTTGCCATGCGTGGTGGTTCACAACTGCGCGCTGCTGGCTTGGGGCCGGCCAATCCGCGATCGACGCCAGGCGTGCACGCTTTTCATTGGACACGAGGGTATCTTCCACAGGCGCCTGGCGACGCATTTCGTTGCGCGCGTCCTAACACCACGATGTTGCCAACTACGCAATGTGCATACCGCGGCCAGAGAGCTTTCTGAGAGCATTGCTAGTATGTGCGTTTGTTTTTACAAAATCATCAAAAATCAAAAAACTCTACAGGCCGGATTGTTGGCGCCGGCGCATCGGGGGCCGAACCCTGTACCTCCGTAATCCTGTAGGTGTGCGCTTTACAGCTAAGCCATTGTACGCTGGCCTGCTTTTACACGTTTCCGAAGCTATCTATTCATGTGGACAGTTTGGTTTCTGCACGCTGTCGATGTGGTTTCTGCACGCTGTCTCTGTGGTTTCTGCGCGTGTGTGATATTCGTCGCGTGGCAAATACGTGTGGTTTTGCCACGTCATAAGCTGCAAACAAACAAGCGGCGGCTGGATTTCACACCCCTTGCGACGTGAGAAATATTTTAAAACATGTAGATTCTGATTGCACTTGTGGTTTGTATGCCTGATGTGGATCTCTATTCTATTTTGCGAGGCCAGCGCCAGATTCGATGCCGCCAACAACGCGCCGCAAAGGAGCTGCCTGGCACGACTGCAAGGCTGCTCACGCATGGCCTCGCAAGGCACCTCGCCTCGCGTGGGCGAACGGTACATACCGCACCTCTTGCACTGTGCGCTAACCGGAGCGATGCTAGAAGCACAGCGTCGTCGGCCCATGACCGATCGATGAGCTGGGCTGCCGCCGACAAGTTACAAGCTACGCATTGAATTGTGTGTCAGTGAGTCTTTTTATTTGCATTATGATGGACACGGGGACGACGTGGTGAGCGCTACGTGCGGCGGCTGCGCTTCGTGGATGACGTCTCGGAAGCCACCGATGCGCGCTTCTTGCCGGACGACACCGACACGAGCTGCGTGGATGGGCGGTGGGACGAGGCCGATGGCTCTTTGTCGTCGTCATCGTCCACAAGCAAGGGGCAACGAGACGCGCCGTGAACCTTCATCACGAAGGTGCGTCGCGCGCACTCAAGACACGCGCGCGTCATGGCCGTCAACTGGAACTACCGACGCATGCAGCCGGCGCAAACGTCGGTGTGCAGCTCATGGCACTGCTTTGGATCGTGGCCCTCGACCGAGCAGTACCCGCACACGACGTCGTGGCGGTGCGGGATCGGACGGACCGGCGGACACTCTGCAGATATAGACAAGCCAAAACGACATGAGCTAAGACAGCGACGGTAGCTATGTGCGTGTGTCCTACCTGTAGGTACTGGAAGCAGGAGGTTCTTTGGTTTGTAGTACTTCACAAAGACCTTGGGCACCTTGCGATAATGCATGTGCTCCACGAGCATGGTGCAGCGTGCGATGTCGTGGTTGCCAACAAGACCGAAGAAGGTGCAGTATGCACAGAGCAGACCGCGCGGCCACTTGAACGACGCCAGTACTGTCTTCGTGCGAATGGCCGTGCGCAAGGCGCGACACTCGACAACGCTGTGCGTCGCCTCGGCGCAAAAGATGCATGGCACCTGGGCGATCCGCGCACGCTCGTCGGGCTGGCGGTCCAGCCAAGTCGGCATGGCGAACCCGCTTTGCACAGTGTTCATTGCCATGCGATGTTTAAGGACCCCGCAGCTGCGGGTAAGGTGGTCCTTACCGCAGTGCGCGCACAGCGGGACCCACCGAGCGAGGTTCGCTTCGGCCCGGACCGACATCGCTGCGGTAGGTATGCTTGACGCTAAGGTGGAAAGCGTGACTGAGCTGAAGCACCCTTTGCGCTGCGTGTATCACAAGGAGCATACAACCTTCAAGAGATTCATTGACAAGTTACACTGCCCGACACCATCTCGCTGCCTGTGAATCGAGATCGCGACGCTGTGGCGAGGGCCAACGCAGTGCATGGAGCTCGCCAGTGCACGAGCGCTCGGGTGAGCTCGTCAGACAAGATACCAGTTGCCATGTACCATGCACACGCGAGGCAAGCGCAAAGAGGCAGGCGGTCATCGGCGTCGGCGTCGTGGCTGAGCCGCTGGTCGAATCGAAATGTGCGCTGGCCTCTCAGACGCAAAATAGAATAGAGATCCACGTCAGGCATTCAAACCACAAGTGCAATCAGAATTTACATGTTTTAAAATATTTCTCACGTCGCAAGGGGTGTGCCGCCGCTTGTTTGTTTGCAGCTTATGACGTGGCAAAACCACACGTATTTGCCACGCGACGAATATCACACACGCGCAGAAACCACAGAGACAGCGTGCAGAAACCACATCGACAGCGTGCAGAAACCAAACTGTCCACATGAATAGATAGCTTCGGAAACGTGTAAAAGCAGGCCAGCGTACAATGGCTTAGCTGTAAAGCGCACACCTACAGGAGTACGGAGGTACAGGGTTCGGCCCCCGATGCGCCGGCGCCAACAATCCGGCCTGTAGAGTTTTTTTGATTTTTGATGATTTTGTAAAAACAAACGCACATACTAGCAATGCTCTCAGAAAGCTCTCCGGCCGCGGTATGCACATTGCGTAGTTGGCAACATCGTGGTGTTAGGACGCGCGCAACGAAATGCGTCGCCAGGCGCCTGTGGAAGATACCCTCGTGTCCAATGAAAAGCGTGCACGCCTGGCGTCGATCGCGGATTGGCCGACCCCAAGCCAGCAGTGCGAAGTTGTGAACCACGTGAAGACCTGCCTTATATACGAACGTGTTTCGCGTTATCTTCGTTGTTACAAAGAGTTCGCATACGTAGAGACTAGCAATCTCCTTATTCTTGTGAGGACCTGCCTTGGATATATAAATCAAGCAGCTCTTGGTTGTTCTTGGATTGCGTCTGTTGAGATATTATTTGGCGGTATCTTTGCTGGTACAAAGAGTTCGCATGCGTAGATACTACCAGGCGCTTACAGGACTGACACAAGCGGTCGACGACAGGCTCGGCGAGAGACGCCCCATCATAGATGCGACGCCGCTCACTCTTGACCCGAACCCCCCAAAAAGAAAGACCTGCCTTGTCGCTTTAACATTGTCTATACTGTCGCCGTGCTTTCGAGACATCATACGCGACGATAAGTACGTGGCTGCTGCGGCAGGACATCGCTCAGTGTATCGCCATGCGTATGAGACTGCTACACTGAGAAACCGGACGGCTCACGTCGTCGACCGACTCACGAAGCTTGCATGCGTAGCAACGGCGGCAGGTCACGGTGCTTGCTAATACACAAGCCTGCACCTAGTCCGGATCTCGCATTGCACGATTGCCACATCATTTGCCTCGTTCGAGTTGTCGGTATGCATGGCAATTAGACATACATGTACCCACCAAATGCGCGATCCCATCCCGAGACCATCTTGGACCAACTACCTCCAAGCGGTTCATAGAAGAGCCAACTGCCCATGTATTGACGTTCTCGAATCGCACGCGACGACTAGGCGCTGTGGCGCAGGACCTTAGAGCTGTCGAGCGCGCCAAAGCCGTCTTGGTCCTTGACCTTTTCCTTCTTTTGCTTGCGCTTGGCCATGCCGCCCGAGCAGAGGCAGAGCTTGAGGAGGAGCCAGTCGCGGCCCGTCGCGAGCACAAACGCGATCGACCCGAGGAGGCGCGTGACGTTGAAGAGCGCGATAAATAGAAACAGACTCGGCAAGAAGACGTTGGCGCCGACAAAGTAGATGCACGTCATGATGAGCAGCGCGTTCGAAATGAGCCAAAAGAGAAGCGTGTACGACCGGAACGAGTCGAACCGGCGCTTGACCTGGTCCGCGACGACCGCGTCGTGGCGCGCCGCAGCCTCCGCGGCCTTGCGCTGCGCGACGAGGTCGCTGTAGCCGCCCGACCCGAGGCGCTGGCCACCCCCCTTTGTCGGTCCGTGGCCCGCGCTGTCGCCGAGGCCCTTCGTGCCCCAACTCAGATCTTGGATGTTGCAGAACGCGTAGATCATGAGGATGTTGATGGTCGTCGGCAGCATCACGAGGTACTGAACAAAGGTGAAGACCACGTGGTGGAGCTCAAAGTGGAAGGCTGCCGCGATAAAGTAGACGCCAAAGGTCGCAGCGAGGAGCACAATGTTGAAAGACGACATGCCGTTGTGCGACGAGAGCGAGCAGACCGAGAAGAAGACGGCCGTAATGACCACGATGGCGTAGAAGATCGAGAGGAAGGTGTAGAGCCACTTGACGTGCTTGGGCTTGTTGCCAAGGCCAAAGATGATCTGCACCATGATCAAGAACGCGTAGACGATGTTGAAGATGGACATGGCCATCGAGTGGTGGTCGTCGTACCACTCTTCCGAGTCCCAGAACGGCAATTTCGATTTCTTGAGCGTCGTAAAGACCACGTAGTAGACCGAGAGGTAGAAGAAGCCGCACATGAACCAGCCAAAGAGAGCTGCACGAGCAGCTGAAAGTACTGGATCAAGAGGCCGGCCTTCGTGAAAAGCGAGTGGTTCGTGTGCGAGTAGAGCCGGCCCCACTGCACGATCGAGTAGAGCATCGCAAAGAACGATCCGTTGAGCCAGCGACGGCGCTGCGCCATCAAATCCACGAGCGTCGACGGTACGTCCGTGCGCGCGACCGCGTCCTTGATGTACTTGAGCTTCCACGCGCCGTTGGTGCGCGCGAGGAGCTCGAAGCACAAGATGCGATCTTCGGCGAGGTACATGTTGCCGTAAAACGGGCCGAGCTCGGCCATGTCGGTGGTGAGGCTCTTGAAGTACGCCTGGAGCGGCGCGCCCTTGATGGCGGCAAAGCGGTAGGCCGAGAACGCACCGGGGAGCACCGAGACAAAGCCAAAGCACGACTCGGTCGCCTTGTCGAGGAGGTTCGAGACCTTGTACTCGAAGTGCTGCGTCGCAATCACAAAGTTCCAGAGGTTCGGGATCGGCCGGCTCACGGCGATCTCGCCGCAGACGCCACCAATGTCGGCCTTCATCTCGAGCGTCGCGAGCAGCTTGTAGAGCGCGGCTTTCGTGGGCAGCGTCCCGACGTCGAGGAGGATGTTGTACTCCGGGTCGACTTGGTTGCAAAAGGCGTTGAAGAACCAGAGGTGCGAGTTGAGCTTGCCCGCGTTGTGCTCCTTGAGCGCATAGACCATCTGCAGCGGCGGGTAGTCGGCGCCGATCGTCGAGTTGTTGCTCATGATGACGCTCTGCTTGTTGAGCGGGTCTTTGGCGAGACGCACCGTGCGTTCAAAGAGGTGCATCTGGGTCGCTGCGCCCGACGAGAAGATCGTCATCGCGTCCTCGTTGAAGACGCCAATGTCGCGCAGGAACGACGTCGCCGACGGGTTGGCCTTGGTGCGGCCGTCCGAGACAATGCACACCACGATGTTTTGCCACGCATCGTCGCCCTCGTAGCCCGGCAACGCGTTCTTCTGGATGTACTTGACGTTGTTGCACACCTTGCGGAGCGTCTGCGCGAGCTCGGCGCCGTCTTCGTTGTACATGGTGATGACCAGCATCATCGTCGGCTTGCGGCCGCGCGTGACACACTGCATGCGGTAGCCGTCGAGCGTAAAGTTGATCGGGTTGACGGTAGCCACCGGCGTGTAGCTGAGCTCGGCTGCCTCTTCGTAGTGCTCACCACCCTCATACTCTTTCGTGAACGGGATCTGGATGCCGCGGCAGTTGCGCGACGGCAGCGGGCCCGCGCGGCCGTTCTCGAGCCAGATCGAGAGCTCTTCGGCCCAGCCAATGACCTCTTGGGACTTGGCCAAGAGCATTTGGCTCACGTCGTCGTCGTTTTGCTCGGCCACGATGAGCAAGCACTCGCCAGCGTTCACAAAGCAGTTGATGGCCTCGCTGTAGAACATGTCGTACTCGGCGCGGACGCCACGCTCAATGTAGCGGAAGGCGTCGACGGTCGTGACGCAGTCGTTGTCGTTGCGGACGTGGCTGCCCACGCGGGTCGAGCGCACGGACGGCCGGCGCGCGATCGCGGGAAGGCCCGTGCTCAGCTGACTGCTCACCATCGTTGGTTGTGTCGGGCGTGGCAGCTGGGCGTGGCGAGTTGGCGAATACCCTGGCGGCGAGAGACGCTGTTGTTACACGCGTGAGGGCCCGCCGCCTGTCGACAAGTAAAATAATAGATACAAACATCAAAGCTATCGCTGCGCGATGCCATTAAAATATGACGATAAAATTTGTCATTTCTCACCGCGTGGCGCGTCAATATGTGTTTTTTCATTTTTCACCGGGATCAGCGCTGTGGCGTGAGCATGGATGCAGCCGTAAAGCAATAGTAGCAGCGAGCAAGGTATGTCGCCAAAGACCTTCTCTACGTAACTATTAATGTAGTGCAAGGGCATGCCAACGTCCATACCTGCTCGGGTTGTTCGACTCGAACAGCGACTGGCGATGGGGCCTTCTCAAAGGAGCCAGTGATCGAATATCAGCTGGTGAGATTTATTTCACACAATGCCCACTTACGCACGTGTGTTATTAATAATTCGCGCTAGTGAGGGACCGAAGCCAAGGGCAAGAATAATGACCCTACACCTAGGTAGGAGTACCGTCAAGGGCATAACTACCCATTTATGCCCTTGGTACCATCTACAGTATCGGCAAGTGTGCATGCAGCGCTTGCTACAGTACGACGAGCTCAGGTTATGCGCCTCGTTGGCCCAGACCGTCGCAGCATTGACCCGAGAAAAGACACACATTTCCCACGTGTGAATCTCTGCGGGTGGTGTGTAATGGTGGGTGGAATGTATTTTTCTCCGACGCGTAAAGTTGCGCCGGTTGCAATACATTTTTCAAGCCAATCGGCCATCCTTCTAAAAAATGCAAACGCCTTGTGCGATCGTGATCGGATACCATTCTTATCCGGATAGCCACCATGCCGGATACCTTCCCACATTATCCGGACTCGTGTGGATCGATCTGCCATGGCGAGTGTGACCCTGCGCCTGGGGCCCGAGCAGCTCAAGCCCTTTGTGAGTGCGATCACGTGCGTGAGCAAGGCGGGGAAGGAGATCAGCCTCGAGTGCGACGCCGAGACCATCACGCTCCGCGCGCTCAACGACGCGCACTCGGCGTCGGCCGAAATCACCTTTGACAGCGGCTTTCTGGACGGCTACGCGCCGCCCTCGCTCGCCGGCGACGGCCGCCCGACCGCGCTCGTGAAGTGCACAACCATGGCGAGCACGTGGCAGTCAGTCTTTCGATCGCTCAAGAACGTGCTCTCGATGGAGATTATGCTCGAGGTCGAGGACGACGACGCTGGCCATGGCCACGACGCGGTCGACGCCTCCGTGATTGTGTTTCGCCTTTGCTGCGACAAGCGCATCACCAAGACACACCGCATCAAGACGACTGACACGCAGACGCTGCGGCCCATCTTTGACAAGGCGTCGTCGCCGAACCGGTACGCTCGCAATGTTGCCGTGCACATGGCGCATCGAATTCGTAGCATCAAGATGCGCCCTTTCCACCTCACGACGCTCCTTCAGCACATTCATGGCACGGACGAAGTGAGCATGTCGTGCGGGAAGGATCAAGTTCGCTTTGAGAGCTACTACACCAACCCGCTCGATGGTACCTAACGACGACGACATCGCTGCAACGACCGCCAGTGATAACCTGCGTCTGTAGTCAAGAAGCACGTGCACACCGAGACGACGGTCGACACATCCGAGTTCATCGCGTACGTCTTCGAGTCTGGCGCGGATGCGTTGAACGAGGCGGTCGTCCAGCTCATTTTTGCCTCAAGGAAATTCGGGTATGGACCGCGCGACCGACGAGATCGCAGAACTCGTTCGTGTGTGTAGGCGCTGCTAGCATACTGCGACGCGTGCGGCCTCGCCGAGCTCGTCTTTTACTTCAGCGACGGCGGCAGGTAGCCAACGGAAGAATGCCTCCTATAGTTCTACATGCCAGTCTAGCCCGATCCTACTCTCGACCGAGTCGGTGGCCACGGCCTCGTACGGTGCCCAAATCGTCCTCTCAACAGTCGCGACACTCCACGCCGGGCCGACCCAAGACGCATGCCCGTACGCTCGTACCTCTTGTAATGTCGGAAGTCGTCATGCCTCATTCCCTAGGTCGCAAGAAGCCGAGTACGAGCACAACGCATCCTCCACGGCCAAAAAGCAGAAGCGGTCCTCTTCCTAATAAGAAATAGGAATAAGAATCTTTCATCTTGGTTGCGGTCATGGACGAGGATGGCGCACGTCGAGCGATGACGCGATCTTTGCTGTACGGATACCAAACGTCACCACGATGCCCAGCGCCGCGCTCTTGCTGGAGGAAGCCTTTGGCAAGCACATGCTCGTGGGCGCCGCTGAGTGGCGCGATGTCCCCGACGTTGTGCGCTCGTCCCTCTACGTCCTCCAAAAAGTGCTTCGACATCTCGATGCGCGGCTTTCGCGCTGCGAGACGGACAAGTCGGCGGCCTCTCTTCTCTCGATGCTGCAGACGTCCATGCGCCAGGTCGAAGCCGACTGCCACCGCGTCGTGACCGATGCAGTCGCCGCGGCGACTGCACCGCTTCAGGCAAGCGTCGCTCGGCTAAAAAGAGCGGTGAGTCATCGACTTCAGACTCAGCATGGTCAACGCGACGATAACATTATACGTCGTCTCTCAAACGACATGCGAATAGATGCGACGCAGGCACTGACGGCCCACATCGACCAGCTGCAGGCTCACGCGCGTAGCCGCACTGGGTACTCGAGCGCTTGCGATTGAGAGCGTCTGTAGGTGAGGCCGACGACTTGTACAAGCACAAGCTCCACGAGCTCGGGCGACGCGCCGCGACGCACGCCGGCAGCCTCGCCCATTACGACATGCTCGAAGTATCACTACTGCACGGTGGTGAGCTGCTTTAAATGGTACTATGGTAGAAGCTCGAGATGCGCTGCAAGTCGCTGGAGCGACAATTCGCGGCCGCGTTGCATGGGATGCACGAGAGACCCGTCGCGCCCACGACGAGTGACGCAAAGGACGAGGCGCCGACTGACGTGGACGAGCCCGGAAGTGACGTGGTAGCGGAAGCAGCGGCCGTCGACCGAGCTTGGCATGTCGTCGATGAGCCACCGGCACGACTGCTGACGCTGCGGGAGAAGCGAGAGGCCTCGCGCATTCGATTTGAAGAAGCTGCGCGCCGACAGAGGGCGCGCTGGGCAAAACAACGCGACGAGACCAACATACGAGGTTCCTTAGCCATGCGAGCTACGGATAGATGATGTAGTGCGAAGGTAGAGGCAGTCGGCTAATGAGATGCTCGGATCCTTCTGCTGCAGCGACACGAGCATGGCGTGGGCGGCCGCAATCGCCGGACAAAAGCTGACGCGTCGTCTTTCGAGGCCTCGTAGATGCGCAGGCGTGCGCCTTGCCAAAGAAGCGACGTCGCATTCTGCATGAGGGCTGTGGCGGTGCCAATGAGGCCGAGCACCCATGTCATCAAGGTCGCAGGGTCGTCCACGCCAAAGGTTCGCTCTGGAGCGTTCTGGAACGTGAGCGTAAACGTGAGGTCATTGCTGCCTACGCTCCTCGGTACGCTTGCCACCGGTCTCCATTAAGGCGAGTGAAGAGTACACTGATGATTGGCACTGACAGTCATGTGCAGGAGGCATCGCATCGACAGCGCATCGTCGCCTAGGTGAAGGACGGCGCCGTCGGCCGAGAGGCGCACCAGCTCGGTGCTTGCTTGGACCGAAGACGAGGAGGTGCGCAGATCAGCGCCTCGCTTGCACGCGACGAGACTTGTGAGGTAGAACCTCTAGTGCAGCGTGAGGCGTCGCCGTACCCATGGGTGCTACTTGGAAGGCGGCGACGCGCATGGGCAGATCCTTGGCATCACCGATAAGCATCTAAGTAGAGCGCTATGGGCTAGCCTGCCAAGTCCTAGCGGTACATGGAAGTAGGCGCTGGCGCAGCGCGGGTGCAACGGGATGGCCATCGCACCGCTTCGTTGCGGATCTCGGTCTGTCCTAGATGAACAGGCTAGAAATCGGCTACACACTATTTAATGTGATGATAATCAATACGATCGCGCACACTATTTCTTGGGAATGCCCTAAAAGTAGGATGGATTGCCTAGTCTCAGGACACCATGTGGATGTTCGAGCTCAGTGTTTATCCGGAGCTGCAATTGGGGCGAGTATGGACTCGGACAGCAGTGGCGCCGAGAGCAGCAGCAGCTCCGACACGCTCCTCGTGAAGAAGCAGCGGCTCCAGCAAGGGGGGTCCCTCGTCAAGAAGGTACTCACCATGTCGACCTCTGTCTCGCTGGACGCCTGTGAGGCCTGTGAGTCGGCGATCCGAGGCGACCAATCGTCCGTCGCCTGCGCCGGCCCGTGCTGCCGCAAGTTCCACAGTGACTGCCTGCCCAGCGACGGAGGCATGAACAAACCCTGGACGTGCATCGACTGCCGGTCACATAGCCACCGATGCTTCGCGTGCCAGCCCTTATTAGGCCCTGCGCCCATGAAACTGGTGCCAGCCACGGACGCGACGCCCGTCGCCTGCCGCGCCGCGGGCTGCGGCAAGTTCTACCACATCACATGCGTCAAGAAGCTCTCGCTCACACGCGTGCTGGACGACAACGGGTTCATCTGCCCACTGCACACGTGCGCCAAGTGCGAAGGCAGCCACGCCGCCTCCACGCATGCGATCCAGTGCATGCGCTGCCCCAAGGCATACCATACCTCATGCGTGCCCTCGACCGGTATGCGAATATGCCTCCCATCTATCCGTTCCATCGAGCGTATGTACATAGGCGTGCAGCGACTGCCCGGCACGGCCCGCGTCGTCTGCCTCGCGCATCTCAAAGCAACGACGACGATAGGCGACGAGCCGCGCCGCCCGCGCATGTCGATCTCGTCCGTCGATTCGGCCAACGACGGCGTCTCGGACGGTAGCGAGACCGAGTGGCCCAAGTCCCGAGAAGACAAGAGGACCAAGAAGACCGACAAGAAGAAGAAGAAGAAGAAGAAACTCAAGAAGGAGAAGAAGCGCGCGCGGTCCAGCGACGAAGCCGACGTGCCGCCGCCGCCGAGCGCCCAGCCGCCGCCACCGCCAATCGATGTCCCGGTCAAGCCGCCGGTCAAAGTCCAGCTCAACATTACGATCCCAGAGACGCCGATCACGGCGGATGAGAGCGTTGTTTTGAAAGAGACGGTGACGGGCCGGGACAAGTCCAAGAAAAAAAGAAAAAGCGACCGAGCAGCACGCGCCAGAGTGCGCTCGACGAGTCCATCGACGAGGTGGACGAGCCGGAAGAAGCCAAGTGGGTCCAATGTGACTCGTGCCGCAAGTGGCGGACGGTGCCGCAGCACCTCGACTTGGACGCGATGCCGGAAAAGTGGTATTGCAAAATGAACCACTGGGCCAAAGCGTATGCATCCTGCGACGTCCCGGAAGAAGTCATTGAGCCCAAGAAGAAGAAGCAAAAGCTCGACCACGTTGCGACGCCGCCGGTCGTGCATAGCGCAGCAACTGTCGTGACGGACAAGGACAAGGTGGGCCATATTTATCGCCGTGCCTTGTGGCTCAGCATCGCTTTGTCTGGTCTAGAAACCCTCCAAGAAGGAGCAGCGCGCGTCGACGAGTCAGTCGACAAGCGCCAGCAGCAGTGCAACGACAACGTCAGTCATGCCCAGCAGTTCCAAGCAGCAAACGAAGGACGTCAAGTGGGTGCAGTGCGACAACGTCAACTGCGGCAAGTGGCGCGTCGTGGCCCAAGCCATCGACGAAGCGTCCTTGCCGAGCAAGTGGTTTTGCCACCTCAACACGTGGGCGCCCGAGCTTGCGTACTGCCACGCTGAGAACCCGCCCGAAGTCGACTCGGTTTTGATGAACAAGAAGACGCCCAAGCCAAAGCGCGCGACGAAAGACTCGGCACGCAGTCCTCGCAGCACGATCGTCCTTGCTACGGACGTGGCGTCCGTGGAAGCTGCGCTACCGACAGAGGAGGCGCCGGCCGCAGCCGTCCCGCTCCCTACGCCCGTCCCCGTCGCTTCGACCAAGACCAGCATTGGCGAGAAGAAACAAAAGGTACGCATCGTCTCCACACGCAGCTTGAATCTCTCAACTCACTTTGGATGGGCATAGGTCAAGAAGGCCGTGCTCGAGTGGGCGCAGTGCGAAAAGTGCAACAAGTGGCGCAAGCTCCCCCACCACGTCAAGTCGTCGACGCTGCCCGACAAGTGGTATTGCTCGATGAACCATTGGAACATTGCGTATGTGTTGTCTCTATGTTTGTGGACAATATGACACTATGGCTTGCTAGGCTCGCGAGCTGCAACGTGCCCGAAGAAGCCGACAACGACCCGTTCATGGACCACGTCGTGGACCCGCGCCAAGGCTGGTACGGCGCGGTCAGTGGTCGCACGAAGCGCGGCAAGCTCAGCTACCGCGAACTCCTCTACGGCGGCAACGGCCACTTTCGAAAAAGTAGCATTCTTTCAATGTTTCAAGTGCTCATGCCATCGTGCCATAGCCTACACGGAAGAGTCCTCGACGCTCTCGTTTGAATACGAAGGCAAGACCTTCTACCGCGACGACCAGTACCGCAAAAGCTCCATGTACCAGCCGCGCGAGCCGCCTGAGTTTCCGTCCGACGCTAAGCCGGCAGTGGTCTCGCCGACGGCGCCAGCGCTCACGTCGGACGAGATGGTTGCGTGCCAGCAAGAGATTCTCCGTGTCCTCCACGACGTCCATGCGTCCTACTCGACCCTCGATATCGTGCTTGCGCTCAACAGCGACGGCGCGGCCACCATCTACTCGTACCCGATGGTTCAGAGCTGCCTCCAGACGATGCTCACATCCGGTCTCATTGAGAGCGCGACGGAAGACGCGATTGTCAAGGTGACCATGCCGCTGCAGATCAGTACGTACGCCAGTGCGTACTATGTCACGGGCGAGAACAACCACGACGTGCGCAGCTGGGACGAGCGAAGGCCGCACGCCCACGTCAAGTACCGGCGTAAACTCGTGTCGCGGCCACCGCTCAAGCTCGCCAAGCCGTGGAAACAAAAGGGATTTGCGGGCTTCTCCGCCACGCCGTCTCATTAGTCTATGCAACAATCCAGCGTTTCTGTGGCGTTCTCAAGCTACCACGCATGCAGCGCCTTGAGAATGTCCTAGGAAGGAGTCAGATCGGAGATAATGCCATCGAGACCTTACCCCGCGCCGCTTGGCCATGCGCGCGTCGCGCTCGACGGTCATTTGCACTTGTCGGCGCAGCACCGACTGCAACACGGTGTCGACACTTCGTTTCGGCGCACCGTGCATCGGTAGCTCCAAACTCAGGTTGACGAGCACGTCGACGGCTTTCAGCGCTGGCGCACTGGCCTCGTCCGTCGTCGTCGTCGTTGTCGCCGGGTCGCGGCTCGAGGCGAGCGCCGATTTCGCGGGGGACCGCCGGCGCTGCGTGATCACAGACGGTCGCTTCAGCTTGCCTTCGACCGAAGATGGCGTCACGCCCCGGCGGTTCATGAACGCAGCGTAGTACTCGGACGCCTACGACATGACGAGTTAGATTCGATTCGATGGCCACGATGTCGTCTCTACCGTGTGGCGTCCGACGAGCGGAATATACACTTCGAGGAGTCCGAGAGTCGTAAAGTGGCAAAGCAGTGAGCGGTCGTCCAGGAGGCTCTTCGCCGGCACCCAGATGTGGTCGCTCACGATGCACCACGGACTATGTAGCGCATCTTGCTCGACGTTGTCGCCAAGGCCAAGACTGCCGATGAGAACACCAGACCGCATGTCGTATACCGTGATAGCACCATCCTCGGTCGTCGCAAAGAGCTACGTAATCGTATGGCTTCTACGGATGATACCGCGGCCTTACCAGCGGTAGGTCTTGGAGGCCGTGGATCGCCGTGAACGGGTGGGTCCCATCGAGGACGCGGAGGAGCGAGACGGGCTTGGTTTTGCCGTCGCCTTTGCTCGGGACCGAACACACGTCGTGTTGGAGCCCGAGCACATAGGCCTAAAGAAGGTCACTTGATACATTCTTGATACAAATCGGCGGTACCGAGGACGGCGGTAGCATGTCGGCGCGGGCCACGAGATCGTAAAAATGGAGCTCGTGCGCCATCGAGAGACTCGCGACAAAGTCTGTTTTGTGCACGAAGAGGGCCGTGACGGGCGCACTGTGGCAGCCGAGTGCTATTATACACAGGTGTGTTGAAAGATTTCAGAAGCACGAAAGATGACGCACCGCAGTATTCGACGCGGAGGTGGAGGTGCCAGACGAGCACGGACCCGTTGGCCAAGCCGAGGACGAGCAGCGTATGGCTAGGGCTCGCCACCGCGCACGTGATGGGTGCTGCCACCAGCAAATTGGTGGTCGGCGCAGCGTCCTTGCCAGCGAGTAGGTCAAAGACTAGGCACTTGTGTTGGCTCGCGACGCCGAGCTGCCATGTGCCTCCGTCGCCGAGAAGGAAAGCCACGTACAGAAAATGGACATATGGCTCGGGCGGCGCAACAATGACGTCGACGTCGACCTCCTTGCCCTTGCCCTTGTGCGCCTAGTAGATGATGGCATGGAGAAGACACGTTGCTGCTGCATCAGTAGATACTTTGTCGTGCTTGGTGGCCACAGCCGACTCGGTGACCACGGGCTTGGGCACGGGTGCGATGCTGTACACGCTCGGGTCGACCTCGAAAAGGCAGTCTTTCGCATGGTCGAGCAAGATCGGTGGCGTCGGTGGCAGCGCCGACGGAAGACTGCTCGTCGCATAGACGTCGACAGTCCCATGGGCCAAGACGACGGCGGCAAAGCCAAAGTCGTCCGAAAAGAGCACTCTCGCGACACCGTTGGCGCTGAGAAGCTTGGCGCGCAGCACAAGCGCGCCGTTGCAGACACAGTAGATGTACACGAGGCTCTCGATAGCGTCGAACGCGGGGTCGATCACCTCGGGCTCGGTTGCATCTGTCGCGGTCGCCCGGCGTCCCCAGACGGCAAAAAACGCTGCCGCGTAGCCCCTACATGCGCGATGGGAGCCATACGATCACCACAGGAACGGCGGGTACCGAGCTGGAACGGGCGTAGCGGCGATGAGATGCCGTGGATCGTAAAGAGGTCGGGCGCCACCTTGGTTTTTGGTACGAGAACCGACTTGGTGCTGGCGTCCAGCACTTCGACAACGTTGGCTGGGTGCAAAAGCGCCACGAGTTCGTGGTCAGCGCTACCAGCAAACGTGACGGGGCTCGGCCCGAGCTCCAACGACGTAGCAGGGAGGCAGAGCCGGGCTTTGGCTTTCTTCTCCTGCAGATCCGCGTTCATCTCGCCTTCCTGGAGCTTGAACGCCATCGTCGACGTGATCGCTGTCCATGCGCCTACCGCACCATGTCGATCGATGCATGTGTTCGCACGTTCAGCTCCATGCAATACGGTCGACAATGTCTTCGTGGAGGATCTTGACGAGCATGCGGAAAGGCTGCGGAAGGGTCGGAAAGACCAGGTCCGGGTCCACGTGGTCGACCGGTGTCAGGACGTCGACAAACTGCGTGAACGCAGCAATCGAGATGAGGCCCGCGGGTGAGCAAAAGATGCTCAAGAGCTCTCGCTCGTCGTTCGTCAAGTGCACCTAGCACCGTCGTTGATCGATCATGCACCACCTGTCTTCGTACATTGTTGGCGGCGAGCCGCTGGAAAAAGGGCCCTTGCGGCATCCAATCCTTGTCCTTGTGCAGTTCGGGGGCGTCCTACAGCCACCTTAGCGCATGCCTCGCGCGTCTCTTCTGCTCTTCGTACGAGAAACAGCGTGTCGAGGGGCACGTGCAAGCAGTCGTAGCTACGAGTTGAATGACGTACGGCGAGCGCAGACGCGTACCGAAGACGGGTCTTGAGCTCCTTGCGCGCCTGCGCGTCGAGAGCGAGTTTGGCTCTATTGCCATGTCAGCTCTCGTGGCGGTGAAGGCAATTGACGCACGCCATCGCGACGGGTCGCGGCCTTTTGAAAATGACACTTGGAGTGTCTAAAGTTACGTCGCGGTTTCAGCAGTGAAGAGGAGATGGACGCGGCCAAGGACAGCGCGTACAGCAAGGCGCTGCGCCGCGGCCGCCACCCGCGGTCCTTTAACCGCAGTGACACGTTTCAAATGTGGTCGACCGTGTACGCCATCGATCGATCGTTGACGCGTGTCTGAGGATGCCATGTAGGAAGCACTCGTCGTCCCGCGTCTCGAGCGTCAAGACGGGCCAGGGCCTCGGCAACATCGTCGCCAAAGAGATCGAGGTAGTAGACATGGTTCCTGTGAGAAGACATCGCGCATAAACGGTGCGACTAGGCGCTGCAGAGCACGAGCCCAACGTCCGAGAAGGCGGCGCGCATGACGCTGAAAGGTGCGCGACCACGCGTCCACGCTCGAGACTCATGTTTTTTTCGCAGACGTCAAGTCGACACCAAACCTCCTGAGCCCAAAGGAGCGGCGAAGCGAGAAGCGACCGGCCAAGAAGAAGCACAGCACGCACGAAGATGTCATCAAGCGGCTGCAGGCGCTGGGGTCGGGCAGCGCGATCGCAACGACCCCGACGACCAACAGCAACAGCAACAGCAACAACAGCAATAACAACAACAACAACAACAACGTGTCGGCCACAATGGCGGCCATGGACGTCGATACGACCAAGCTGCGCCAAGACTTTAGCTCTCAGAAAGACGCGCGCGTCTACTATGGCTCGACGGCGGCTCTGGAACTCTTCAACGGCGACATGCTCATGGTAGCAACGCGTACACCGACCTCTGTGGTGAGCGCGTGGTGGGTAGGTATCGGTGACCGACGGATCCGCGTGCGTCCAGCCGCTCGAGCGCCTCAAGAACCAGCCCAAGAGCTCCCGGGACAAGCTCCTCTTCACGCTCATCAACATGAACGAGCTCCGCAGCGCCAACCCGATTCGGTTTGGCGACAGCGTCTGGCTTCAAATCAGCGTCGGCACGGGCGAGACCTCGTGGGAACAAGGCAAGTGTCCACGCCGCCTTCAAGGCACACGTCCCACACGCACGTAGGCGGCGTCTTGGGCGCCAAAGTCCGAAAAGCGCCGGACCTTCAGACGCTTTCGCTCACGCATGCCGAGAAAGGGGCAACGGACGTGTCGCCGGAAGGCGCGCCAGACGAAGTGCTGCTCAACGTCGGGTATCCCGTGCCTGTCCGCGCCTACTTGCCCAAGGTTCAGTTTCGATCAAGCTGTCAACCTTTCAAGTGCCGGTGCTATGTAGACGCGCGACGACTCGACCGACTCGCAGATCGACGACATGCAAGCGCGGCTACGCAACAAGACGTCGCGCATGGTTGGTCGCTGGATCGTGCGGTCCGCCGTCGTTCGACCCAAAGGCAAAGATGTACGAGATGGTATTGCGCATCAGCAAGTGCAATGGAATGATGTACTAGGACTATGTCAACAGCGACGACGAAATCTACTTGGAGCAAGACTGGTTCTACATCGGCGCCGACCTCGAAGCGACCGAGAGGAGCCAGAGTGCCGTTTTGCGCCAGCTGCCGCCGACCAAAACCACCAAAGTCGGCGAATATGTTGTCGAGCGTCGCGCCGCGTGGAAAATACGGCTTGTCGACTCGTCCAAAGGCGGCCTCGGGCTCAGCCTCGTGCAGCAGCAAATGGAGCGACTGCTATTCAAGGCCAAGACACAGCTCAAAGCGTCGGAGAAGATGCGCGACGGTACTCAGCGCGCAGCGTCGTCGTCGAGGTTGATCGCTAGCTGGTCGATACGTGTAGGGCAGCTGCGGCACTATGGGCCTGACTTGAACGGCGGCCAAGGCTTCCCCAAGCAGCTGCGCCGCCACATCCAGCACGTGACGGACGAATGCGACGTCGAGTACTTTGCCCATCAAAACGACCGGGTGCGTTCGTCTTGCCCCTTGGCATAAGTTCGTAGTTTGTAGCTGCGTCAACTGGACGTGTATTTTCAAGACAAGATGGCGGCCATGGACAAGACGGACCGCAAGCGCGCACCGCTGTCGCCGCTTGCATCGAGCCTCCGGTTTTCGACGTCTGTGCCCAACCTCAGCTCGTGCAAAGACTCGATCGGGCTCCACGCGCCTGCGACCGAGTCGACCGTGCCGCCGTCCACCGAGGTACAAGATGTGCGCGCCTTGGATCGTATCTTGATAGATTGATAGAAAATCTGCAACCTGTGCGTCGCGTACGCCCGTGTCGGGTTTGACTTGTGCACGCACAACCACGAAGTCGCGCACTGCGTTGCGCTCGGGGCGCCGCTGCCGACCAAGTCCAACGAACCGTCGTCGGCCGAGATTCTCAAAGTCCGTCTTTCGGAGCGGTACGGGATGCGATGGAGTTTGCTTGCCGATCCAGTACGACATAGACACATGAGCACGTCGGATGGCGCGCTGCGTGCCGTCAAGGCCGCCGAGGCCGCCGAGCTGCGCGAACGCGGCCGCATCATGCGGTATCTACTTCCATCGAGACATCCACATGGACGGTATGTGTCCATCGTAGACTACTTTCGGAGCAAGACGACCGCCTCGTCAATGTGATCAAGTACACGGAGCAGCGCGCGCACCTCGCGGCTATTGCGACGTACTCGACCGACAACGAAGAAGACGCGCCGTCGTACTTTTCGACCAAGCGGTCGCGCGTCCGGCGGCGTCTCACGTCCATTCTCGGCGACACGGGACCGCGGCGCAAGTCGACGCTCAAGTCGACGGTGCTGGCCGATACGGTGCGGTCCCACGAGGAGGAAGACGGCGAGGACGACGACGACTCGACCGGCGGCGACGACAACACCGATGACGACGACGATGACGACGATGCGCTCTCGGACAACGACAACGACGACAACGACGACGAAGAGAATGGTGACGACGACGACGACGATTTCATCACGGAAGCCGAGATCCAGACGCTCAACTACATCAACGTCGAGAAGGCCACAGCGCTGTACGCCAACGACGAAAAGGCGATGCGCGAGATGCTCTATGGCTTTGCCGACCTCGCCGAACACCGGCTCGTACCCCAGCTCCGCGATGCGCTAGCGGCGAAGCACAAGGCGTGCTTGCTCGAGACCTCGGACTTTTTGGCGCGGGTACGACGACGACACCCTCGATTATGCAGCGATCAATTGGTTGTCGTCTCGTGTTAGGCGGCCGAGTTTGTCATGGCGCGCCGAATACAAGTGCACGTCATGAGCTTGATTCAAAGGTCGGTGTTGATCTGTCGACGGAATGGCGGCGATATGGGATGGATAGCGTTGCGACAAGCAACGTCGACGACTTTTCAAGCATCGCGCCGGCCGTCGAACAGCTCTTGCGCGAGGTCGATGGCACGATCCGCTTCATCCGCGCCTACAAGCTCAACGGAAAAGCTACCGAAGCCATGTAGCGTCATCTATCCTTGTCTAAGAATGCATGCACGTGTCGAATGTGTGCAGGTTCCTGGGCGGGAGATGCTGTCGTCACCGTCACTGCTGCACGTAGTGCCCCTTCTCGCGCGTGTCCATCGAGTGACCTCGTGTGGGCGCTTGCGGTATGGCACTTCGTCGCCAGAAACGCTAGCTTTGGCTCAAAAGGCAGCGTACCCGTATGTGGGCGTGCCTGTACTTAGCAAGTGCAACTTCAGGATCTGTACATTGTATTCGGATTTCCGCACCTGATTCGAGGTGCAGAAAGCCGGCTCTAGTGCAGAATGTGGGTCCCGATCAGCATGATTGGTCATTTCCAAACAGTACGAAACATCAACATGGGCGTCCTGCTGCAAGATGCTGCCCCTGCGCTTGCGGTTGCCGTTGTGTCGCTCATTTTGTACGTGGGCTTCCGTGCGCCGTCCGTGCGCGTCCTCTTCTTCAGCGCCATGGCCTACATCAAGGGCGTGCCAATTGTGTGGATCGACGCACCAGCCCTCGCAGCGAAAGCACTCAAGGCATCGTCATCCAAAGGCATCTTTCTCGAGCGCATCTTGTCCGAGCCCGCGTGGCTGCCCGTGATCTCACTCGAGTCGGTCGATGATCCGCAGTGGAGCATCATGAAGAACAACCTGACGCTGCTAATGAAGGCGCTACCGTCGGCCTCTGTCCTCGAAACCATCACGATGCGCATCACCGACAAGTACCTCGCGGACCACGACGTCTTGGACTCGAACGGCGTCGTGTACATTACGGTCGCTGCGTTTTACGAGTGGATCTTTGCCAAGGCCTTCCCGGCCGACGCGACCTTTGTGTGCGACTCGACGTGGGAGTGGCGCAAAGAGCTCGCGCTCAAGGGCAAGGGCGACATGGCGCTCAAGCAACGCGTCGTCGACTGGATCATCGAGCAAGTCAAGGCAACCCCCGCGATCTACGGCCTGTTTGGTGCACAGTGGGAAGAACCCGAGTACTTTTCGCTCTTGTTGCAGCCCTTCTTCCTCTCGCCCGCGATCAACGTCTCGGACGTGGCCGTCACCATGGGCTCGCTCGTGCACTGCCAAGGCCTCGTCGACGAGAGCATCTCGGACATGATCAACAAGGCGCTGGATATGGCGCACCCGTTTGTGATCGTCGAGCGCTTCCTCGAGCACGGCCTCAAGACGGACGACATCACAATCGCACCGGGAACACACGTCTTCATCCCGATGGACATCATGACGAGCGACAATACCATTCGGTTTGGAGCCGGCGCGCGCAAGTGCCCCGGGCAGATCCAGGGTATGGCGCTCATGCTCGGCCTCTTCCAGAAGCACGTGCTGGAAAGCCCCAAGTTTCAGCCGGCGCTCCACCACAAGTATTCGGGGCGCGACCAAGATGGCCAAGAAACACTTTCCGAGCTGCTGTACCAAGTCGCCCTGATTGCGTCTGTTTTTTGGACGGCGCTCACACACCGTTTTTTATAACGTTTCCAATGCACGCACCACCGCATCACGCCACGTTATCCGTGCGATCTACGATATATCATGTGGCCACGTCCACCGGTGGATTCCTTCCTGCTTGACACGCAGGAGGTGCGGGGTTCCCGCCCCGTAAGTGCTGTCCCTTTCTTCTCTTTCTCATTGACGTTGGCATCGGGACCATCAAATGGTGGTTCTGAAAACAGGAACGGGATAGATGCGACAACGATTGAGCCCATTCAAACTATGCAAGACGCATGCATGTTTACGTCCACTCTAGAAGGATGCGTCGTATACGACATCATGATGGACGGCTCTGCATTATTGCACTCCATCCACCTACCTTGCTTGCACGCGGGTTTTGCCTCGTAGCTACCGTTCCAGCGTAAGCCGACCGGTCTGCACCTTGCACTGTACGGTAGTTGTTGTTGAAATGGGTCAATTAATTTTTAATGAGCAGAGCTCGCTGGAAGAAATTGTCTCATCTTGGCCTGTTGTTGGAGCAGCTGATTACGTCATCATGTCACTGTACGGTAGTTCCACAGACGGCATCTCTGAAGCATCGTCGCCTCCAAAAAGCAACAACAACATTAACAACACGGAGAATAGACGCAAGCAATTTACACAAAGCCAAGACGGTGACGAATCGCGCGTCCAAAGGCGCGGCCAATGACAGCGCCTTGATAGAGCAACTCGGGCAGCGTCTCGAGGCCGTCTTGGTCGCGCCCGAGTACTTGTGGTGTAGCGCCGGCTGGAATTTCGGGCTTGTGATCACATCGTTCTGGAAGATGCCAAGCATGAGGGCCATGCCCTGGAACTGCCCCGGGCACTTGCGAATGCCAGCGCCGAAACGCATTGCGCTGTCGCTCGTCATGTTGTCGATGGGCACAAAGACGTGGGTGCCGGGGGCAATGACCATCGCGCCGTCCACGACCAAGCCGTGCTCGAGGTAGCGTTCGATGATGATGAACGGGTGGGCCATGTCGATGGCCTTGTGGATGAGGTCGGTCGGCGCCGTCTCTCCTTCGCCGCGGCGCACGAGCGACCCGACGGTGACGGCAATGTCCGAGATATTGATCGACGGCGAGAGGAAAAATGGCTGCAAAATCAGCGAAAAATACTCGGCGTCGCGCCATTGCTGGCCAAAGAGGTCGTAGATCGTTGGCGTCGACTCAATGTGAGCGATGGTCCAGTCGACAAAGCGCTGCTTGAGCGCCACGTCGCCCTTGCCCTTGAGCGCAATTTCCATCCGCCACGCGTTGGTCGCGTCGACGATCCAGTCGGCGTCGTCTTTGGGCAGCGGCCGGGCGAAAATCCACTCAAAGAGCGACGCAATCGTTATGTGCACGACGCCGCGTGCGCAGAGAACGTCATGGGACGCGACGTATTCGGTGGTCACGGCGGTCGTGATGCGCTGCAGGTCCGCGGACGACGGCAGTTGCTTCATGAGGACGACGAGGTTGGCCTTCATGCGACTCCAGCGCGGGTCGTCGATCGACTCCATCGAGATCGCAGGCAGCCATGCAGGCTCGGAGAACTCGTGCTCGATGAAGACGCCCTTGTTGGTCGACGCCTTGAAGACCTTGGCGGCCAGCGCTGGCGAGTCCACCCAAACGACCGGCACGCCCTTTAGGAACGCGAGCGTGTTGAGGATCACCATGCGGAGCGACGGCGCGCGGAAGCCGACGTAGAAGAGCGCCGACGCCACGGCGATGCCAACAGCGAGTCCGACTTCGTACGTCATTGTCCAACGGAGGGCAAGAATGCAAATGAACAGAAATGCAACGGCCATGCCCTTTCGCTGCACGCGACGGTGGCTGCAGCCCACCAGCTGGTCGATTGGACGCCACCAGCTGGGCGACAGAAAGAGGAGCGGACATGTCCAGGGCTGGACGTGTGCTATTTTCATAATACAGTTTTGCTCCAATGGAAGAGACACGTGGTTCCTTGCGGACGTTTCGACGGCCAGGTCGTCCATTTCTAGTGTATAGTCTGTACATAAACACGCAAGGACGATGCTCTCTATCGTCGTTGCGGCTTGGAGCAACGGCTTCCTCGGCCTTTACCGTTGACGTTGGCAACATCCTACGAAAGGCTGCATAATGTTTTTAGCATCGTCAACTTCAAGCGCGTGCAGGATCGCTTTACCGCGACGGGCGAAGGATGCGTCGTGGGCCTATCAATCCAAGTTCAAAGCACCGCAGTGTCGATTTTAACTGCGCGACCTCCTTCGTCGAAACCTTGCCATGGCGGATAGCCGCCTGCTCGTATCCAAAAATCAACAAGATCTTACTTTTTGTGCGCGCAATGCGCCGGACACAATCGAAGAGCTTGGCGCTGCTTCAAGAATAAAGGGTAGATTGGCGCCAAGGACGAAATACTATGGAGCGGCGTGGCCTCCACACCGACGGGGTTCGCTTCCCACGGAGTCTCCTTCGTCGCTTCCAATATTAATATGTAGTATCTTTCAACGTGCTCGACATGTGATGCGCAAACATGTGATTGTTTGCCGTATATTTTATTTTTGGACTTTTTTTGTCCATTTTACTGCGCGTGTTCCCGTTCTGGTCACATAATAAGTACGTACCCTCCAAAGAAGGTTGCTTGGAAAACTCGCGAGAGGCTGAGTGTGCTGACAGCTCTCGGTACCCTAGCTGCGAGGCGAGCTACTATATCCTAGTACAGCGTAGTGTGGATGCCATCCCACTCGATGAAACGTCAGCGCAAACTCATGGACGGTGTGTCACGTGCCACCCACAAACAGCTCGCACGACCAGATGGCGGTCGCGAGCAGTCGAAGGATGAGGCCTCCGTTGTCGGCAAGTGCCAGAATTACGCTGGGCTATGTACTGTGCTTTTTCAAAGCGGCGGAAACGGTTCAATCGTGATGATTGATGGGCAAGAAGCGCCACATTTTAGTACCGGTAGGCTAAACTTTTGACGACTGAGACAGCAATCAACGCAACAACCTCTCGTTGGTGAAAGCTGTAGGCGAGAAATGAATGGCCCAGTGCTGGCAGCTGGAAGGATTTGCGTTCCTCATCATCGCGATCGACACGAATATCACTGTGCGACGAACCACCGTCTCGACAATACTGTGCACAGACAGCCATGCACTCATACTTAAAACAACTCTAGTGCAGTACTAGTACAGTGTACTACGAGGGTTCGATAAGCCAATTGATGACGTTGACAGGGTGTGCAATCAATCGTTCAAGGTGGACGTGTTGCGTGCGTCCCTTCGCAGGGGGAAAATGTTAAAACTGGGTGAACGTGGGCCCAAATCAACCCAAACCTGGCTAAATTGGATAAAAATACATAGACTTGGTTTTACTATTGGGTGGCTCAATGTGGCTCAGGGTGGCTCGCCTCGGAGTCTTCACATGCCCCTCTCCTCCTAACCTCCTTAATCGCAAACAAGACATGTACAACAATCCTTTAATCTTCCTCAACACCTCACATCACCCCCACCTACCCTTCCCTGCGGTACCTTGCCAAACAACCCCAATACCCTGCCGGGAACTTAAGCGAATGGTTATTTTTTCTCCAAATTCCTGTTTTGACGCAGCTTTTACCAAACACACCCAGTTCTGTCATTTTCCCCTTCGCAGGTGCTCTGGGTTGCTTGAGCCAGGCAGCAAAACTCAACACCTCGAGCTCACTGCTCTTCTTTGTACCTGGTTGTTATTAAGGGGGTAGCCTGCCGATAAAATGGGCACTACAATGCTTTAGGGTGTGACGGACCAGTGTGAAAATGAATTCTCTCCGACACTGCCCATGCACCTACGGTGCCGTTAATATCGATTTCGCAACGATGCCATTCCACACTAATTTACCTGCAAAGTGCGATAAGGATCACCTAAAATAGTATTGTCAAATTAAGTGTAATAGAGTTACTTTAAATTCAAATAGTGTACACTACACACTACTTTCAGGTTGAAGCCGCTGCAACCTTGATTTCGCGTCATATTTCAAATAGTGTATGGCTTCGAAAATATTTTTAAAGTTCTGTACCCAAGCAGGTGCATGTTCCAAGCTTGGCGCAGTGATATGCATCCATCATCGCATTGAATTTTAATAAAAATAGCACCGGCATCCCAACGGCAGAGTCCGCAGCATTGAGCATGGTGACCCTGAGCCGCGTGGTCCTACTCGCGGGGCTTCTCGCCGTCGCCGCCGCCGACGGCCTCCTCCGCATCCCGCTCCAGCGCAAGCCCAAGGCGCCGTCGGCCGCACCCGTGGGTCTGAACCCGTCGGACCTCCTCTCGGCGAGCGCGGTCGCGGCCGCCGGCTACGTCCCGTTGACCAACTATGTCGAGTTTCAGTTTTACGGCGAGATTAGCATTGGCACGCCGCCGCAGAAGCTCCAAGTCTGCTTCGACACGGGCAGCTCCGACCTCTGGGTGCCCGCGCACGAGTGCGACCACTGCGCGGGCACGCACCGATTTGCGCGCAACGCGTCGTCGACCTTTGCGCTCGCGGCCGACCCGAACTTCACGGTCGCGTATGGCAGCGGCGGTGCGCGTGGCATTGCCGGCACCGAGACGATCTCCATTGGCGGGTTCTCGGCGTCCGAGGTGCCCTTTGGCGTCGTCCAGCACGAGCAAGCGTCGCTCGCAAACATGAAGGCCGATGGGCTGCTCGGGCTCGCGTTCGACGGCCTCGCGACCATTAGCCACCCGCCCGCGTTCATGCTGCTCGTGCTCCAGAACGCCAACCTCGCGCCGCAGTTTGCTTTTTACTTGACGCCCGAGCCCAACCAAGAGGGGTCGATGCTGCTCCTCGGCGGCGGCGACCCGGCCTGGCTCGACGGCGCTTCGTACATGACATTCGATGTCGTGCCGCAGTACGGCTACTGGACGTTCTGGCGCGTCCAGGTCCACAGTCTTCTCATTGGGAACCGGCTCAACGCGTGCGATGCGGGCTGCATCGCTTTCATCGACACGGGCACCTCGCTCCTCGGTGTGCCCGCGCCGCTGTACGCTGGCGTCCTCGACGCAATCGCGCAATATGCCACCCGCGCCGGTTGCTACTGCATGCTCACGGCGTACGGGTACCAGTGCTACATGTGCTCGGCCTCGAACTTTCCGCCGCTGCGTATCGGCTTTGGCGGCAGCGGGTACTTTGTCTTGACGGGCGAAGACTACGCTCTCTGCATGGGCGCGACGTGCCTCATTTTACTCCAGCCGTCCGGCCAAGACATGTGGACGATCGGCGACGTCTTTCTCAAGAAATTCAAGTCGCTCTACGACGTGCGCAAGCGCACCGTGGCGTTTCTGTGCCCGGACGACGCGCCCGAGATGTGCGGGCCCGAGCGCGGCGACGTCACGCCCCGCGCGTTCCTCGACAACATGAGCCTCAGCGCCATGGACGCGCACACGATCCTCATCCTCTTTGTCACTGGGTGTTCGATCCTCGGCAGCCTCTTCATTGTGCTCACGTACTTCATGTACCCGATGCTCCAATCCAAGCGCGTCCTCGTCCTCCTCTACTACCTCAGTTTGTGCCACCTCGTGTACAATGGCACGCTCTGGATCAGCGCGCTCTTTCAGTACTCGAGCGGGTCGGCCGGATGTGGTCTGCAGCTCGTGCTGCAGCAGTTTGCCGGTGTCGGAACGCTCCTCCTCTCGGCGGTCATTAGCATCGAGCTTCTTCGTGCCGTCCGCGGCTGGCAAAGCCACACGAAGGACTACTCGGCCGTCTACCACACGGTCATTTGGGGCATCTGCACGCTGTGTGGCTGCGTGACCATTTGGACCGGCGTCCTCGGCTATGTACCCAACGCGTACGGCCCAAGTCGGTGCGCGTATTGGATGCGAACGCAATTGCTGATCTGTACTATGTCGGAGTAGGGCGTGCTGGGCCGAGCACACGCCGGCGTGGGGCCGCGTGACGTTTTTCTACGTGCCGGTTGTGGGCACGCTGCTGCTGTCGCTCTACGCCGTGTTTGCGGCCTTGCATCGGCTCCAGAGCACCAACTTGATCCAAACCGAGTCGGGTCGCCGGAGCTCGCGGCTCCTCGTGTCGTATGTGAGTGTGCTCGCGATCTCGCTCGTCGTGCCGACCGTCGTCGGCGTTCTCTCGCTCTACGCGACGATCCCCGAGAGCCTCTCCTTTGTGAGCGAACTCTGCTTTTACTCACAAGGGCTTCTCCACGGCTTTGTGTGGGCGTGCAGCCCGTCGTTCCAGCAAGCGTATGCCCAGCGCTACTACATGATGGGCGACGAAGAGGTGGCGTGCTTGGTGGCCGAGTAGGCGACCGTCGTCGTTCTCCTCAAGAAACCTTCTCCGCTGCTAGTAGTTTGCTAATAGACGTCGTCTCCGGTCTGCTCCGTCACACGATCGTCCGTGGTGTCGTTGTGCACAAACACGAAGCTGCAGCGCCGTGTCATGGCTGTCACTCGTTGCCTTGGTTCGCATTGATGGCTTTGCCATAGAGCGATGTGATTGCGCTACCTCGTCGGAGCCATCACATTTGGTTCGCGCTCTGGTCATGGGATCGACCCCTGGCGTTGTCATCAGGAAAGTACTCGCGTGGTGCACCGCATGGTGGATTGGACGGGCGCCTGTGGGAGATAATACACCCTGCCTTTCGAAGTATAAAAGACTGGACGGCATATAGGCGACGATCCACCTGCCGAAACCTGTGCTCGCATGGATATGACTGGAGAGATCGAGCAAGGGTGTCGAGCTACTAGTATTTTGCATCAGACCGGCATCGCCTCGCCTCACGAGTCTCGTCGATGCGACTGGAGATCCTCCATCAGGCACCGCCTACCGCAACGGAATGGTACGGCGCTTCTGGTTCGATAGACGTCCGCGTTGTTGTGGGTTGTCGTCTTGACCGTCTCGTTGACGCTACTTCCATCACTCGTGCTGATGGAGCTGGAGAGAGCTCTTGGAGTCGCATCTGCCCTGTTGATACATACCGGTACATATACCGGACGCTCGTTGATATAGTAAGTCGAGAGGACGGTCGTTCGCTGTCCAAGCTCACGCCTTTGAATAGTGGGTGATCCAAAGTAGCCACAGAGACGTGAAGATTCTACAGTGGCGGTGATGGGCACACCCCGCGTCATTACGTCCATCAAGTCGTCGTCGCGGTTGATGCCAATCCAACCGCAGTTTGCTCGCTAAACGCTGCCAACAAGAGCGTTCTATCGAGTGCTGCAAAGGGTTTCGTTGGCGCTGACAACTTGTCTCGGTAGCCATTGGGATCGAGAGGCGTGCCACGTGCCGTGCATGGCAACAGCTGCGCAACGTCAACCCTCCTCCCTCAACCGCAGAGTTGTAAGAAACCCGCGTGCAGAGAGAAGTGGAGGCCCGTGCCTTTGTCCATTGGGCTGCTGCCAACGAAGACTAAGAAGAGAGCATGGACTATGGTGTGTCAGTCACCCATTAGCCATTGCTGGTGTATGGTCCATTGGAGCCTGCGCGTGCACCGCGGTGTCTGGTTCCAAGACGCCGCTGGACAGCCTCGTCGTACCCACGGCGCACGGCCACGTCGGCACGTCTTTGGTGCTGAAAAGGGACACAAGGGATGCGTCGCCGCTGGATCGAGGCAAGACGGGCGAGCCGCCATTGGCGTGCACTGTACATGTACACCGTGGTGTGTGACTGTACGACAGCTACAGGCGCACGACGACACGATTAAAGGGGCGGCGCAAGGTGTCATTGCAGCTTGAAAGACAATGCCGAGGTTGACTCGACATGTCGTTTAGGATGGCCGCATTGCGCAGGCAGTACCATCGCATGCGTCGTTTAGGACCGTTCGATGCAACCATCTGATTCTTCATACCAAGATTCGTGGCGTGGAGCGACGGTCGCACAGACAGATCAACACGTGTTGCAGCGACCAGACGACGATGTGTCGACCCCCTGTGCGTAGCGGACAGGTGCTTCTAGTAGTATGTGCTAGGCTCATGGTTCACTACAGAAGCGGAGAGCACTATAATACGTTTCGGTACGTCGTGTTCATGCTCGAGGAGCGTGTGTGTTGTCACGGGCGCCGCAGTGATATATCCCGTCGCGTCTCCTCTCTACCTCGCTCGTCCATTCTGTCGGTCGTGGTGTTGTGGGCACTTGACGCCCGCCTGTCGAAGGCGTCGTTGCCGTGAGTCATGCCGTGTCTTTCCCACGCACTTGGTGCGACGGCTTTCATTATTGCCACATTTGCCGTCGCCATGACACAGTACGAATACTACCTCGGCGCCTTGGGCCTTGTCGCGGGCCTCTCGCTCTACGTCGGCCTCCGGGCGCCGTCCATGCGCACGCTCCTCCTCACGTGCCTGGCGTGGATCAAGGGTGTCCCGATTGTCTGGGTCGACTCGCCGGCGCTGGCCGCCAAGGTGCTCAAGGCGTCGACGTACAAGGGCATCTTTATCGAGCGCGTGTACGGCGAGCCAGCGTGGTTCCCGATCGTGTCGCTCGAGTCGGTGGACGACCCGCAGTGGAGCCGCATGAAGGCCAACCTCATGCACCTCATGAAGAAATTGCCGTCGTCGCAGGCGCTGCAGACCATCACGACGCGCATCACCGACAAGTACCTCGCGGACCACGACGTCTTGGACTCGAACGGCATCGTGTACATTACGGTCGCTGCGTTTTACGAGTGGATCTTTGCCAAGGCCTTCCCGGCCGACGCGACCTTTGTGTGCGACTCGACGTGGGAGTGGCGCAAGGAGCTCGCGCTCAAGGGCAAGGGCGACATGGCGCTCAAGCAGCGCGTCGTCGACTGGACCATCGAGCAAGTCAAGGCAACCCCCGCGATTTTTGACATCTTTGGCGACAAATGGGCCGAGCCCGAGTACTTTTCGCTCTTGCTGCAACCCTTCTTCCTCTCGCCCGCGATCAACGTCTCGGACGTGGCTGTCACCATGGGCTCGCTTGCGCGCCGGGAGATGCTCGACGAGAACCTCGGCGACACGATCAACAAGGCGCTCGATATGGCGCACCCGTTTGTGATTGCGGAGCGCTTCCTCGAGCACGGCCTCGAGACGGACGACGTCAAGATCGCGCCCGGCACCCAAGTCTTCATCCCGATGGACTACATGACGACGGACAATGTGATTCGGTTCGGCGCGGGCGCGCGCAAGTGCCCCGGGCAGTTCCAGGGCACGGCGCTCATGCTCGGCCTCTTCCAAAAGCATGTGCTGGAAAGCCCGAAATTCCAGCCGGCGCTCCACCACAAGTACTCGGGGCGCGACCAAGACGGTCAAGAAACGTTCACGGAGCTCGTGTACCAGGCGTACGTCATTGGCGCGTCGTTCTACGATGCGATCGTGACGGCGCTGTCGCCGGCCAAGACCGCAGCCTAGTTGTCCTTCTAATCTTTGTAACTCTAATCCAGTCGACGTACTACACATACTACTCATGTTGCGTCGCTAATGTCCACGCCAATGATTCTTGCGATTGTTTTCTCCTGTCGTTTGTAGAAAGTGGCTTCTTGAAGACGTTTGAAGCTGAAGCGAATGACGCGGCCATCAATTTCCTGGACAGGAGACCACCAACTTCGTGGTCTCTACGGCCCGGCTGGATCCGTCGAGCCGACAGGTCGCTCGGATTTGAACCGGTTATGGCTCCACTTGTTGCTCGGCTCGGCTTGAAGCCGAGCTCTTGATGTCCGAGCCGTTGAAACGGGCGCGAAGCACGAGGCAGCGAAACGCGGCTTGGTGCATGGTGGAGGCCGTCTTTGGCGTCGAGTAGAGGTGGCCAAAGAGCGCTGTCGGTATCCTAATTTTGTTCCGCGATCGTCCGCTGCCCCTGCACGTAACCCAATAGATATCCTCGTAAGGAAGGTTGCCAGAGTCAGCATCCCGCTCTTGTTGCTTGGAGCGATACCGTTGCGCTTCACGCTACGGCTGCAAGTCAGCACTCCTTTTGGATACACACGACATCATTTCAAGATGTTTACATGCGAGGCCTTCAATTTTGCTTTGCAATGACTCTCAACGCAGGGTCATTTTGCGGGACGCATGATGGGTGAGATGCGTCCATCGTATGCCGAAGATTGCGTGGTCGCCACCAATTTCACTCGCCCAGCACCTCCAATTTGGTGCGCCATGGCACCCAGTCCGAAAACAAGCGCTTGCTTCAAGACTTTGCGCGCTGCAGTTGTAGTCAAGGCGGTGTGTACATGTACCGGTAGTGGCCAGTCCTCCCTTTTCCTGCAGAACTACATGTAAGCCAAGCACTACGCGACCGTTGTGTCTGAGAATAATCAAGTGTGCGGTTGTTGAAATAAGTTATTACATGCAGTTAGTAAGATCGTGGACTTCCTAATGCGCGCGTGAGGCATGACCAGTGCGTCAAGTGAGCAGCGTTCGTGGTCGTGGCTCGGGATTGTGCGAGGAACAAGGTAGCGAGCGCACCGAGGGTCATCGCACAGAGCGCTGAGCGCGGCGGCCAGGGCACCAAGTCGCGACGGGCCAAGTGCCGGAATAATCAAGCGTGTCCCTTAGAGTTGACCCTGGGAGCCGACCTCTGCCCTTGACGCCAAATGTGCTGCATTTCGTCTCCTTGTCTCTCGCTTCAGGAATCCACGCTAACTCATGTCATGTTTTTGTTACACATGCCGCGGCTTTGTCGGCAGCAGCGAATCAAATCCTCGTGTGTCGGCGATTGGTCGAGGCCGGACCAATCCTTGTGGCTGCCTTTGTGTACCCTTGACGGCAACCATTGATTCCAATGAGCACTTGCCTATCATGGACATGTCGCCATCAACCTTCCCACCGGATCTCCGTGCATCGAACGACCCCGCTTCACATCCAACCCACCACACGTTTCCCCTTTGGACCATCTGTCTGCGAGATTGCACTTTTGGATCTGCCAACAGCCAATCCACAACAAGCGTGCTTATGATTGGACAATAAGGATCCAATCAGCAAAGTTGTAGGGTATCTTGTCTTTTGCAACGGATGTGCTGCACTTCCTGCCGCACTACCACGTGGAGGTACACCCACGTGCTCGTCCAACTCTACGACAATAAACAACCTGCGACTAGGAGAGGTACCGCCGCCCTGTCTAAATGCAAGCAAAGCATCACAGCGTGTACGGCGGCGGCGAATAGCCCAAAAAGCGTTTAATCCATTCACTTTGGTTTTTTCCTCGTTCCCGAGAGCATGGCTCCCAACACGCCCCATGCTGTCGTCAATGACGGCCATTTTCAACAAGTGACGACGCCCGCGTCCTTTGATGTGGCGACGAAGTCCAAGGAGGCCCCGAAAACCTCGCTCGTGCGCCTCAGTGCGCATTGGCTCGTTGGCCTCTTGCTCGCGCTTTCGTTCTGGCCGCCGTCGACGTTCACTGACAAGATTTCCAACAAGTTTGACCCGTTCCTCAAGGGTCTTTGGGGCATTGACCCCAAGGTGAAGGGCTCGGGCCACCCCGAGATGACCAACTACACGTACTTCTTCTTTGGCAACATCTTGCCCATCTTTGTGGCGTTTTTGCTCGTGCGCTTGGTGACCAAGGGCGCACCGGCGCCGATTCCGAGCCTCTCGCACTGGCTCAAGCGCAAGCCGCGCTTCCTTGGCTCGCTCGTCAGCTACGGCGAGATCCTCTTCGTCGCAATTATCATCTTCGGCAACGTCATCGTCTTCATGGGCTTCTACAACCTCAAGGTCGGCCCCAAGTCGACCTACGCGAGCAAGATCCGCGTTTCGGCCAAGTCGCTCGGCTTCTCGAGTTTGTGGAACATGGTGTGGCTGGCGCTGCCCGCGTCGCGCCACTGCTTTTGGATGGAGTGGCTCAACATCCCGTACGCCCACGGCATCAAGTACCACCGCTGGCTCGGCATTGCGACCATCTTTACGATGGTGCTGCACGTCGGCTTTTACATTGGCGCGTATGCGCTCAGCGACGACCTGATCAAGCTTTTGCCGTGCTTTGACTGCAACCTCGCCACCAAGCCGGGCAAGGAGCGCTGGATCAACGCGTTTGGCTGGCTCGGCACCTTTTGCATGCTCATCATCATGGCGACCTCGATTTCGTACGTGCGCCGCCGCTATTACAACGTCTTTTACGTCACGCACTTTCTCTTCATCCCGACGACGCTCTTCTCCATCATGCACTGGGGCGGCATGGTCGTCTGGCTCTTTGCGGCCATCGTGCTCTACATTGGCAACCGCATGATGTCGTCGGCGACGATCTCGGCGCCGGTCGTCGTCCGCAAGGCCGTCTCGTACCCGCACCAGGTCACTGAGCTCGTTGTCGAGTGCGAGACGCATTACCAGGCTGGCGACGTCGTCTACCTCAAGGTCCCGTCGGTCTCCACGACGCAGTGGCACCCGTTCAGCGTCGCGTCAACGCCCTTGCACACGCCCGGCACGATGACCATCTACCTCAAGAACCTCGGCCGCTGGTCTAGCCAAGTGTTCGAGTACGTTCGTCAGTGCAACGCCGCTGGTGTCGACCCCGTCGTGTACATGGATGGTGGCTACGTCTCGCCGGCGCTCGTCTCGGCGTCGTATGAAAAGGTCGTCTTTATCGGCGGCGGCATCGGTGTCACCCCGCTCATGGCCCAGATCATGCACATTCTGCACACGGACGCGCACCAGCACGTGCATTTGATCTGGCACGTGCGCGACATTCATATGATGGTGCAGTTCCAGCAGTGGTTCCACGAAGCGACGGCGCTCGCCGACCCGTCGCGCCTCCACTTGCATTTGTACGTGACGCAGCCGCCGACGGCGGTCATGACGATCCAGGACATGCCGATGACGACGACGACTGCGTTTGACCTCAAGGCCTCTTCGATCCCGGCGCGGCCGTACGCCAACATCTCGGTGACCCGCCAGGTGCTGCTCATGACGGTGGCGTTCTTCTGCGCGGGTGGTCTCCTCGTCGCGGTGCACTTCAAGAACAACTCGATCGAAGGCGCGTATCCCTCGTACTGGCCGCTCCAGCGTGCGGTCGAGTTCCTCGCCGTTGTCGTCGGCGCCTACTGGGCGTACGTTGTCATCTTGATCAAGCCGTACAAGCCCATGTCGACAGCCATGGCCAAGACGCCGGTGGACATCAAGGCCTCGGATGTCATGACGATCGATGCATTCGTGACGCACTACAAGGTGCAGTACTGCCGTGCCGACTGGCCGTCGCTGTGGGCCAACATTACGAGCGGTATCGAGAAGACGCTGACGCCCAAGATCGGTGTCTACGTCTCGGGCCCCAAGACGCTCTCCCGCGCCGTCGATGCGATGGCCAACTCGACGCTCTTCGATGTCCACCACGAAGAGTTTGAAATGTAGATGCAGTGTTTAGAAGCAATGCAAATGTATACAATGTGTCATGTACGAATCTGTTCTGGTTTCTTGGCGAATAGATAGTTGTATGCACAGCAGCCATACATACTCTATCAGCCGCCGATGCGAGTGGTCAGTAGCACAGCGATTGCTTACGCCGGCAGTGCTTGGAGAAGGAAAGGAAACCCCAGCAGTGGCAAGTACCTGCTGCTGCCAGTCACAGCCGCCCTCGTAGGAAGAGGCATTGCTACGTCGACACGTGCAAGCTGGGCACGGTGGACGTCCAGTAATCCACACGTACTACTCTAGAAGTACTAATCAAAGACCATGCTGTCGATGCAGTCTACTTCGAACTGCCGATGCCAGTTGCAAAGCAAGCTGAACAGAAATGTCCCCTGCGATGGCAAAGGAATGATAGCACAAGCGCGCTTCAACAATGAAGATTTGTGAGTCCGCCAACCCTAGCCCTCGTCGTCGAGAATTGCACATCCTTGCATCATCGATGCTTCGGGTCGATATCGCCCACTGTTTTAGTTCATAATACCGGTAATACTCTGAAGCAGTGTAGACACAAGGTAAATTACACTCATATGAATACTAAAGTCGTCGACTACGAAAAGCGTAGTAGGAAACTTGGCACTACGAGTGCCAATTTGATGCTAGTACTTTCCCTATGGTGATGCCACCGAGTAAACACAGAGACTTTGCACTCCCATGTGGTTTGTATTGTAGCAGGGGTCGTGGATGCATCGTAGTGGTAAACACGTCCCCGCGAGCTTGCACTGCGGGCTCGCCCGCAGCGTTCTTGCAAACGGGATGTCGCGTCTCGTGGACGTCTTGTTCTGGCTGCACCTGGCTCTGCCATCCATCACGCCCTCGCGGTCTCAAAAGCGCCAAGTTGGGCGCCCTCTGGAACATAGAGTACCCAGAACCCGTTGACGTTTCGGCGCCTGTCTGATCGGCCCTTTCCCGCTCCTCATCCGTTGGTTCCAGGTGCGCACCATCAACTCAATGCACTGCAGCGCATGTCTCCGCCATCACCACTACGTAGCGCTTCGTCGTCGTACTGTGTACCGAATCGTCACCAGCGTTCTTGTCGTGCTTCAGGAAGCACCCACCACACGTTCGCCGTGGAAACCACATGTTGGTGGTGACTCGGGACTTTGGCTCGGCCAACCGCCAATCATATCACGTGTTACGCTTGATTGGCTACATTGTACCCAATCAAATGGACGCGACTCAATCACGGTACCACCGAATGGCTGTTACGTCCTTCAGGGATCGCTTGTCCCGTGGTATGCCGTGATGTGCTAGTACCACGTGGCTTCAATGCGGCCTTGTCCTTGCCTTCCAGTGCTGCTCACTTTTCATTTGCCTTCGCACTCCGACATGGCTCCGAACGCGCCGCCAGTCGTGCACGACGCGGGCACGCCGCAGTACCACAACGTGACCACGCCCGTGTACCGCGCGACGACGACGAAATCGGACCCGGTGCAGTCGGCGCCGTCGCTTTTCGTGCACTGGGTCATTGGTCTTTTGCTGGCCTTCTCGGTGTTTACCATTACGGTCTACTACATGCCGATCCGCGACCCGGTCACGTTGAACGTCCTCAACAAGTGGTGGAACGTCAACCCCAAGATCAAGGGCTCGGGCCACTCGGAGATGACGATGCCCACGTACTTCTTCTTTGGCGTCGTGCTCCCGGTCCTCGTCGCGTTCTTGCTGGTGCGCTTTGTGACCAAGGGCGTGCCCGCGCCTGTGCCCCACCTCTCGCACTGGCTTCACCGCAAGCCGCGCTTTGCTTTCTCGCTCGTGAGCTACGGCGAGATCCTCTTCCTCATCGTCGTTACAGTTGGGAACGTCCTCTTCTTCTACTACTTTTACTCGGCGCGCGTGACGGCCAAGACGACGTACGACAAGCGCATTGGTGTCGCCGCCAAGACGCTCGGCTTCTCGACCTTGTACAACATGGCGTTCCTTGCGCTGCCTGCGACGCGCCACTGCTTTTGGATGGAGTGGCTCGGCATCCCGTACGCCCACGGCATCAAGTACCACCGCTGGCTCGGCATTGTGACGATCGTCGCGCTCATTTTGCATACGGCGTTTTACATCAAGGACTATGCCAACGATGACGACCTTATCGGGCTCTTGCCGTGCTTCAACTGCAACATCGGGGCGGGCGAAGGCAAGTCGCGCTGGGTCAACTCGTTCGGATGGCTCTCGGGCATCGCCATGTTTATCATGGGTCTCACCTCGATGCCGTTCATTCGTCGCCGCTTCTACAACGTCTTTTACGTCACACATTTTCTCTTTATTCCGGCCGCGTACTTTGCCGTTTTGCATTGGGGCAACATTGTCCTCTGGCTCTTCACGACCACCGTGCTCTACATTGTGAACCGCATGATGTCGTCGGCCACGATTCAGGCGCCGGTCATCATCCAAAAGGCGGCCGCGTACCCGCACGACGTGACCGAGCTCGTGTTTGAGTGCGCAACCTCGTACCAGGCCGGCGACGTCGTCTACCTCAAGGTCCCGTCGGTCTCCAAGACGCAATGGCACCCGTTCAGCGTCGCGTCGACGCCACTGCACACGCCCGGCTCGCTCACGGTGTACATCAAGACGCTCGGCCAGTGGTCCGGCCAGGTGCACGAGTACATTCGCCAGTGCACGGCTTCCGGTGTCGACCCCGTCGTGTACATGGATGGTGGCTACGTCTCGCCCGCACTTGTGCCGGCGTCGTACGAAAAGGTCGTCTTCATCGGCGGCGGCATCGGTGTCACTCCGCTCATGGCCCAGATCATGCACGTGCTGTACACGCATCCGTCGCAGGAGGTGCATTTGATCTGGCACGTGCGCGATGTGCGCATGATGGTGCAGTTCCAGCAGTGGTTCCACGAAGCCACGGCCGTCGCGGACCACTCGCGCCTCCACTTGCATTTGTACGTGACGCAGCCGCCGACGACGGTCATGACGATCCAGGACGCGCCGATGACGTCGACGGTGTTCGATCTCAAGGCCTCTTCGATCCCGGCGCGGCCGTACGCCAATCTCTCGGTGATGCGCCAGGTGCTGCTCATGCTTGTGGCGTTCTTCTGCGCCGGCGGCCTTCTCATCATTGTGCGCTACAGCAACAAGATCGCGGTCGTCGACAAGACGTACTGGCCGCTCCAGCGTACGGTCGAGTTTGTCGCGGTGGTGGTCGGTGCCTACTGGGCGTACGTCGTCGTTTTGATCAAGCCGTACAAGCCGCTCGCGACGGCCGTGACCAAGACGCCGGTGGACATCAAGGCCAAGGACGCGATGACGATCGATGCATTCGTGACGCACTACAAGGTGCAGTACTGCCGCGCCGACTGGCCGTCGCTGTGGGCCAACATTACGAACGGTATCGAGAAGACGCTGACGCCCAAGATCGGCGTCTACGTCTCGGGCCCCAAGACGCTGTCGCGCACTGTCGACGCGATGGCCAACTCGACGCTCTTCGATGTCCACCACGAAGAGTTTGAAATGTAGATGCAGTGTTTAGAAGCAATGCAAATGTGTACAATGCGTTCTGTACCCAAATGTGTCGAGGTCTTATAGCTCCACGAAGACGACGAAATGTGAATGCGCGTGCAGAGTCGGCACCTCTTGAACGTTTCCAATCGAGCCAATTACACGTTACGAGTGCTTGCGGTCGCCAAAAGATACAAACACGTTTCGCGTTTCTTAGTTATCAGTTACAACGACCGTGTCAATCGTCCAAATGCAGTTATAAAATTGATGCACAGTAGTGATCCCGTGACACTACATTTCAAACTCCTCGTGGTGCAGGGCAAAGCGCGATGCGTGCGTCTCGGCTTCGATGGCGCGCAAGAGCGTCTTGGGGCCCGAGACAAAGACGCCGATCGACGCAGTCGCTGCCGTTGTGTCCGCAAGACTGGCAAAAAAGCGCGACCAGTCCATGTGCCCCTGCTGCACGTTGTAGCGCTCGACGAACGCGTCGGTGGACATCATCGGCTCCTTGGGGACCTCGTCGACCTGCGAGCGCGCGACCGGCACCGGCGTGTACGGCTTGACCAAGACGACGACGTAGGCCCAGTAGGCGCCAATGACGATCGCGAGAAACTCCATCAAGCGCTGCAGCGGCCAGTACGACGGGTCGGCGGTCGTGATCTTGGTGTTGTAGTGCACCGCAACAAAGAGCGAGCCGGCGCCAAAGAACGCAGCGATGAACAAGAGCACCTGGCGCAGCGT